AATTTCCTGAATTATTAGTTCTTCTTGTTGCTTTTTCTTTATCATTTCTTCGAAAGACAAAACTACGTTCTCCACCGCGTGTAGTTTGCTTTATAAGAAAAGTTAAAGTTGTCGGTTACTTTATCAATTACTCCACCGCGTGCGTGACGCGGAGTTATCAAAAAAAGAAATATCATCTTTTTATAAAGATTTATTGAATTAAAAAAGAAAGCGCATTTGATGACGGCTGTTAGGTTTGAAAGGTCTTTGCGAGTTTCGTAGACGGCCCGTAGTATTTGCTGGGCTAATTGAATTCAATAGGGTCCGTATCGTGATTGGCTGGGTCAAGGGGTTGGTCCAATGTCGGTCAAGAATCGTCCAACTTATTTATACCTTATTAACATTGGCACTGCAATGCAACCAAGAATTGCAAACAACATAACTTATTTATTTTCTGCTCCGGATACAGTTTTTCGGATTTCTTTCTTGCGCCATCGGCATCAGTAACAACAAGTACGACAAGATTGGGTTCTTGCGCCAATGTTAAGTTATTGATTTCTTTGATCCCAAGTTACGTCAACTTTTGCTTTTTTTCTTCTTCTTCTGATCTTAGGCTTTGGATTGATAACAAATTGGAGTTGTCCCATTTTTGCATTGGATATTGCTTTATTCTTATGGCATTGGCAGTATGCGTGGGTGCTCTAAGAGCAGCATTTCAAATGCTGCTTGATGCGGTTATAGCAGTGAAGGCGGAAACTATCGTGTTTAAGCCTCACCTTGGAAAGATCAAATCCACACTAGACTCCTTACGGCCAATGATCGAAGAGATAGAAAAATATAACTCAAAGGAGGGGCTAGAAAATTATGCAATGCAAATGGAGGAGGGGGTAAATCTTGTTCGCAAGTGCAGCAAGGTTGGTGTGTGGAGGTGCTGCAGGAAATACAGATACACTAAAAAACTTGATGAATTGGATAGATGTCTTCAAAGACTAGCGGATGTGTTGAAAGTGCAGGGCATAAGGGATGTCAGGGAGACCTTGGTTTCGTTAAGGAATATAGAGACGGCCCTGCATCGTATCGAAGGGAACTTCGTGATGCAAAATCAGTCTGAAAAAATCAATGGTTGGCCTGCTGTGCCTGAACCTCCACCGGTTACAGTCGGGTTGGATGTGCCAGTGAAGGAATTGAAGATAAAGCTTCTTCAGGATGATGTGTCCATGCTTGTGCTGACTGCCGCTGGTGGATGTGGGAAAACCACATTGGCAAAAAAGTTTTGTCAAGATCAGGAAGTAAAAGGTATCTCAACCTCCTTTTTTATATAACTTCTTTTTTTTGTCTAGTAGTGATATGGAAGGATGAAAATATCAGCCGTGTAGATAGCATATTGCTCATATTTACACAATTGGAGACGTATTTAAATGAGCTTCTAGTGACACCTTTCTTATATCTTATTTGGATATAGATAAATTCAAGGACAATATCTTCTTTGTCACTCTTTCCAAGAAGCCCAACTTGAACCTTATTGTACATGAACTATATCAACGGAAGGGATCCCAGGTGCCTGCTTTCCAAAACGAAGTGATTGCGGTTAACCGGTTGCAACAATTTCTGAAGGAAACAGGACAAAGTCCTTTACTGTTTGTCCTGGATGATGTTTGGTCAGGATCAGAGTCCCTTCTTGAGAAGTTTGATCAATTCAAAATGTCAAATTACAAAGTTTTGGTCACGTCAAGATTTGCATTTCCAAGATTTGGTTCTCCATATCATTTGGAATCATTGAATGATGCAGATGCAATGGCTCTTTTTCGTCATTCAGCATCCTTGGATGATAAGACCTCTTATGCTCGGGAAGACCTTTCGAGAAAGGTGATTTCTTTATCCACAAAGCGCAACATACATGCTTATTTATATGTCACAGACAAAGGTCAAGAGATTATATGTTTGCTTTTCGTATAATTACCATATCAACCTGCAAAAGATTTTACGTTCGTTTTAAGTAGAAAATTACTTAAACCATTTTGTCATCTTCATGAAACCAATTTAGACACACTTGTTTTGGGCCTGCAACTCAATAGTGATTGACTTCATTTGGGAAAATTGACTGCAGATAGTAGAGCTCTGTAAGGGATTTCCACTTGCCATTACGGAGGTTGGAAGATCACTTCGCGGCCAGCCTATAGAGATTTGGCAAAAAAAAGTAATGGAATGGTCTAAAGGTTCTTCTATCCTTGCAACTAACAGTGATTTGCTTGCTTGCCTCCAAAGCAGCTTAGATGCCTTGGATACAGAAAAACCTATCCTCAAGGAATGTTTCCTTGACCTGTGCTCATTTCCTAGAGACCAAAGGATCTCTGCCGCCAACCTCGTAGATATGTGGGCAGAGTTATATGGCCTAGATGAACCCAGTCTGTCCATCGCGAACCTCTACGAACTAACCACGCAGAGTTTAGCTAATCTTGCAGTCACAAGGTATGTAGGCTTCCATGTTCCTCTTGTCTGCTAGTATCACTATCCACTTTTTCCTTTATACACACGACTCGCTGCTGCTCATAATTTTCTGTTCCAATATTTATATTGAAGAACTCTCTTATGAGAAATTATTATTGAACATCCAGGAATGAGAGAGAGCCGGATGGCTATTACACTGAACACTTTGTTACCCAACATGATATGCTTAGGGAGTTGGCTATTCATCAAGCGAGTCAAGACCCAATAGAACAGAGAAAAAGACTAATTATAAAGACATGTGGAGACAATCTTCCTATGTGGTTGGCAGAGCAAAAGCATCAGCCCCTCCAGGCTCGACTATTATCAATCTCAACTGGTTGTCCCATCTTTCTCTCTTGAGTAAATACGCACACACATACACACAGACGCACACACATACTACGCACTACGACTTGAATAGTACTTTGGTGCATTTCCCACCCTAACATATTATATTGTTTGCAGATGGAGCCTTCTCAAAAAAATGGCCAAACATGCAACTACCAAAAGCAGAGGTTCTAGTTCTAAATTTTGAAACAAGCAGCTACGCCTTACCCGAATTTGTGAAGAAAATGGATAATTTAAAGGTTCTAATAGTCACAAATTACGGTTTCTTACCTTCTGAGTTAAATAATTTTCAATTACTTGGTTCGTCATCAAATCTGAAGAGAATTAGGTTGGAACGCATTTCAATTCCTTCCCTAAGCAAGAACCTCAAACAGTTGAAAAGTGTACAGAAGATATCTTTATTCATGTGTAGCATCGGTCAAGCTTTTGGTAAAGGTTCCATCCAAATTCTAGATGCATTGCCAAATCTAGCCGAAATGCACATAGATTATTGCCATGATCTGGTGGAATTGCCCGAGGAGCTTTGTGATCTTGTTCGCCTTAAGAAGCTTAGCATCACCAACTGTCATAAGTTATCTGCCTTGCCTGAAAAGATTGGAAAGCTAGTCAGTTTGGAAGTGTTGAGGCTCAGGTCATGTACAGACTTGTTAGAGTTGCCAGGCTCGATTAGGAACCTTAAAAAGTTAAACTTTCTCGACATATCCTATTGCTTTAGCATTAAGGAGTTGCCTGAACACATTGGTGAGATGTGCAGTTTAAAAAAGCTCAACATGAGACAATGCTCAAGATTGCAAGATCTGCCTGGATCAGTTTTGGACCTTGAGCAGTTGAAGAATGTGACATGTGATGAGGAGACAGAACTTTTATGGGAACCCTTCTTACCCCTTCTCAAAAATGTACACATAAAGGTGCTCAAAGAAGATATCAACCTAAATTGGCTCCACAAGCTTCCATCTTGAGATTTTTATTTTTTATTTTGTAAATAGTTGAGCTATTTCTTTGTGAAAAGAAACAGTGTATTAACTAAATGTTCAATTGCGGGCTTTGTTACAAACGTGTATGCTCTTAGTGTGGAATTGTTACTAAAGTTTCCTAAAAAGAACACTTACAATTTCCTAGCAAATTACTAAATGTCGTCCTACAGAGGGTTTCAATCGGGATTTCCTACAGAACATTATATGGGAGGAAGCCTTGACCCAGAGAGTCTTGCAAACAACATATTCGTTTGCCATTGACAAGTGAGAAAAGCATATGGACTCCTTTTGCATTGCTTGCTTCCAAGCCTGTCCTAAGAGTCTCTCACTTGTTCCTCATTTGTAATCTGCCTATTGTCTTACAAGTTCAGATTGAAACAAATACAAACTTTCAGATCTGAGTTGTTGTTGTAATTATGGATCCGGTTACTTTAGTTGTAGCGGGTCTGCTCTAGGAGCAGCATTTGAAATTCTGTTTTCTGCAGTTCTAAAAGCGAAGCCCACGGCTAAGATGTTTCAAACACACCTCAGAAATCTCTAAGCTACATTGGGGTGGTTAGATAATACAAACTCATATCACTAACTTTAAGTGGGGCCGGTTGGAATTTGAAAATTCAATTTTGGATGGATTTTTTTTATCCAACTGGGATTATAAAATTCGCTATGTTTGTATAAAATTTAGTTTTAAAGTGTTGTTTCTTTAACGTGTTGTGTTTTTTCCCAGCCCCTTCACGCTATGTGAGTTTTTTTAGTGGTGGTGGAAGGCAATTTGATGCTTTCACAACCCAAGTCGACAAATTACACATCATTGCTTGTATAAATATCTATAACGCGTTCCTACTGAGGAAGTTCCGATCAGGATTTCCAAATAAAAAACAACATTATATGGGATGACCTTGACCCAGAGAGTCTTGCAAACAACATATTCTTTGGCCATTGAAGCTGAACATATATTCTTGCTTATCTTCACTTGAATGATAAGTAATAGAAGCAAGTTGACTCCTTTTGCATTGCTTGGTTCTGGGTCTCTTGATGCAAATGTTTTCTTCTCGGCTTCCAAGCTTCTCTTTTTTTCTTTGGTCAATTTTCCAAGCGTATCTTAAGAGTCTCTCACTTGTTCCTCATTTGTAATCTGCCTTACATAGTGTTGGTTTTGTCTTACAAGTTCAGATTGAAACAAGTACAAACTTTCAGAACTGAGTTGTTGTAATTATGGATCCGGTTACTTTAGTTGTAGGGTCCGCTCTAGGAGCAGCATTTGAAATTCTGTTTTCTGCCGTTCTAAAAGCGAAGAGCACAGCCAATATGTTTCAAACACACCTCGGAAATCTCAATGCCACGCTAGACTCGTTAAAACCAGTGATTATACAGCTAGAATCTGCCAATCGTTTGGTTCCCCTGGAGAAGAGCCTAGAAAATTTTACAACAAAAATGGAGGAGGGCAAGCAGCTGGTTGATGAGTGCTGTGAGGTGTGGAGGATCAACCTCATCAAACAGAGTGAATACAAAGACAAAATTCTGGCGTTGGATGGCTCTATTCAAAGACTCTTAAGTATACTGACATTGCAGTTAGTAAGCCATCAAGCTATGCTGCTCAACCGAATTGATGGAAATGTTGTGGCACAAAATCAAAACCAATTTGGAGTTCGGTGTGCAGTACCTCCGCTTCCACTGGTTACTGTTGGATTGAAGGAGCCTTTGGATGATCTGAAGATGAAGCTTCTTAAGGATGGACCGGTGTCAATATTTGTGCTCACGGCTCCTGGAGGATGCGGGAAAACCACTTTGGCAACAGTGTTTTGTCATGAGCCGGAAGTCATAGGTACCCTGAAATTTAACATCATTTTATTTTCATTAGTGAGATTAAAGAAATAAATTATAGAAATCATTTCCTTGTTTGTACAAGCATAGATAAATTTATATGACGTCTTGGTGACAGTTTTCTTAATTATGTGTACTTGGCTAGATAAGTTCAAGGAAAATATCTTCTTTGCCACTGTTTCAAATAAGCTCAGCTACCTTATTGTTCAAGAACTATGGGAACATACGGGAATGCAGGCACCTGCTTTACCAAATGAAGAAATTGCATTTAAATGGCTGCAAAAGTTTGTGACGGAAAGAGGACAAAATCCTTTACTATTGGTCTTGGATGATGTTCAATCTGGATCAGAATCCCTTCTTGACAAGTTTAATGAATTCCAAATGCCAAGTTACAAGGTTTTGGTGACATCAAGATGTCAATTTCCAAAATTTGGTCGTCCAAATTCTCTAGAAACATTGAAAGATGAAGATGCAATGGATCTTTTTCGTCGTTCAGCATTCCTACCAAATACGAGCTCTATCATACCAGATGGTATTCAGAATCAGGTGAGTTGTTAGTCTGAATTTCAAACATATATGCTTAATTATGCATCACAAAAGGGGAAAAGGAATTATGTTTACTATTTTTGCACAAAAGTGAACACATCGGTTTTACCATATCTGCAAATAGGCATGCATGTAGAGTGCTTACTTTATATTGTTACTAAATCTAAAATAAGAATGAAGAAAAGTTGAAATTTCTCTTCTTCATGAAACCATTGATATGATTTAGAAGAGAGAGTTAAAATTTCTCTTCTTCATGAAACTATTGATATGATTTAGAGAAAGTTGAAATTTCGGTCTGCAATCAAATGGTAATTGACTTCATTTGGGACACGTGTACTGCAGATCGTAAAGTTGTGTAAGAGATTTCCACTTGCCATTACAGCGATCGGGAACTCACTTTGCAATCAACCAATAGAGATCTGGAGAAAAAGACTACTGGAATTGTCTAAAGGTTCTTCTATTCTTGAGGCAGACCGAAAGTTGCTTGTTTACCTCAAAAGTTGCTTGGATGACTTGGATAAAGGAATGACTACCGTCAAGGATTGTTTCATAGACCTTGGTGTATTTCCTCAAGACCAAATAATCCCTGTTACTGCCCTCCTTGATATGTGGGCAGAGTCATATGAGGGAGCTGAAGATTTTATGTCCATTGCAAACCTCTACGAGCTCACCACTCGCAATCTGGCCAGTCTTGTAGTCACAAGGTATGCAAGCTTCTGTGCCTTTTCTCTTGTATGATATAATCAAGACTAGATGGTACTAGTAACTAATTTTCTATTGCAAATATGCATTTTTCAAAGTTTATTCTAAGAAACTAAAATTTTGATCATGACCAGGAATGAGGATGCGGATGGCTACTATAGTGAACATTTTGCTATCCAACATGGTATGCTTAGATCGCTATCAATCCATGAGAGTCGTCAAGACCCGATCGGACAGAGACTGATTATAGACATACATGGAGACGAGCTTCCAACGTGGTGGAAAGAGAATAAGCATAAAACGAAGAAGGCTCGATTAGTATCTATTTCAACTGGTTGGCATATCTCCCTTTCTTTACAAAATACATCAACTCACACACACACAGACACAGGGGCTAGTTTAGTACTTTCACATTAAGTTCTCCCATCACTCACATCATATAGCGTATGGTTTGCAGATGGATTGCACTCACCAAAATGGCACAACATGCATCTACCAAAGGCTGAGGTTCTAGTTCTTAATTTTCAGACAGAGAACTATGGTCTGCCCAAATTCGTGAAGAAAATGTCCAAGTTGAAGGTTCTAATAGTCACAAATTATGGTGTCTTCCAAGCTGACTTGAGTAATTTCAAGCTTTTGGGTTCTTTGCCTAATCTGAAGAGAATAAGATTAGAGCGCATTTCAATTCCTTCCATAAGCAAGAACTCCATGCAGTTGAAGAGTCTGCAGAAGATATCTTTATTCATGTGCAGCATCGGTCAAGCTTTTAGCAACTCTTCCATCCAAATCTTAGAGGCATTTCCAAATCTAGTGGAAATGAACATAGACTATTGCAATGATCTGGTGGAATTGCCTGCCAAGCTCTGTGATCTTATCCGCCTAAAGAAGCTCAGTATTACCAATTGTCATAAGCTATCTGCCTTGCCTGAAGAGATTGGAAAGCTGGTCAATTTGGAGGTATTAAGGCTAAGGTCCTCCACAGAGTTGGAAAGGCTTCCAGGCTCGATTAAGAACCTAAAAAAGTTAAGCTTTCTTGACATATATAATTGTTTGAGCATTAAGAACTTGCCTGAAGAGATTGGTGAAATGAGTGGTTTAAGAAAGATCAACATGGGACAATGCTCAAGACTGCAAGAGTTGCCTCAATCAGTTTTGAATCTTAAGGAGTTACGGGAAGTGATATGTGATGAAGAGACAGAAAACTTATGGGGGGAGCCTTTCAAATCCAGTCTCATAAACATAAACATAACAGTGGCAAAAGAACAACACAACCTTAATTGGCTCTACTACAAGCCTTAAGAGCTGACTTTCCTTATCAAATGTTGGTGCAAGGTCTATGTGATTTGTGTTTCAATATTTCTTTTTCCTACCTTTCTTCTCTTATAAGTTTTTTGGTTTTCATTTTGCATTGTAAAAACAAAGTGAATGAGAGGATTTGGATTTACCACCATCAGTTTGTCTTAATTTTTGTCTCCACGGGTCCTATCTTCTCTGTCTGGACGAGCCATTGGAGGCACTTCGAGTCAGGCAAAAACCTGCTCTGATACCAACTGACGCAGTGAGATATAGGGGAATAGGGAGATCGAATGATAACTCTAAAGTACCAACATCGGAATCCACCAACAAACTTGGAATCCACCAGAAAATTGAGTAAAACTAAAGGTATTTGATTGATAATAAGATAGATAATTTAGGATGCTCCAACGCATTCCTTATATACAAGAGAAACCCTAGGACTTGCTTGGAAAACTAATGAGAAACACACTTGCTAGGAAAGCTAATTAGAAAACTAAAAGGAAAATAATAAAAGTTTCCCAAAATATCCAAAAAACTTTAAACGCGAAAAAGTCAAAGTAAATGATAGAATTTGTCTAAAATAGCTTATACGTCACAGCAAAACTACGAGTTGCACTTGTCATGCCTTTCTCTTTGAAACGATAGGTCATGGGCCCAATTTTGAGCTTGGGGCCCATACTTGCACAGATTGTGCTTTGCTGCCGCAACGATGTGCTCGCTTGTCCAACTGTTCCTCGATCAACTTGGCCATGTGTTCTACATCAGAAGATAGAATTAGATTGGAATGCATTTCAATTCCTTCCATAAGCAAGAACCTCAAACAGTTGAGTGTACAGAAGATATCTTTATTCATGTGTAGCATCAGTCAAGCTTTTGGTAAAGGTTCCATCCAAATTCTAGATGCATTGCCAAATCTAGCCGAAATGCTCATAGATTATTGCCATGATCTGGTGCAATTGCCTGCCGAGCTTTGTGATCTCATTCACCTTAAGAAGCTTAGCATCACCAACTGTCATAAACTATCCGCCTTGCCGAAAAGATTGGAAAGTTACTCTGTTTGGAAGTGTTGAGGCTTAGGTCTTGTACAGACTTGTTAGAGTTGCCACTCGATTAGGAACCTTAAAAAGTTAAACTTCCTCGACCTATATCCTATTGCTTTAGCATTAAGCAGTTGCCTGAACACACGTGAGACATACAGTTTTAAAAAGCTCAACATGAGACCATGCTCAAGATTGCAAGACCTGCCTGCATCAGTTTTGGACCATGAGCAGTTGAAGGATGTGATATGTGATTCAGAGACAGAAATTTTATGGGAACCCTTCTTACCCCATCTCAAAAACATACACATAACATAAAGGTGGTCAAAGAAGATATCAACCTAAATTGGCTCCACAAGCTTCCATCTTGAGATTTTTATTTCCTCAATAAATATTTTAGCTGCCTCTGCTGATTTGTGTTTAAATTTTGCATTTTCCCTGAATTTAATTTCCTCTCTTTATGGTTTATGCTTTTCTTTTTTTGGTAAATAGTTGAGCTATTGCTTTGTAAAAAGAAACAGTGTATAACTAAGTGTTCAATTGTGGGCTTTGTTGCAAACATGTCTGCTCTTATGTGTTCGTCAATGGCCCCACTACCTTTCAGTGTGGAATTGTTACGAAAGTTTCCTAAAAAGAACACTTATAATTTCCTAGCAAATTACTAAATGTGGTCCTACTGAGGTTTCCATCGGGACTTCCAAAAGAACATTATATGGGAGGAAATTAACCAAATGTAGTCCTACTGGCTTTGCTAAAACTTTGACTAACTTGACTTAGTCGTCAATGGCCCCACTTTCAGCGTGGAAGCTCATTTTACTTGTTACGAAAGTTTCCTAAAAAGAACACATAATTTCCTAGAAAGTACGACCGAGCTTCGATCGAGCTTTCCTTATTGACCCAGAGATTCTCTCACCGATATATTCATATTGTTTTTCTTGGGTCCCAAATCTCTGTCAAGAGTCTAAAAGGGAACCTTCATCAAAGGAAATCATCTCATCATCAACGCAATCATCTGCAATCTTTCATCAAAGTCAACCTTGATCTTTGCTTTCCTGTCATAGCTGATCTGGATTGATTCTCTTCATCAATCCCATTGTATCTAGACAACCTGGATTTATTCTCTACATCAATCCTGTTATATTTACCTTATTTAGATATTATCAATTTGTATATAATAGTCATTCCGTGTATCAATTAGATATCAATGAAATATACTATTCATTCTTAATCTCTTTATGGTATCACAGCCCTAAGGCTCCAACGAGCATCCTCTGTTTTTTTTTCTCTTTCCTCTTCCAGCAGTCTATACTCATGGCTCCTCAATCCTCTGATATATCCACCCCAATCATCACCAACACCAACTCCAACACCATATCCTCCCTAATCACCATCAACGCTGCTGCACAACTTCCCGTCAAGCTTACCCCTACAAATTACCCATCTTGGCGTGCTCAGTTTAACGCCCTCCTTATTGGCTATGACCTCCTGGGCTATGTGGATGGTTCTTCTACATGCCCACCAGCCACTCCAGCCGCGCCTCGCGCCCTTTGGATTCGTCAGGACCAGCTGCTCCTCCATGCCATTCTTGCATCCGTATCACCGCAAGTAATATCCCTTATTGCCTCCGCCAAGACCTCCAAGGAGGCGTGGGACAAATTGCTCCACCTCTATGCTAGCAAAGCACGTGCTCGTGTCCTTGGTCTCAAGGAACGCCTTACTCTTATGCGTCGTGAGGATAAGCCTGTCTCTCAGTATTTGCAAGATGTTAAGGTTATCGCTGATGAACTTGCCATCATCGATGTCCCCCTTTCTGATGATGATCTTCTCCTTTACATTCTCAATGGTGTTGGTTCTGAATTTAAGGAGATCGCTGCTGTTGTTCGTTCCCGTGACACCTCTATCTCATTCGAAAATCTTCATGATAAGTTGGTTGAACATGAAGCTGCCCTTACACGTGCCGACGCTCCAGTTACCACACCTGTCATCACTGCTAATGTCACTCAAAGCTCCCAGCGAGCCCCCACCAACCGTGGCTCTCGCTCCCACACCTACAATCACAATCGTGGTTCTTCTAGCTTCCGCAACAATTACCGTGGTTCCTCTGAATCCACCTCGCCCTCAACCACTGACAACGGTCGTCGTTCAAACACAACTACTGGCACTGGTTATCGTGGCTATTGTCAATGGTGTGGTACACAAGGTCATAGTGCCAAACGTTGTCCCCAGCTTCAATCTGGCTCCCAAAGTCAGCCAGTGGTCAATTCTACCTACCATGGCCGCCACAATGCCTCTCCCACATGGTTGCTTGATTCCGGTGCTTCTCACCATGTTACCTCCAAAGTCACCAATCTCTCCGATGTCTCCACATATGCTGGCCCTGATGAAATAATTATTGGTAATGGTTCAGGTTTGGGTATAACTCATGTCGGTTCATCCTCTCTCACTACCCCCCTCCTCCAAAACCTTTGCCTTATCTAATGTTCTTTGTGTTCCTTCCATTAAGCAAGATATTATTTCTATTTCCAAATTTAACAAACAAAATAATACGTCTATTGAACTTTTTCCTGATTTCTTTCATGTCAAGGATCTGAGCACGGGGGCGGTACTTCTTCAAGGCCCGAATAAGGACGATGTGTATGAGTGGTCCCCCCAATCCCTCCGTCAACCTCAGGCCATGGTGGGTGTGGTGGTCTCTCCAAATTTGTGGCACCGGCGTCTTGGTCACCCACATTCTAAAACTCTTCACCAAGTTCTTCGTTCCTCTTCCATTCATGTGTCCTCCAAATTGTCCGAGTCTCTTTGTCATTCATGTCAATGTAATAAGAGCCATAGGCTCCCATTTGGTACTTCTTCCCTTCAAAGCAATGGTCCGTTAGAGCTCCTTTATAGTGATGTTTGGGGCCCTGCTCCTTATTCTTCCATTGATGGCTTTTCCTACTATCTTATTTTTGTTGATCATTTTACCAAGTACATATGGCTATACCCTCTCAAAAAAAAATCAGATGTGTTTTCCACCTTCACCACCTTTAAAGCCCTTGTTGAAAATTATTTCAAAACTAAAATCATCACCTTATTTACTGATGGTGGAGGGGAATTTGTCAAACTCAAAAACTTTCTTTCTTCCGCTGGCATCTCTCATCTCATCACCCCACCACATACTCCACAACACAATGGTGTTGCCGAACGACGGCATCGTCATGTTGTCGAAACCGGTCTCACCCTTCTTCATCAAGCCTCATTACCTCTTTCCTATTGGTCATATGCGTTTCAAACTGCTGTCTACCTCATAAATCGAATGCCCACTCCCATCCTAAAAAATGTCTCACCATATCAACAACTCTTTCATCAACAGCCCAATTACTCACGTCTTCGTACCTTTGGATGTCTGTGTTTTCCATGGCTACGGCCTTACAACTCCAACAAGTTACTTCCTCGTTCCCGCGCGTGTCTTTTTCTTGGTTACTCCTCCAATCAAAGTGCCTACAAATGTCTTGATCTCTCATCCAATAAACTTTTTATCTCTCGTCATGTCCAATTTGATGAGTCCACTTTCCCTCTTGCTAGTGCCCATAATTCCACTTCTTCTGTCCCCTCTCCTACTTCCACCTCTTGGTTTCCTCCTGTTACTCTTATTCCTTTCCAAGCAGCCCCCATGCCACCACCATCGGCTACCACCTCCTCACCGACTGCACCATCCACATCGTCCTCCGCTGCCGCTTCTGCCTTGGAGCAGCTCTGCCCCCCTGCGCACATACCACCTCCAGCCCCTACTGTCTCTCCACTTCCGCCACAAAACCCACCCACCTCTAACCCACCTCATACTACTCTTACCCCTTCACAAACCATGACCCCAACCCATTTCCCTTCCAATCCGAACCCCCACTGAACCAGACACCCAACCTCCCCAGCCATCCCCTATCCGTACCTACCTCAGAAACCCAAATAGACTCGTTCTTACCTTCCCAGCCCCTGACCCATCGCCTCCCCCACCATCTTCTATCTCACAACCCTTGGTTCCCGATCACCAAATGGTGACGCGTGCCAAAGCCGGTATTAGCAAGCCCAATCCTCGGTATGCTTTAGTCGCCACCAAACATCCCATACCCTCATCCGTTGAACCGACATGTGTTTCTCAGGCCATTAAAGATCCCCTTTGGCGAGCTGCCATGTCTACTGAGTTTAATGCGCTCATTAGCAATGGAACGTGGGAGCTTGTTCCATCTGACTCTACTCAGAATCTCATTGGTTGTAAATGGGTCTTTCGTATCAAACGACACCCAGATGGCACTATTGACAGGTACAAGGCCCGTTTGGTCGCCAAGGGCTTTCATCAGCGCCCCGGCGTCGATTTCTCAGAAACTTTTAGTCCAGTGGTTAAGCCCACCACCATCCGTGTTGTGTTGCATCTTGCCTTGTCTCATGGCTGGCCTATTCGTCAGTTGGATGTCAACAATGCCTTTCTTCATGGCACACTTAGTGACACTGTTTATATGTCACAACCCCCAGGTTTTGTTGATACCAACCTCCCATCTCATGTTTGTAAACTCCGAAAGGCTCTTTATGGCCTTAAGCAGGCACCTCGGGCATGGTACAAGGAATTGAGCTCCTTCTTGCTCTCACAAGGCTTCCGCAATGCTACCTCTGATGCCTCCCTATTTATTTCTACCTTTGGTAGCAATGTCATTTATTTCTTGGTTTATGTTGATGACCTTATTGTTACTGGCAACAATTCTTCTCTTGTAATGCAGTTCATTGCCACATTGGCTCGCCGGTTCTCTGTCAAAGACTTGGGGTCTCTTCATTACTTCCTTGGTGTTGAGGTTATTCCCACCACGACTGGTCTATTTCTCTCGCAACACCATTACATTCGTGATCTCCTACTCAAAGCCAAAATGGACGGTGCCAAGGAGGTCAGCACTCCATTATCTACTTCTGATAGTCTTGTGCTCAATGATGGGACTCCACCTACTGATGCTACTCGATTTCGTCAAATCATTGGTGGTCTTCAGTATCTCAACCTCACACGCCCTGACATCTCTTTGCCGTTAATAAGCTCTCTCAATTCATGCATAAGCCTTCGGAGTCTCACTGGCAGGCCCTCAAGCGTCTCCTTCGTTACTTGAAGGGCACCTTATACTTTGGTCTTCATTTGTCTCGTCGCTCATCTCATCGTCTCTATGCTTTCTCTGATGCCGATTGGGCCGGCAATCTTGATGACCGTAAGTCCACTACTGCCTATGTTGTTTATCTTGGTGGCAATCTCATCTCTTGGAGCTCTCGCAAGCAACGCTCTGTGGCCCGCTCTTCCACTGAAGCTGAATATCGAGCCATTGCTACCACCACTGCCGAAATTGCATGGATTCAATCCTGTTACGTGAACTTGGCATTTCCCTTTCCGGTCCACCGCTCATTTCATGTGACAACATTGGAGCCACATTCTACTGTGCTAATCCTGTTCTCCATTCTCGCATGAAACATATTGATATTGATTTTCAGTTTGTCCGGGATCGCGTTAATAGTGGTCTTCTTCAAGTTTCACATGTTTCTACTGTTGACCAACTTGCCGACGCCCTCACCAAACCACTTCCACGTCTGCGTTTTCAGCTTCTCCGGTCCAAGATCGGTGTCTCCGATGGGACCACCGTCTTGCGGGGGCGTAAAAGGGAACCTTCATCAAAGGAAATCATCTCATCATCAACGCAATCATCTGCAATCTCTCATCAAAGTCAACCTTGATCTTTGCCTTCCTGTCATAGCTGATCTGGATTGATTCTCTTCATCAATCCCATTGTATCTAGACAACCTGGATTGATTCTCTACATCAATCCTGTTATATTTACCTTATTTAGATATTATCAATTTGTATATAATAGTCATTCCGTGTATCAATTAGATATCAATGAAATATACTATTCATTCTTAATCTCTTTAGAGTCTACCACTTTCTCCACAATTCGTAATCTGCAAAGACATAGACCGATTTCTTGTCTCAGATTAGACTCAAACAAATACAAAGCTTGAGAGTTGGGTGTTGTTTGAGTGTATTTATGGCATTTGCTGCGGTAGGAGGAGCTGGTCTAGGAGCAGTATTTGGAGCGCTGCTTGATGGCGTTATAGCAGTGACGTCGAAGGCTACAATGTTTGAAACCCACCTCAGAGATCTAAAATGCACCCTGGACTTGTTTCAACAAGTGGATGAAGATGTAAGGCAACATCCCAACATATTGTTTCGCCCAATGCAGGGCCTAGAAAAGTTTGAAATACAAATGAAGAAGGGTGTTCAGCTCGTTGAAAAGTGCTCCAAGGTTCGTCCATGGAATAAGCCTAGGTACACCAGAAAACTTATTGCATTGGATGCATCTCTTAGAAGACTGTTAAGTGTACTGACAGCGCACATAGCAAGTGACCAGAGGGGTCGGGTTATCAATGTGGCGACAGTGGTGAACCATATCGATGCGAATATTGCTGCACAAAACCAAAATGTAAATCAAATTAGAGGTTGGTCTGCAATACCTGAGCCTCCACCCTTTACAGTTGGATTGGATGTGCATGTGGAGGAGTTGAAGTTGGAGCTTCTTAAGGACGAGGCATCAATGCTTGTGGTGACTGGTCTTGGAGGATGCGGGAAAACCACACTGGCACAAAAGGTTTGCGAAGATCAGAAAGTCAAAGGTATGGTATATATGTATATCAATTCCTTTTTTTTTATTTATACAAATTGGTGAAGTTTTGATTCCTAAATTGAAAAGTTCTGTAGTTATAATCTAGAATGAATCGGTTGAAGAAAGAATTTGAGAATTGTGGACAGATTTAAATGGCCACATGGTGACTGCTTTCTTTTGTTCTACTTGGGCAGAGAAATTCGGGAGCAATATCTTCTTCGTCATTGTTTCAAAGAACACCAACTGCCTTGTTGTACAAGAACTGTGTCAAAAAACGGGATCCCTGGTACCAGCTCTCCAAGAGGAAGCAATTGCCTTTAACTGGCTGCAAGAATTTCTGAAGAAAACAGGACAGGATCCTCTACTTTTGGTCCTGGATGATGTATGGCTAGGATCAGAATCCCTTCTTGATAAGTTCGGTGAATTCAAAAGGCCAAATTACAACATTTTGGTGACATCAAGATTTCAATTTCCAAGATTTGGCCCTGCATATCCATTAGGAACATTGGAACAAGGAGATGCAATGACTCTTTTTCGTCATGCAGCATCCCGACCAGATAGGAGCTCTGATATACCGGAAGATCTAGCAAAACAGGTGATTTCTTGTTTGCATTTCAAAACATAATTTATGTTTATTTTGCCTCACAAAACAAGGAAACAAATCACCTTCATTTTCTACAAGAACTGTCCATACACGAAAATGAACAACACCAATAGCTGCAGATGCATATACTTTATGCCTACTTTACTTATGAACTAACTCTAAACTAAGAATAAAGAAAAGTATATAGCCGGTTAACCATTTTCTTATCTTCATTAAACAATTGATATGATTTGGAGATGAAGTCAAATTTTCGATGTGCAACTCAAATAGTAATTGACTTCATTTGGGACAATTTAACTGCAGATAGTTCAGCTCTGTAAGGGATTTCCACTTGCCATTACAACAATCGGAAGATCAGTTTGCGAACAGCCAACAGAGATCTGGAAGAAAAGAGTAGCGGAATTGTCTAGAGGTTCTTCTATTCTTGATTCTGAGGATTATTTGTTTGCTTGCCTCAAAAGTAGCTTAGATGCCTTGGATGAACGGTTGGCTGTCATCAAGGAATGCTTCATTGATCTTGCTTCATTTCCTGAAGACAGATGTATCCCTGCTGTTGCTCTCATTGATATGTGGGCAGAGTTATATGGGCTAGATGAGGACTTTAGGTCCATTGCACACATCCACGAGCTAACCAATCGTAATTTGGCCAATCTAGTTACAAGGTATGCAAGCTTCTATTCATCTCGTCTTTGGTCTCTCTTCTCCACTTTACCCTTTCTTTTTTATGTTTATGACTAGCTAAGAAAATAATTATGATCTTAAACAGGAATGGGAAGATGGAGATGGATGGCTATTACAGTGAACACTTTGTTACCCAGCATGACATGCTTAGAAATCTTGCTATCCATCGGACTGGTCAAGATGAAATTGGACAGGAGAAAAGGCTGATTATAGAAATTTGTGGTGACAATCTCCCTAATGGGTGGACAGAACAGAAGAATAAACCCAAGGAGACCCGCTTATTGTCTATCTCAACTGGTTGTCCCATCTCTCCTTCTTTACCAAAAACATAAACTAAGGCTTGAATATAGTACTTTTGCATTAATGTTTCCCCAAAACTTACATCATATAGCTTTGGTTTGCAGATGGATTGTCCTCGGCAAAATGGCACGACATGCATCTACCAAAAGCTGAGGTTGTAGTTCTGAATTTTCAGACAAAGAACTATGTTCTGCCCAAGTTTGTGAAGAAAATGTCCAAGTTGAAGGTTCTAATAGTCACAAATTGTGGTGTCTTACAAGCTGATTTGAGTAATTTCAAGCTTTTGGGTTCTTTGCCTAATCTGAAGAGAATAAGATTGGAGCGCATTTCAATTCCTTCCATAAGCAAGAACTCCGTGCAGTTGAAGAGTCTGCAGAAGATATCCTTATTCATGTGCAGCATCGGTCAAGCTTTTAGCAACTCTTCCATCCAAATCTTAGAGGCATTTCCAAATCTAGTGGAAATGAACATAGACTATTGCAATGATCTGGTGGAATTGCCTGCCAAGCTCTGTGATCTTATCCGCCTAAAGAAGCTCAGTATTACCAATTGTCATAAGCTATCTGCCTTGCCTGAAGAGATTGGAAAGCTGGTCAATTTGGAGGTATTAAGGCTAAGGTGCTCCACAGAGTTGGAAAGGCTTCCAGGCTCGATTAAGAACCTAAAAAAGTTAAGCTTTCTTGACATATATAATTGTTTGAGCATTAAGAACTTGCCTGAAGAGATTGGTGAAATGAGTGGTTTAAGAAAGATCAACATGGGACAATGCTCAAGACTGCAAGGGTTGCCTCTATCAGTTTTGAATCTTGGGGAGTTACGGGAAGTGATATGTGATGAAGAGACAGAAAGCTTGTGGGGGGAGCCTTTCAAATCCAGTTTCATAAACATAAACATAACAGTGGCAAAAGAACAACACAACCTTAATTGGCTCTACAACAAGCCTTGAGAGCTGACTGTCCTTAACAAATGTTGGTGCAATGTCTGTGTGATTTGTGTTTCAATATTTCTTTTTCCTACTTTTCTTCTCTTTTACGTTTTTTGGTTTTCATTTTGCATTGTAAAAACGAAGTGAATGAGAGAATTTGGATTTACCACCATCAGTTTGTCTTAATTTTCTTCTCTACCTTTTTCCTTCGTACCATATACTAATGTACCTTCTATGACAAAAGACAGAGACAGTGCTCAAGGTTGCAGCAGGAAGTGATCTGTGATGGAGAGACAAAATATTTATGCGAATATTTCTCATCTTGCTCAAAAACATAAACATATCCCCATTTCCGCCCAAAAAAAAACACATATCCCCATTCATATCCAACCTTTGCGTCTTCCAAGAGCAGATCCTTTGTTCTGTCTAGAATAGCCCGTCCATACCTACTCCTACGTTTTGTTTCCCTTATTATTTCTTTTGAAGTTTACTAGCGCATGACTAGTTTTTTTTTATTATAAATTTTTATGAAAAATGAGTAGCTAAATTTACTTATAATCAGTCCATACCCACCCCTATGTTTTGTTTTTTCGTATTATTTCTTTGGCCAAATTATATTTTGATCCTTGCATTTTGAGTAATTTTCCATTAATACTTGCAATTGCGTAGCCAACAATTTTTTAGAGAGAGGCAATATTTAAAAGGTTAAAAGATCAACAACAAAAACCAAATACCCTTAGAATTTAAACAATACTAATTTCATTCATAATTCATGAAAAAAAAATCACAAACAAACAAAACAGCAAAGCCTCTTTTAGGCATTTAGTCGAACACATGGTGGGCGCCATCAGAGGAGTAATCCCGGCCTCTCCAAGGGATTTTTCGATGAGAGGAAATGCAGCTACATCTCGTTATTCTTCTGTGGCTCCGCCACTATTTTCCTGTATTATTTCTTTGGTCAAATTACACTTTAGTAAAACAGTTTCAATTTTTGACAATTTTAGTATGTAGTTTGCTTATTTTTACTTCTTCACATACAAGTTGCCACATCAGATTTACATTTCAATTTTAACAGAATTAACAGTAGGGATCAAAAGTGAAACTACGGTATAAAAGTGAAAAATTACTCAAACTACAGGGACAAAATTGTAATGTGACCTATTTCTTTAAACTCTATCCTCGCAATTGCCAAAAGGAAAAAAAAAGGTTTAACGAAATTAGGGCTTGTTTTCTCCACCGCGTGCACGGTCCCCTCGATGTTTCCGATACACGGTGAATTGCAGAAACAAAAATCTGGTGTTCGTAGCAGTTTCTTGTGTTTTTTTGTGATCTTGTGGTTGCAGTTTCTTTAATTAGTACAATAGAGCTCCAACTTGGAATCTTCTCTCTCATCATATAAGTTCAGCGAGTTGCAAACTACATCTCCATAGCATTCTTTGCCACTGAACTAGATTATACTCTCTTTCATCTCAGAAAGCATTTATCGGATTTCTGTCCTGTTTCATCAGAGCAAGGAGATCATTTAGTCTTCGTATTGTTTGGGTTTTTTATTTGAAACAAATAGAATTTGTCTGATTTGGGTGTTGGGTATTATTTTATACTCATGGCAGTGGATTTAGTCGGAGGGGGTAGTTTTAGAGTAGCATTTCAAATGCTATTTGATGCTGTTATAGCAGTGAAGAAGGAGACTACCATGTTTAAATCTATGCTTGGAGATATCAAATCCACACTGGACTCTTTACAGCCAGTGATCAAAGAGAGAGAAAAATATGACTCAAAGGAGGGGCTAGAAAATTTTGCAATGCAAATGGAGGAGGGGGTAAAGCTTGTTTACAAATGCAGCAAGGTTGGTGTGTGGAGCTTGTGCAGAAAATACAGATACACCAGAAAGCTTGATGAATTGGATAAATGTCTTCAAAGACTAGTGGAGGTGTTGAAAGTGCAGGGCATAAGGGATGTCAAGGAGACCTTGGTTTCTTTGAGGAATATAGAGACGGTGCTGCATCGAATTGAAGGGAACTTGGTGATGCAAAACCAACCTGAAAAAATCAATGGTTGGTCTTCAGTGCCTGAACCTCCACCGGTTACAGTTGGGTTGGATGTGCCATTGAAAGAATTGAAGATAAAGCTTCTTAAGGATGATGTGTCAATGCTTGTGCTGACTGCTGCTGGTGGATGTGGGAAAACCACATTGGCAAAAAAGTTTTGTCAAGATCAGGAAGTTAAAGGTATATCAACCTTCTTTTTTTCAGTTCTAATTGGTAAAGCAGTTTTACTTCCTAGTTGAAAAGTGCTACACTAGTAGCTAATGGTAGTGGTATTATGATATGAAACTTAACATGATTTTATTTGTTTTAGTGGTATGTGGAAGATACCAATTTTCTTGAAGTTCCCTTTTGTTGGTGGTTAACATAAGCATACCCAAATCTGATCCATCTGAACAAATTAACAAATTTACATAGCTTCATTTCAAGCCACTAATCTTGTAATGAGCCGTTGCCTGAATCGTATGTCTTATTGGATTGAAAATTTATGTCAAACTTATATCAATATGCATGGCTAAGGGACAGAGGTTTTAGGGAGACTCAAGTATCTCTGTTCTATATTTCTGATATCTTATTCAACCTTTAAATCTAGTTGTTTTCTACAGTTATAGCCTTACAGGAATATATTCACCGTATCTCACTGATAGGAATTATTACTTCAGAAGAGTAATCAAGGATTTTATAACTTAATGACTGGGATATGTCTTCTTAAGAATATTGCCTCACTTAGTTCTTACTATGTGCATATGTTAGGCTTCCAATTATATTGTTTTGTATGACCACCATTTGTGTATATTGTTTTCCTTTGCTCAATTGGAGACATATTTCAATGAACTTTTAGTGACACGTCTCTTAAATCATATTTGGATAGATAAATTCAAGAACAATATCTTCTTCGTCACTCTTTCAAAAAAGCCCAACTTGGACCTTATTGTACATGAGCTATATCAACGCAAGGGTTCCCAGGTGCCTGCTTTCAAAAATGAAGTAATTGCAGTTTACTGGTTGCAACTATTTCTGAAGGAAACATCACAAAATCCTGTACTGTTTGTCCTGGATGATGTTTGGTCAGGATCAGAGTCCCTACTTGAGAAGTTTGATGAATTCAAAATGACAAATTACAAAGTTTTGGTCACATCAAGATTTGCATTTCCAAGATTTGGTTCTCCATATCATTTGGAATCCTTGAATGATGAAGATGCAATGGCTCTTTTTCATCATTCAGCATCTTTGGAGGATAAGAGCTCTTATGCTCGGGAAGATCTTTCGAGAAAGGTGATTTCTTTTTTATTTTTCTTTATAAATAGTTACATGTAGGTTTTTTCTCTCTACAGGACGTCTGTCTTTTAAATACAAAATTCGTCCTTTGTTAAAAGGAGGGGCATCCTGCACTGAGAACTCCTATATATTTATATATATATATATATATATATGTATTTGTTAAACATCCATACACATGAGTGAATAGTGAATGCTTCCATTTACCATATCAACCTGCAAATGATTATACATTCATGTTACGTATACAGTTACTTAAACATTTTGTCATCTGCATGAAACCATTGAGATGAGATTTAGACGCTATTGTTTTGGACCTGCAACTCAAATAGTGATTGGCTTCATTTGGGGAAATTGAACTGCAGATAGTAGAGCTATGTAAGGGATTTCCACTTGCGATTACAGCGGTTGGAAGATCACTTCGCGGCCAACCTATAGAGATCTGGCGAAAAAGAGTAATGGAATGGTCTAAAGGTTCTTCTATACTTGCGTCAAACAATGATTTGCTTGCTTGCCTCAAAAGCAGCATAGATGCCTTGGATAAAGAAAAGCCTACCCTCAAGGAATGTTTCCTTGACCTTTGCTCATTTCCTAAAGATCGAAGGATCTCTGCTGCCACCCTCATAGATATGTGGGCAGAGTTATATGGCCTAGACGAACCTAGTCTGTCCATTGCAAACCTCTACGAACTAACCACCCAGAGTTTAGCTAATCTTATAGCCACAAGGTATGTAGGCTTTCATGTTCCTCTTGTCTGCTACTATCACTCCATTTTTTTTCCTTTATATTCGTGACTCGCTGCTGCTCATAATTTTCTGTTCCAATTTTTATGTTGAAGAAATCTCTTATGAATTATTATTGAACATCCAGGAATGAGCGGGACGCTGATGGCTATTACACTGAACACTTTGTCACTCAGCATGATATGCTTAGAGAGTTGGCTATCCATCAGGCGAGCCAGGACCCAATAGGACAGAGAAAAAGACTGATTATAGACATACGTGGAGATAATCTTCCTAACTGGCTGACAGAGGCAAAGCATCAGCCCATGCAGGCTCGACTATTATCTATCTCAACTGGTTGTCCCATCTTTCTCTCTTTAGTAAATACGCACACATGTACATACAGACGCACACACATACTACGCACTACAACTTGAATAGTACTTTGGCACATTTCCCACACTCACATCTTATAGCTTATTGTTTGCAGATGGAGCCTTCTCAAAAAAATGGCCAAACATGCAACTACCAAAAGCAGAGGTTCTAGTTCTAAATTTTGAAACAAACAGCTACGACTTACCCAAATTTGTGAAGAAAATGGATAAATTAAAGGTTCTAATAGTCACAAATTTCAGTTTCTTACCTGCTGAATTAAATAATTTTCAACTACTTGGTTCATCATCAAATCTGAAGAGAATTAGATTGGAACGCATTTCAATTCCTTCAATAAGCAAGAACATCAAACAGTTGGAAAGTGTGCAGAAGATATCTTTGTTCATGTGTAGCATCGGTCAAGCTTTTGGTAAAGGTTCCATCAACATTTTAGATGCATTGCCAAATCTAGGCGAAATGGACATAGACTGTTGCCATGAGCTGGTGGAGTTGCCTGTCGAGGTTTGTGATCTCATTCGCCTTAAGAAGCTTAGCATCACCAACTGTCATAACCTATCCGCCTTGCCTGAAAAGATTGGAAAGTTACTCAGTTTGGAAGTGTTGAGGCTTAGGTCTTGTACAGACTTGTTAGAGTTGCCAAGCTCGATTAGGAACCTCAAAAAGTTAAACTTTCTCGACATATCCTATTGCTTTAGCATTAAGCAGTTGCCTGAACACATTGGTGAGATTTGCAGTTTAAAAAAGCTCAACATGAGACAATGCTCAAGATTGCAAGATCTCCCTGCATCAGTTTTGGACCTTGAGCAGTTGAAGAATGTGACATGTGATGAGGAGACTGAAATTTTATGGGAACCCTTCTTACCCCTTCTCAAAAACATACACATAAAGGTGCTCAAAGAAGATATCAACCTAAATTGGCTCCACAAGCATCCATCTTGAGATTCTTCTTGATGTTTCCATATTTTTCTGGCACAAATGTGCAATACAAGTCTCAATTTGGGTCTCGTAATGTGGTTATATGGGATGAAACATAAAAGTAATGCGGTTGCTATCTTGATATTTGTCCCTTTCCTCAACAAATGTTTGAGCTACCTCTTGTAATTTGTGTTTCATTTTATCTCTTAATTTAATTTCCTTCTATTTTATGCTTTTTTTATGTTTTTGTTTTCTTTGTAATTTAATTTCCTTCAAGCTATTGTCCTTTCCTCTTTATTTTGCTTTTTTTATCTGCTTTTTTTTTCCTTCTTGTTCAACTTCATTCCCTCTAAAGTTATTAACCCAACAATATCACATCAACATTTAAGCACTTCATTTTCTAGTGATTATTTAATCACTACTTATGTGTGCAAATCGGTTTCCTTTTGGCCATTCAAAATTGTTGTTGCTTGCTTGACATGACATGACTTAAGCATATTTCGTGGAGCTTCGGTGCTGCTTTTTAATTTGTAAAAAGGTCATGTAATTTCCATATATGATGATTATGATCCCCCTCTTTTCAACCCGAAAAAGAAAGGGAAGGAAAAGGCATTCGTATTTTGCATCACGTTTGATCCCACAATACTCGAGCCCTCACCAGAAAATTGAGCTATTGCTTTGTAAAAAGAAACCGTGTATTAACGAACTGTCGAATTCTGGGCTTTGGAAGAAGTTGATGTGGGCTTTGGCTTTCCTTCTTTTGTGGGTTTCCATATTAGTACTTCACTAGCAAAAGGTGCCCGCGCGATGCTGCGGGTTTTAAAATTGCGTGAAATGTGTATAAAGCGATGAAAATAGGCAGGGAACATCTCAACTACCCAATTGCCAAAACACTCAAAGGATTTACCAACATGTTCAAATATTGTAATCATCTAAACCTATCATTACAACAACAAATTAACACCAACCAATTGTCAATTGATGCCATTAGCTAATTCCTATGCTCTATTCACAAAACTTAAAACAATTAATTGAAATTTCAGCCTAGAAACTCACCCCTTGCTTAACAGAACTGAAAACACCAACCAAACTGCTCTATCCAAAGGAAAGAAAGACCACCTGCAAAATATCAAAAGAAAACATGATTTTTTTAAAAAGAAGAAAAAGAAAAAACAGAAAAATCAGGGAAGAAATTAGCTTGAGTATTTTATGCATGCACAATCTTTTCATTAAACCAAAAAATTAGCTTGAGCAAAATCTGTATGGAAAGAAACCACAGGGAAAATGTATGTAATTGAGTTCCTTACCTCTCCAACATTAAATATAAATCTTTGCTTGTCAAAGAATAGCAACACTGAAGGAGATGTATCTTGCGTATCCATTCCAGTCCCTAGCAGCTGCAAAGAGTAGAAGCATGGCCAAATTATTAGCCCATGAAAAGGAAAAAAAACAATATAACCAAACTCTGCATTCTGAAATTAGGATATACAAACTTTTTTAGTTTTCAATAAGTCTCCATTCAATGCAATAATCAACAAAAATCCGCTTGGTAAATCAAACCCACAAACAAAAAAACCTATGAATTTTAACTTTTCTGAATTCTTTCTCGTCATCTCTAATGTCCACAAACAGAATTCCAATTTAGAAGTCAGATTTTCAAATCCCACATATTTCCTAAACCAATCTTCTTCAAGTCAACTATGCTAAAACATTGCAATCAGTTCCTAGAATCACACTCCCAAATTTTCTTTCCCCTACCAAAACAAAAATTATCAAATTCAAATCCCCAGTCCCATAAACCAGTATAAGAACGAATTTGAATTAAAACCCTGTAGTAAAAGAACGAACATGTCTTTAAACATAACTACCCAAATAGCAGCATATCCTGCTTACCAAAACAGAGCTATCCTAAACCCTGTAACAAAAGAACCAGCATATCCAAATACCGATTTTGAGGGTTTACCAACTAATTTTTAATAATCAAACAGAAAACCTTACCAAAAGCAATCATATAGTATTTTAATAACTAAATTGTTTCACCTGGTTTCATCAAAATAATAACACAATCAAATCAATTTCAGTATTTGGATAACATTTGCAAATCAATAACACAGATCCACTATGAGGAAAAATTAGGAATTTGGACTTTTAGGGCAGCAAATTAAAACAGGTCTTATAGTTTAATAAAATAAGATCCAAGATATTAGTAACAAAAAAAAAATGAAAAAGAAGAGCAACAAAAATTGAATGGAAAGATGAAGCAAAATTTACTTACAGATCAGTGAGAGAGAGAGACCGAAACATAGAAAAAGCTGGAGTTCAATCTTAAGAAGAAGACCAACGCTCGCCACTCCTATAAAGTCAAAGCCTCCAGATAACAATTGATAACAAACTTAGAACAATTGTGATAATTTATAATTAAATAGGTATGAGAGAATTAAGCCAAAACACTCAACCTTTAATAGCCTCAAATCAATGGGTGTTTATTCTATTGCTACAAATTTGGAAACTGGTAGGTGTTAGTGCAAACAAATGGGAAAATTTAGTGAAGACAATGGCTATTATTACAGAATTAAGGCCACAAAATCAACTGCACAAACCACAATTTAAATACGCCACATTCTACGAATGTGGTGGACAAAAGTATAATGTCATTGCCACAAATTATTAAATACCTATAACAGAATGAATCCAAAAGACCCAGCCTTTAATAGAATCAAACCAAATACCCATAACAGAATCAAACCATGTGCAAGTTTGTTGTACAAAAGAATAGATTATCTCTAGACACCTATGGTCAAAACTGATACATGTATTCCCAATTATAGGCTATGTTAATTTAATGGAGAAGCTATAAAACCAGAAATAACCTATAAACACCTATAGGTTATAGAACCCTAATCAACTTACTGATAGCATCAAGGGAAGCCAAGAGGACCTGTCCGGGAACTATGGCAAAGAATGCATTCCCTGCTTGGGATTTAACCAAACGTCCCATCACTGATCAAATCGTAATACCAACCCCATCAAGCATAGATTTGCCAAGCTTTGATGCCATTTTTGACAACTACTATCACTGAATTAGCAAAATAAAGTAGAAAGAACTGATAAGAAAAAATAAATTTAATGTGTTAAACTTATAACCATAAAAACTTAAAAAGAAATTCATATAGTCCTCAGGGGAACCTTTCAAATTGATTCAGTATGAAATCTAACATTAAAAAATCATAAAATAAACCTAACCTCCAACATAAAATACCCATTCATATGAGATTTCCTTCCCTGTTTCTACTTCATGTCACCTATATACCAAAGAAAAGATATCAAGAGAAATATCATTTTAAGGTATAAAAATAAACCATAACTATGAAGGAAGAAACACATTCATTGTCCACATCTCAATTCATTATAAGGTATAAAAATAAACCACAACTAATCCTAAAATTAAGGATTTAAAGTAACAAATTTACAATAAAGATTTTTTTTTAAAAAGTTCAAACTTAAAATGGAACCAAGTGAAAGAAGAGAAAACTACCAAAGGCTATGGAGCATAAAGCATTTAAGTTTTTGAGAAGAATGTGCAGAGAAATCGGGTGTAAAAGAAGGTGTGGATATGCTGATAGGTTTTCATAATATTCCAGAGGATGCCTATGACGCAACCTCCTTCACATCTGCCACCAAAGCCAAACATCAAATACAAAATACGATTCAAATTATCGAAACAAAATTAGAAAAAAGCGAAATAAATGTGATAAAAGAGTGACGCTTTGGGGTCAAAGGTGGAGCCCTTTGGCAACAAATTGGATTTTGCCAGGAGGAGAGTTGAGAAGGAACCACTTCCCCACCCCAAAAATACATTGACTACATTAGACACTAACAAATAATCAAAATGGGTACAAATTTATTAATTGGAAAAAAATAAAGTATAAACGGCAAAGAGAACAAACCTCATTAATGGCAAGCACTTGGCCATTGCTCTTCTTGACCTTCTTCAGCTTCCTCATAAAATACCTAATCCAAACAAATCAATCAACAATATTAAGTTTAACCAAAAATTCACCAATGAACATTTGGGAAGGCTAAGGATTATTCCAGAACTTGGACTTGGCGTGAACCTCATTTGTGGCCCAGAGCTTCATTTGGTAAATCTTGGGGTGCTCATTAGATGCCATAGGGAGCTTTCTCCCAACAACCTGGTACTGGTGGAACTGCAACACAAAAAACACCATTAATTGCAGCTTTACCATTTGACATGCCCTAGGAGAAATATATCACACAAAAACAAATACCAAATTAAATGGAACCTAAGAAACTGTGAAGATAATTTCTAGATATTTGTTCACCAAATTTCATACAACAATCCTCCACTTAAACTGACTGTTCACAACAATACTAAGAATTTGTAGGCATATTACATATGCAATATTTGGCTAATCCATTTCACCAGCAACCATATATTTAACTAAATAAACTATGTCAAAAACCAAATGGGTAGTCTTCCAGAATAAAACCAACCTTCTTGAAGCATACCCATCTAAGTTATAAGAACCCCTTAGCATCCCAATACCCTAACATGGAAAAAAGAAGCATAATTTAGAATTCTGTAACAGAAATTGTCTCATTAAATTAAACAGAAATAAAAAACAGCGAATTTAAGGCTGAGATGTAATCGACTTATTGAAAGAAAAAAAATTGAGGGTGAGAGAACAATTGACAAACCTCTTTGCTAGTCCAAATGCGGAACCCTACTTCGTTTTTTCTCGCAACACCTTCAAAGTCAGTCAACATTCTGTGCTGTTCTACAAAAGATATTTACGAACACAGAACGTCATAAAATACCTTTATTGTAAATTTGTTCAACACAAAAAATCCAGAACCAAAATATTTGACGAAATTCTATTAAAAGAAAAATAACTGAAATTAAAGAGAGGGAGAGAGAACATTGTATCCCTCAACTTCTGTACATATACACTGGCTCTGTCCCACAACATCAGCAAGGGCAATGGCAAGCCTTTATTCACGCACAAACAGTCACCTGCCATTACCAATTCAAAAGCCTGTTCAATCCCATCACAGGGGAGAAATACAATCAAAATTAATAAAAGGGAAAGAAATTGAAATACAGTGGAGGCGATTAAAAGATGCAAACCTTGTTTCTATTTCAAAGTCCACGAATAGATGTAAGTGCACCATTTTGTTGTAGTCCTGCAATACACAGAGTCATCAGCTTCACCCAAGCAACTCCGCATGCCAATTCAAATCTACCATGAACCAATCCATAAGCCCAAACATAGAACCCAATTATATGATAAACCATCACACAAAAGGCTTAATTTTGGTCCAAAAGGGCAATTCGAGGATATGGTTCTTACTTGAAATGCTTTGTTGAGGTTGCAAAATCACCTTTTTCCTCATGCTCAAACCATTCAATAACCAAAAAACAATGAAAGGAAATTTTCATTGTAATGCTAAGCACATGTATGAAAGAACAAAGGCACCAACTTTTCAATCCAACATAATTATAGAACAAAGACTCAAACTTTTTCCTTTATGTCCTTGAGTTTCCACAGAAACCCAAGTGATTTCAATAAAAAGTACTAATGTTATTAAGTGGGTGACCTCAAATGCTCTTATAAGCATAATTATTGAACTCCTACCCACAAAACAACAGTAAAATGTTTAAAAAGATGACATTTTCTGTTTTTTTCTTGCATTTTCTAAGCAAACAAACAGAGAGTAAGTAGGTTTCTACATATTTTATACAGTGTAAAATCAGATTTTTTGTTTGAATGATCTTATATTGAACCAACCATCTCTACCTTCCAGCTAAGAGACTTGTCGATTAGTTCAGAATATCAGCTCCTAATCATATTTTCTTTTAGATGCAAACAGATATTAAGCTCCTAGGGTTCATTATCCACATGCTCAAATAGAGAGAGACAGAGAGATCTTGACTGCTTAATAATTTTTTGGGCAAGAATCAAAGGATTGAACAGCACGCTCAGAAACCCATCAGCAAGCCATTAATCCGTTAAAAAGTAAAGGGATGCAAACCTGAAGAGAAAAGATGGAAGAACTTGCAGATCGAAAATCTCTCAGACGAACGTTGCACAGAGGATGAAAGATGGTTGAACCAACGAATGAGCAGATGAGATGAGATGAAGACCAAACGAACGGCGAGATTCGCAAGGCGCTAGCCCAAATGGAAATCTACGGCCCCAAAGGAATCCCGAAGATCGAAGCCGTGCATTCCATGGCTGCCCCCAACCAGCCCAACCAAGCTGGTTCGAAGCGGACGATCGTTCTGTGGAAACGAAACAGTGGGGAGAGTTAGCATCGCAAAAAAGGAACATAAGGAAAATTTCAGTAAAGGGCAAAATCGGCACTTCACTATTGCTAAGCTACAGTCTAGGAACAGTGAATTCCTGGATTCAGTTTTAATATATATATAATTTTCTAGAATTCGTCCTCAATGGTCCAGTACCTTTCAATGTGGAAGCTTATTTTACTTGTTACGAAAGTTTCCTTTTTTATTTTATGAATACAAGCAATAAACTAAATTACAATGAGGTATTTCACACACACTACCAATCTGTCATGAGGGTTCAAATCTAAGATTACTGATATGCAAGTCCAAACCCTTTTCCACTAGTATACAAGTCATCAAAATTCTTTTTCACTAGACTAAACGCGTTAGCATTACGAAAGTATCCTAAAACCAATATTTCTATATTTTCCTAGAAAGCACTAGTGCAAAACGTGACTTTGGTCGTTGTTGGTAGCTTCTGTCGAGCTTCCCTATTGACCCGAAGAGTCTTTCGCCCTCACATATTCATATCGTCTTCTATGTGAAGAAGAATATTACAATGTATTTTATATATTCTTTGCTTCTCTTTTCTTTGTTCGACCACCAATAAAGGTAAGACAAAACTTGTTTTCTTGGGTTCAAATGACTTGTGAAATCTAAATTTATATGTTAACAGTCTCTGACAAGGTTTCAGAGTTGGGTCTTGTTTGGGTGTAGTTATGGCATTGGAGGCAGTGGGAGGAGCTGCTCTAGGAGCAGTATTTGGGACGCTGCTTGATGGTGTTATAGCGGTGTCGTCGAAGACTATAATGTTTAAAACCCACCTCAGAGATCTCAAATTCACCATGGACTCTTTTCAGCAAGTGGATGAAGATGTAAGACAACATCCCAACATATTGTTTCGCCCCATCCCAGGCCTAGAAAGGTTTAGGATCCAAATGAAGAAGGGCGTTCAGCTCGTTGACAAGTGCTCCAAGGTTCGTCCATGGAAGTTAAACGCTTTCAAAAAGCTTATTTACACCAGCAAACTTGTTGCATTGAATGCATCTCTCAATACACTGTTAAGTGTACTGACAGTGCACATAATAAGTGATCTGAGGGCTCGGGTAATCGATGTGGCTACAACATTGAATCAAATCGATGCGAATATTGTGGCACAATATCAAAATCAAAATCAAAACCAAATTAGAGGTTGGTGTGCAATACCTGAGCCTCCACCCTTTACTGTTGGATTGGATGTGCATGTGGAGGAGTTGAAGATGGAGCTTCTTAAAGACGAGGCATCAATGCTTGTGGTGACTGGTCTTGGAGGATGCGGGAAAACCACACTGGCACAAAAGATTTGCAAAGATCAGAAAGTCAAAGGTATATATGGTACAGAAGTATATCAATTTCTCTTTATTTTTATACTAATTGGTGAATTATTCATAAATTGAAACATTCTATACCATCTAGAATTTAGAATGTGTTGAAGAAAGAATTTGTACAATTGTAGACAGATTTAAACGACCCCTTGGCGACTGCTTTCTTTTGTTCTTCTTGGACAGAAAAATTCAAAGGCAATCTCTTTTTCGTCACTGTTTCAAAGAAGTCCAACTGCCTTGTTGTACAAGAACTATGTCAAAAAACCGGATCCCTGGTACCTTCTTTCCAAGAAGAAGCAATTGCATTTAACTGGCTGCAAGAATTTCTGAACGAAACAGGACAAGATCCTTTACTTTTGGTCCTGGATGATGTGTCGCCAGGATCAGACTCCCTTCTTGATAAGCTTGATGAATTCAAAAGGCCAAATCACAACATTTTGGTGACATCAAGAGTTAAATTTCCAAGATTTGGTCCTGCATATCTTTTAGGAACATTGGAACCAGGAGATGCAATGACACTTTTTCGTCATTCAGCATCCCGGTCTGATAGGAGCTCTTATATACCGGACAATCTAGCGGAACAGGTAATTTCTTATTTGCATTTCAAAACATAATTTGTGTTTATTGTGCCTATCAAAAAAAGGAGACAAATAACCTTCATTTTCTATGTGAATCGTCCATACACGCAAGTTAACACATTACGATATCTGAAAATGCATATACCTCTATGCCTACTTTACTTATAAACTAAATTGAAAATAAGAATAAGGAGAAGCAGATAGCCGGTTAACCAAACAATTGATATGATTTGGAAGAAGTTCAATTTTCGATGTGCAACTCAAATAGTAATTGACTTCATTTGGGACAATTTAACTGCAGATAGTACAGCACTGTAAGGGATTTCCACTTGCCATTACAACTATCGGAAGATCAGTTTGCGAACAGCCTACAGAGATCTGGGAGAAAAGAGTAGCGGAATTGTCTAAAGGCTCTTCTATTCTTGATTCTGAGGATTATTTTCTTGCTTGCCTCAAAAGTAGCTTAGATGCCTTGGATGAACGAATGCCTATCATCAAGGAATGCTTCATTGACCTTGCTTTATTTCCTGAAGACCGAAGTATCCCTGCGGTTGCTCTCATTGATCTGTGGGCAGAGTTATATGGACTAGATAAGGATTCTTGGTCCATTGCGAAAATCCACGAGCTTACCAATCGTAATTTAGCGAATCTAGTCACAAGGTATATGCAAGCTTATATTCGTCTCGTCTTTGATATCTTTTCTCACCTTACCTTTTCTTTTAATATTTATGACTAGCTAAGCAAATAGTTATGATCTTAACCAGGAATGGGAAGACGGAGATGGATGGCTATTACAGTGAACACTTTGTTACCCAGCATGATATGCTTAGAAATCTAGCTATCCATCAGATTGGTCAAGATGAAATAGGAAAGGAAAAAAGGCTGGTTATAGATATTTGTGGTGACAATCTCCCTAAGTGGTGGACAGAACAGAAGATTAAACCCAAGATGACCCGCTCATTATCTATCTCAACTGGTTGTCCCATCTCTCCTTCTTTACCAAATGCATATGACAAACACACACACATGTAAACACTAAGGCTTGAATGTAGGACTTTCGCATTAATTTCTTCCCACACTCACATCATATAGCATACGGTTTGCAGATGGATTGTCCTCGGAAAAGTGGCACGACATGCATCTACCAAAGGCTGAGGTTCTAGTTCTTAATTTTCAGACAGAGAACTATGGTCTGCCCAAATTCGTGAAGAAAATGTCCAAGTTGAAGGTTCTAATAGTCACAAATTATGGTGTCTTCCAAGCTGACTTGAGTAATTTCAAGCTTTTGGGTTCTTTGGCTAATCTGAAGAGAATAAGATTAGAGCGCATTTCAATTCCTTCCATAAGCAAGAACTCCATGCAGTTGAAGAGTCTGCAGAAGATATCTTTATTCATGTGCAGCATCGGTCAAGCTTTTAGCAACTCTTCCATCCAAATCTTAGAGGCATTTCCAAATCTAGTGGAATTGAACATTGACTACTGCAATGATTTGGTGGAATTGCCTGTCAAGATCTGTGATCTTATCCGCCTAAAGAAGCTCAGTATTACCAATTGCCATAAGCTATCTCGCTTGCCTGAAGAGATTGGAAAGCTAGAGGGTTTAGAGGTATTGAGGCTGAGGTCCTGCACAGACTTGGTAAAACTTCCTGGCTCCATTAAGGACCTCACTAAGTTACGCTTACTTGACATATATAAATGTTTCAGCATCAAGGAGTTGCCTGAAGACATTGGTGAAATGAGCGGTTTAGAAAAAATCAACATGGGACAATGCTCAAGATTGCAAGAGTTGCCTGTATCAGTTTTGAATCTTGTGGAGTTACGGGAAGTGATATGTGATGATTACACAGAAAACTTATGGGGGGAACCTTTCAAATCCAATCTCACAAAGATAAAGATATCGGTGGTAAAAGAAGACTTCAACCTGAATTGGCTCCACAATCTTTGAGAGCTGAATGTCCTTAATAAACGTATGTTGGGGCAATGGCTCTGTGAGTATGTTGTGTTTCAATTCTTTTTTACCTCGTCATTTTGTTCTCTTTCTCGTTATTTTTGCATAGTAAAAACAGTGTAGAGGGTTTGGATTTACAAACCATACACTAAAGATTTAAATGTGCGATTTCTTATGAGGGAAGACAAAGTGGGGCAGGGGCTACTCTGGTGCAAAATTATTCAGGAAAGAAGACAAGAATCTACCTTTCTTTCTTGGAAACAACTCTAAGCTCCAAATTAGTCAAAATACTAACATATTACTTGGAGCCGAAGGCAAAACTTCACTGAGTGTATAACTTAGACATGTGGGTTGAAATTGCAGTCCCATCGAACAAGTCTAATAGGAAAGCATTGGAAAAAACCTAGTAATAAAAATATCAATATTTGAGGCTTTCTCTATCAAGTCAACTGTTTTTTTCTTTTCAGGTTTTACAGTGGAAGAAGACCTGTTTAGCTGCTGCCTTGCCAATCATTAGAGTCAATTGTATTAAACGCGGAAATCTCGACAGCATCTGTAGTGTACAATTTTGGGTTGAAACTGATCTTATTACAATTTTGGGTTGAAATTCATTATTCGGCCCAGGTGGTGTGGGGGCTTTGTCAACTTCGGTCTTACGTTTTGGAGGCCCTAAACGAACATCCTAAATGGGCCCTTCTCCTTTATATGTAAATTTATATGATTTTTTTCTTTTTCAATAAGCTAAAAAAATATTATATGAACTCAAATTCACAATTGTAACATAAAATGAACAATCAATATGTAATTTACACAACAAATTTATAAAATGCATCAAAACATCACTTAAATATAAAGTAAATATAACTTGTCTTGCATTTTTCGATTCAAAAGTACTAATTAACTTTACATAATCAAATTTTTCTACCATATCTTTTTCAATTTCCTTATTGATTCAACTAGGTTAATTAATTTAAGCTATAAGTTTAAAAAATAATTAGGTCTTTATTGAGTATTCTTTTTTTAGTTTTGAATTGAGTCATTGGCCAAGTTTTTCTTTTCTTTTTCTTTTTTCTTTTTTACAATAAGTGGACTTTTATTGAGTTTCCTATTTTTAATTTTTAATTGAATGATTAGAGAAGTTTTTTATATATATTTACAATAATTGGTTTGGACCCACATAATATTTATATAATATAATTTTTCTAAATAATATAGGTCTGTATATATATGGTATTATACAAAATTAGGGGCCCTAGACGGCTGCCTTGCCTGCTTGTTCCTGGGCCTCCTTGCGTTCCAGGTATAAATAACCTTTATGCTAAAAGAAGGAAGACAAATAAAATGAGTGACAATACGAAGAAAACAGATATGTTGGGCTTTTCTAAGCGTAAATGTCAACTCTACTTAGGCTTGTCCCCTCTCCCTCTGTTTTCTTTATTTTTTTTTGGGTGAACAAGGGAGGGGTAAGAACCCCCAACAACCAAAGAAACTAAACAACACAAATCATACGAGGTTTAGACAACCCCAGCAGGTTATCCACTAACACAGAGCCAAGCCAGTTAGGAGCCTCATCAAGCAGATACAAACCCGGATCCAAGTTATGACTCCAACTAGCCAATCTGTCTGCAACAGTGTTCTTCTCTAAATCTCATAACTCTCAAACTTGTGTAGGATCCCCACGCGAACATAAATAACAAACACAAACAACAGCAAGAAAAACGGAAATTTACATAACCAATGCAATGGTTAAGGTGTTTATCCTAGACCCGAAGGTGTTTTATTTATACTAGTTCAAATTAAGTTGTCAATTACCACTATTTATTCAATCAAATTGTGGTAAAGTTGTCACTTATGATTGTAGATATTGTGGTAAGTACATTTATATACTTGGTAAACTTTGGCCCAGCCCTGGTTCAGTTCACATCAATGCTAGTCAGCTGCCGTTCAAAGTATAAATAACCTTCTTTATGCCCAAAGAAGGAAGACAAATAAAATGAGTGACGACAACGAGAAGAAAACGGATGTGTTGGGCTTTCCTAAGCCTAAAGTCAACTTTGCTTAGGCTTGTCATCTCTCCCTCTTTGGGCCTTTACGCCACCCCAATGTCAAACATAAATATGAAGATAAAAAACAGCAAGAAAACGAAAATTTACATAACCAATGCAATGGTTAAAGTGTTTATCCTAGACCCGAAGATGTTTTATACTATCGCTTGTATTATAAATAATAAAAATAATAAAAAAAAACTCAAACTTATATTTCTAGTTCAAATTAAGAGGTCTTGTATGATCACCAGCAAAGTAAGAGAGTTTTTTTTTTTTTAAACGAAAGTAAGAGAGTTTATATTAAGACTCTCAACTTCCCCACAATTTTTTTTTAATCGTGGCACTGGAGTTAATCGGAGGGGCTGGTCTAGGAGCAGTATTTGCAATGCTGTGTGATGTGGTAAAGATAAAAATGGAAAAGGGTGTGAAATTGAGACCCTTGGGAGCTCTCAAATCCACCCTAGACTCTTTGCAACCGCTGATCATTGCACAAATAGAAGAGCACAATGTGCAACTGGGTCTTCCTAACGACTTAATAGAGAGTCTCAAAAACAAATGGAGGAAGGGACAAGGTTGGTTCAAGGGTTGTCCAATCTTCACATCTTGCACTTGATGTTCAACTGCACAACCCACCACACCGAGCAGCTTGTCACGTTGGATGACCGTCTTAAGATGCTGTCGGAGAGCCTAAAGATACAGGAAGCAAGGGATATGAAGGAGACATTGCTTTTGGCAAGGCAAAGCTTCAAAAAGCTCGTTGAATTTGAAGGTTATAACAGGGAACAGTTGGAAACTCTGAGGCTGCAAGTGCAACAGCAAGAGCAACCAAGTGCTCTGAAGGAGACGTTGGCTTTGGCAAGAGAAAGTGCGAAAGCACTTGCTGGAATGAAAGGGTCTATTAGAAGGCTGCTGGCTACACTAGAGCTGCAGCTGTAATCTGAAATGGACGTGGAGACCTTTGGTTCAGTAAAAAATATAGAGTCTGCTCTCGAGCGAGCTGAAAAAAGCAGTGCAGCACAAGGTAACGCTCCTTTTATTATTATTACTCTTCCTAACTTTAAAAGAGGTCACAAGTTGGAATCTAACAACCCTTTTTTTGGGTATGATTATACAGCAGTGGCATCGATAGTCGAAGGGGCTGCTCTAGCAGCAGCATTTGGGGAGCTGTTTGATGCTGTTATAGGAGTGAAGGACAAGACGGCCATGTTTAGACTCCTGCTTGGAGATCTTGATTCCACGCTATACTCTTTAAAACCATTTATCGCGAAAACAGTAGAATATACCAATATGGATTGCCCCTATATAGAGGAACTGGAAAATTTTAAAATGCAAATGGAGGAGGGCATGAGAAGCTTGTTCGTAAGTGCTCCAAGGTCAGGCTGTGGAGCAGTTACAAAAAGTATAAATACACCGACCAACTTGTTGCATTGGATAAATCTCTTCAAAGACTTGTAGGTATACTGAAAGCAGTGCAAGGAGAAAACTAAATAATCAGCCTGCGAGGACTTGCTTTATTTGAACCCATTTTGGTCTCTGGTTTTGGTTTTTTCACTTTAGTTGCTGATCCAGTGACACATGTGTATGGCTGGGGTCGCCTTTGTGTTCAAACTTTTACCATTTAATCAATTAAGAAGCTGTAACAGTTAACATGGACCTCGTGGGAAATAAAAATGTAGCTTGTACTTCAGATAATATACAGCCTCGTGGGAAAGCAGTTTTAATACGAAGTCGGACGACCTATTTTCTTCATTTTCTAACCACACCCAATATACTAATGGGTTCTCATCTTTATTATTATTCTTCTTCTCTCTTCTTCTCTGCAACTAAAAACTGAGAGAGAGAGAGAGAGAGAGAGAGAAGAGAAAGAGAGGCACAAGTTAACAACGGTGCTTGCTTGATATCACCGTGGAGCACGACCACACCTCGAAGACCCCAAAACGAACGCCTACACCATTCACGTGGTAGGATCTGGAATTAGATCTGGATTTCCACTATTTGTAGATAAATCTTTTCACTTTGATTTTTTTATTTCACTAACTTTAAGTGGGGCTGGTTGGAATTTGAAATTTCAATTTTGGATGGATTTTTATTTATCCAAGTGGGATTATAAAATCCGCTATGTTTGAACAAAATATGGTTTTAAAGTGTTGTTTCTTTAACGTGTTGTGTTTTTTTCCAAGTGGGATTATAAAATCCGCTATGTGAGTTTTTTTTAGTAGTGGTGGTAGGTAATTAAAGGAGAGAGAAATTTCAGGTTATGCATACACATGGGTTGCTTTTTGGTTTGTCATGTGGGTATTTTTTCTTTTTGAAAAGTTTGGCGTAGGCAGAGCCTACCTTGCCCTGGGCTTAGGAACTACCTTGTGTATATATATATATATATATATATATATATATAATGTTATGGCTTGCTCTATGAAGTCATGTCGTCGGAGTCAATAACCAACAGCAGCCTCCTAAAAGTCAAGGCAATTTGATGCTTTCACAATTCGACAAACTTACACAACATTGCTTGTATCAATATCTATAACGCGTTCCTACTGAGGAAGTTTCGATCGGGATTTCCAAAGAAAAAACAACATTAAATGGGATGACCTTGACCCAGAGAGTCTTGCAAATAACATATTCTTTGGCCATTGAAGCTGAACATACTTGCTTATCTTCACTTGAATGATAAGTAATAGAAGCAAGTTGACTCCTTCTGCATTGCTTGGTTCTGGGTCTCTTGATGCAAATGTTTTCTTCTCGGCTTCCAAGCTTCTCTTTTTTTTCTTTGGTCAATTTTCCAAGCTTATCTTAAGAGTCTCTCACTTGTTCCTCATTTGTAATCTGCCTTACAAAGTGTGGGTTTTGTCTTACAAGTTCAGATTGAAACAAATACAAACTTTCAGAACTGAGTTGTTGTAATTATGGATCCGGTTACTTTAGTTGTAGGGTCTGCTCTAGGAGCAGCATTTGAAATTCTGTTTTCTGCCGTTCTAAAAGCGAAGAGCACAGCCAATATGTTTCAAACACACCTCGGAAATCTCAATGCCACGCTAGACTCGTTAAAACCAGTGATTATACAGCTAGAATCTGCCAATCGTTTGGTTCCCCTGGAGAAGAGCCTAGAAAATTTTACAACAAAAATGGAGGAGGGCAAGAAGCTGGTTGATGAGTGCTGTGAGGTGTGGAGGATCGACCTCATCAAACAGCACAAATACACCGGGAAAATTGAGGCATTGGATGACTCTCTCCATAGACTCTTAAGTATACTGTCAGTGCAGTTAGGAAGCCATTCAGCGATGATGCTTCACCGAATTGGTGGAAACGTTGTGGCACAAAATAAAAATCAAATCGGGGTTCGGTGTGCAGTACCTCCACTTCCATCGGTTATTGTTGGCTTGGATGCGCCTTTGGATGATCTGGAGATGAAGCTCCTTGGGGATGGCACCGAGTCAATACTTGTGCTTACTGCTGCTGGGGGATGCGGGAAAACCACTTTGGCAACAATGTTTTGTCATGATCCGAGAGTCAAAGGTACCTGAAATAATTTAACATCATTTGCATTTGTGAAAAATAAATTATAGAAATCAGTTCCTTGTTGTACAAGCACAGATAAATTTATATGACCTCTTGGTGACAGCTTTCTTATGTGTACTTGCTAGCTAAGTTCAAGGAAAATATCTTCTTTGCCACTGTTTCGAATAAGGTCAGCTACCTTATTGTACAAGAACTATGTGAACATGCGGGATTGGAGGTACCTGCTTTACAAGATGAAGAAAATCCGTTTAAATGGCTGCAAAAGTTTATGACGGAAAGAGGACAAAATCCTTTACTATTGGTCTTGGATGATGTTCAGTCTGAATCAGAATCCCTTCTTGACAAGTTTAATGAATTCAAAATGCCAAGTTGCAAGGTTTTGGTGACATCCAGATATCATTTTCCAAAATTTGGTCGTACATATCCTTTAGACACATTGGAAGATAAATCTGCAATGGATCTTTTTCGTCGTTCAGCATTCCTACCAAACACGAGCAGCTCTGACATACCAGATGATCTTCAGGAAAAGGTGATTTGTTAGTTTTGAATTTCAAACATTTAAGCTTACTTGTGGATCACAAAAGAGGAAAAGGAATTATGTTCACTCTTTTGCACATATACCTGCAAACAGACATGCATGTAGACTGCCTACTTTACTTTTGAACTAAATCTAAAATAAGAATAAAGAAAAATAGATAGTTATTTGACCATTTTCTCTTCTTCAGGAAACCATTGTTATGATTTAGAGAAAGTTGAACTTTCAGTCTGCAACTTAAATAGTTACTGACTTCGTTTGGGACAAGTGAACTGCAGATCGTACGGTTGTGTAAGAGATTTCCCCTTTCCCTTAAAGCGATTGGAGACTCACTTCGCAATCAACATATAGATATCTGGAGAAAAAGACTAAAGGAATTGTCTAAAGGTTCTATTCTTGAATCAGACGAAAAGTTGCTTGCTTACCTCAAAAGTTGCTTAGATGACTTAGACAAAGGAATGGCTACCGTCAAGAATTGTTTCATAGACCTTGGTTTATTTCCTGAAGACCGAATAATCCCCGTTACTGCCCTCCTGGATATATGGGCAGAGTATGAGGGAACTGAAGATTTTCTGTCCATTGCAAACCTCTACGAGCTCACCAATCGCAATCTTGCCCGCCTTGTAGTAGTCACAGGGTATGCAAGCTTCTATGCCTTTTCTCTTGTACCATATTCCACTCTACCTATCTTTTATATTCCTGACTAGCTTCCACTAGTAACTAATTTTTGCAATACGCATTTTTCCAAATTTCTTCTAAGAAACTAAATTTTGATCATAACCAGCAACGAGGACGTGGATGGCTATTATGGCGAGCACTTTGTTATCCAACATGATATGCTTAGATTGCTATCGATCCATGAGAGTTGTGAAGACCCGAAACAACAGAGACTGATTATAGGCACACGTGGAGACGAGCTTCCAACATGGTGGAAAGAGATGAAGCATAACACGAAGAATGCTCGCTTAGTATCTATCTCAACTGGTTGGCATATCTCTCTTTGTTTACAAAATAGATAGACATGCATACACAAACACACACACACACACACACAAAGGCTTGTTTAATACTTTCACATCAATTTCTACCCCACACTCACATCATATAGCATGTGGTTTACAGATGGATTGTCCTCAGCAAAATGGGACAACATGGATCTACCAAAAGCTGAGGTCTTAGTTTTGAATTTTCAGACAGAGAACTATGTTTTACCCAAGTGCATGAAGCAAATGTCCAAGTTGAAGGTTCTAATAGTCACAAATTATGGTGTCTTACAAGCTGACTTGAGTAATTTCAAGCTTTTGGGTTCTTTGCCTAATCTGAAGAGAATAAGATTAGAGCGCATTTCAATTCCTTCCATAAGCAAGAAATCCATGCAGTTGAAGGGTCTGCAGAAGATATCTTTATTCATGTGCAGCATCGGTCAAGCTTTTAGCAACTCTTCCATCCAAATCTTAGAGGCATTTCCCAATCTAGTGGAATTGAACATTGACTATTGCAATGATTTGGTGGAATTGCCTGCCAAGCTCTGTGATCTTATCCACCTAAAAAAGCTCAGTATTACCAATTGCGTTCAGCTATCTGCCTTGCCTGACGAGATTGGAAAGCTGGACGATTTAGAGGTCTTGAGGCTAAGGTCCTGCACAGATTTGGAACGGCTTCCAGATTCGATTAAGAACCTCTCTAAGTTGAACCTTCTTGACATGTATTATTGTTTCAACATTAAGGAGTTGCCTGAACAGATTGGTGAAATGAGTGGTTTAAGAAAGATCAAGATGGTGCAATGGTTAAGATTGCTGCGGTTGCCTGCATCAGTTTTGAATCTTGAGCAGTTACGGGAAGTGATATGTGACAAAGATACGGAAATTTTGTGGGGGGAACCTTTCAAATCCAATCTCACAAACATAAACATAAGGGTGGTGAAAGAAGACTTCAAACGGAATTGGCTCCACGATCTTTGAGAGCTGACTGTCCTTAATAAATGTATGATGGGGTTAAGTTGTGTTTCAATTCCCTTCTTTTTCCTAATTTTCTTCTCTATTGCGTTGTTTGTTTTCCTTTTGCTTTTGTATGAGACATTGCATGATAAAAACAGTGTGAATGAGAAGATTTGGATTTACAGACCATATACTAAAGATTTACTAGAGTACATGTGCGATTTCTCATGAGGAAAGACAGAGGAGGGCAGGGGCTACATATTTAGTCACAAGCTAACATATTAGGTAAATAATATCTTAGGCATGTGTTTCAAATTGCAGTCTAATACGAAAGCATAGAAGAAGAAAAAAAAGTTACAAAAAATATCGAAATTTCAGGTTCTTAAACCAGTCAAGAACAGATAGCCAATTTTAAATGAAGTACACGCAGAGATGATATCATATGGAACGCGGTTTAGAAGTCTCTGTCGTTGTAGAGTCAATAGCTTTTGGAGTTATACGAAGCCCAGCAAAACGCTTTTGAATTAACCGTTTAAGACATAACTGTAAGCTTCAATTTTGTTGGTGAAAGATTCCTATCAATTTATTCAAGTTTTCCTTAATTTTTTCTTTTTATCAACCAAAGCTGCCAGTTGATCCACCACCACCAACCTATATAATATATATAAAACTCAACTAGTTAGTAGTTGTTACGCGGTCTATCTTGCCAATGAAGGAGACATCGCTTTTGGAAAGCAAAGCGGCGAAAAGGTGGTTGAATTCGAAGGTTATAATAGAGGACAGTTGGAAACTCTGAGGCTGCAAGTGCAACAGAGCAAGAGCAACCAAGTGCTCTGAAGGAGACGTTGGCTTTGGCAAGAGAAAGTGCAAAAGCGCTTGCTGAAATGAAAGGGTCTATTAGAAGGCTGTTGGCTACACTAAAGCTGCAGCTGGAATCCGAAATGGACGTGGAGACTGTTGGGTTTTTAGAAGAACAATTGAGTGATTTTATTTGTTCAACAATAGATGAGTACAAGGCTTTATAGAGGACTTGGCTTATTGGCCTTCTACAACTAGAAAATGTTTACTACGCTTATTGGCCTCCTCCCTATTTTCTGGCTTATTGGCCTCTTCTCTCTTAGTTCACTTATACAAGAGGGCTCAACACCTATATATAGGGTTCACTAGTTTACAATATAATAGTATTATTACCTTATTACAAGATTTTTATTAGGACTTTTCTAGAATGCCCACAACAATTATGTCTCAAAGCTTGACGTTGTCAAAGTTGGTGGACATTTCTTGAGGTTTCTACTTTTTTCTAGATTTTTCTAAATTCTTCAAGACAAGTGTGCATTAAATTTAACAGAGACATTTGGTTCAATAAAGAATATAGAGTATACTCTCGAGCGAGTTGAAAAAGGCAATGCGGTACAAGTTAACACTCCTTTTATTATTATTATTCTTCATAACATTAAAAGAGTTCACAAGTTCGAATATAACAACCCTTTTTTTGGGTATAATTATACAGCAGTGGCATCGACAGTTGAAGGAGCTGCTCTAGCAGCAGCATTTGGGGAGCTGTTTGATGCTGTTATAGGAGTGAAGGACAAGACTGCCATGTTTAGACTCCTGCTTGGAGATCTTGATTCCACGCCATACTCTTTAAAACCATTTATCGCGAAAACAGTAGAATATACCAATGTGGATTGCCCCTATATATATAGAGGAACTGGAAAATTTTAAAATGCGAATGGAGGAGAGTGAGAAGCTTGTTCGTAAGTGCTCCGAGGTCAGTCTGTGGAGCAGTTACAAAAAGTATAAATACATCGACGAACTTGTTGCATTGGATAAATCTCTTCAAAGACTTGTAGGTATACTGAAAGCAGTGCAAGGAGAAAACTAAAAAATCAGCCTGAGAGGACTTGCTTTATTTGCCATTTTGGTCTCTGGTTTCGGTTTTTTTAACTTTAGTTGCTGATCTAGCGCCACATGTGTATGGCTGGGGTCGCTTTTGTGTTTTTAATCTGTTGTTTTCTTCCATTAATTCTTCTTCCACTGGCCCCTTGGCACATGCTCATGCATGTGCCAATTAGTTTTTTTATATAATAAAAGAGTGTGGACGCTGTTTTCTAAGTCAATATTGTATCTTGGTCCATATATCAAGTCATTGTTGGGGTCAGCATAAGAAAAGCACAAGTGGGCTAAATTGATTAAGAGCTTATTTACTTGCCCTATTTAATAAGACCCAGTTTTATGGATATCTAAAAGGCCTCATACACTGACTTCGCCATGTAATTTAGACTATCGCTTGTACGGTTGTATTGAAAAAATATAAAAAACCTCCAACACACATCTGTCCCCATCTTCTAGCAAATATAAGATTACAGATTACCTTTTTACAGTGGAAGGAACAACTGTTTAACTGCGAATTCAAACTTGTAGGAGCCAAAGGAAGTAATTACTCTTTTACAAAAACAAAAGAGAAGCACTCAAAACAAAAGAGAATAAATTTATCTTTTTATTTTTTAACTAAATAAATGTCGCTGGAGTCCTGGACTAAGTAGTTGTGGGCAAAGACAACGCGTCGCACAGTACCTTCCCCAGTTGTACTAAATAGTTGACCCAGAGTCTTTCTATATTCATATCTGAAGAAGAATATTTCAATGTACTAAATATATTCTTGCTCATCTTCTCTTTGTTTTTTTGGGTTCGCATTCACTTTACTTGTGACATCTAAATTTATGTTAAGGTCTCCCACAAAATTTCAGAGTTGGCTGTTGTTTGGGTGTAGTTATGGCATTGGTCTTAGTAGGAGGAGCTGCTCTGGAAGCAGTATTTGGGACGCTGCTTGATGGCGTTATAGCTGTGACTTCGAGGGCTATAATGTTTAAATCCCACCTCAGAGATCTCAAATTCACCCTGGACTCTTTTCAGCAAGTGGACGAAGATGTAAGACAACATCCCAACGTAGTGTTTCGCACAATGCAGGGCCTAGAAAGGTTTAGAATACAAATGGAGAAGGGCGCTCAGCTGGTTGACAAATGCTCAAAGGTTCGTCCATGGAAGTTGAACGCTTTCAAAAAGCCTATGTACACCAGCAAACTTGTTGCATTGAATGCATCTCTCAAAACACTGTTAAGTGTACTGACAGTGCACATAATAAGTGATCTGAGGGCTCGGGTGATCAATGTGGAGACAACGTTGAACCAAATCAATGCGAATATTGTGGTACAATATCAAAATCAAAATCAAAACCAAATTAGAGGTTGGTGTGCAATACCAGAGCCTCCACCCTTTACTGTTGGGTTGGATGTGAAGGTGACGGAGTTGAAGATGGAGCTTCTTAAAGACGAGGCATCAATGCTTGTGGTGACTGGTCTTGGAGGATACGGGAAAACCACACTGGCACAAAAGATTTGCAAAGATCAGAAAGTCAAAGGTATGGTATACAAGTATATCAATTTCTATAGCCTTATTTTTATACTAATTGGTGAAGTTTTTTTTCATTCATAAATTGAAAAGTTCTATACCACTTATAATCTAGAATTTAGAATGTGTTGAAGAAAGAATTTGTACAATTGTAGACAGATTTAAATGACCTCTTGGTGACTACTTTCTTGTGTTCTAATTGGACAGAGAAATTCAAAGGCAATATCTTTTTCGTCATTGTTTCAAAGAAGTCCAACTGCCTTGTTGTACAAGAACTATGTCAAAAAACCGAATCCCTGGTACCTGCTTTCCAAGAAGAAGCAATTGCATTTAACTGGCTGCAAGAATTTCTGAATACAACAGGACAAGATCCTCTACTTTTGGTCCTGGATGATGTATATCCAGATTCAGACTCCCTTCTTGATAAGCTTGATGAATTCAAAAGGCCAAATCACAACATTTTGGTGACATCAAGAGTTAACTTTCCAAGATTTGGTCCTGCATATCTTTTAGGAAAATTGGAACAAGGAGATGCAATGACTCTTTTTCGTCATTCAGCATCCCGGACTGATAGCAGCTCTTATATACCAGACAATCTAGCAGAACAGGTAATTTCTTATTTGCATTTCAGAACATAATTTGTGTTTATTGTGCCTCACAAAACAAGGAGACAAATAACCTTCATTTTCTATGTGAAGGGTCCATATACACAAGTGAACACATTTTGATATCTGAAAATGCACATAACTTTATGCCTACTTTACTTATAAACAAAATCGAAAATAAGAATAAGGAGAAGCAGATAGCCGGTTAACCATTTTCTTATCTTCATTAAACAATTGATATGATTTGGAGAGGAGGTTAAATTTTCGATGTGCAAGTAATTTACTTCATTTAGGGACAATTTAACTGCAGATAGTTCAGCTCTGTAAGGGATTTCCACTTGCCATTACAACGATCGGAAGATCAGTTTGCGAACAGCCTACAGAGATTTGGGAGAAAAGAGTAGCGAAATTGTCTAAAGGTCCTTCTATTCTTGATTCTGAGGGTTCTTTGCTTGATTGCCTCAAAAGTAGCTTAGATGCCTTGGATGAAAGAATGCCTATCATTAAGGAATGCTTCATTGACCTTGCTTCATTTCCTGAAGACCGAAGTATCCCTGCTGTTGCTCTCATTGATATGTGGGCAGAGTTATATGGGCTAGATGAGGACTTTTGGTCCATTGCGAACATCCACGAGCTAACCAATCGTAATTTGGCCAATCTAATTACAAGGTATGCAAGCTTCTATTCATTTCCTCTTTGATATCTCTTCTCACTTTACCTTTTCTTTGATTGTAAGCAACATATTTATGATCATAACCAGGAATGGAAAGATGGAGTTGGATAGCTATTACAATGAACACTTTGTTACGCAGCATGATATGCTTAGAAATCTGGCTATCCAACAGACTGGTCAGGACAGAATAGGACAGAGAAAAAGGCTGATTATAGACATTTGTGGTGACAATCTCCCTAACTGGTGGACAGAACAAAAAAATAAGCCCAAGAAGACCCGCTTATTATCTATCTCAACTGGTTGTCCCGTCTCTCCTTCTTTACCAAATACATATATCACAAACACACACACACATGTAAACACTAAGGCTTGAATATAGTATTTCTTCATGTTTGCAGATGGATCGTCCTCAGCAAAGTGGCACAACATGCATCTACCAAAAGCTGAGGTTCTAGTTCTGAATTTTCAGACAGAGAACTATGTTCTGCCCAAATTTGTGAAGAAAATGTCCAAGTTGAAGGTTCTGATAGTCACAAATTATGGTGTCTTACAAGCTGACTTGAGTAATTTCAAGCTTTTGGGTTCTTTGCCTAATCTGAAGAGAATAAGATTAGAGCGCATTTCAATTCCTTCCATAAGCAAGAACTCCATGCAGTTGAAGAGTCTGCAGAAGATATCTTTATTCATGTGCAGCATCGGTCAAGCTTTTAGCAACTCTTCCATCCAAATCTTAGAGGCATTTCCAAATCTAGTGGAATTGAACATTGACTACTGCAATGATTTGGTGGAATTGCCTGTCAAGATCTGTGATCTTATCCGCCTAAAGAAGCTCAGTATTACCAATTGCCATAAGCTATCTCGCTTGCCTGAAGAGATTGGAAAGCTAGAGGGTTTAGAGGTATTGAGGCTGAGGGCCTGCACAGACTTGGTAAAACTTCCAGGCTCCATTAAGGACCTCACTAAGTTACACTTACTTGACATATATAAATGTTTCAGCATCAAGGAGTTGCCTGAAGACATTGGTGAAATGAGCGGTTTAGAAAAAATCAACATGGGACAATGCTCAAGATTGCAAGAGTTGCCTGTATCAGTTTTGAACCTTGGGGAGTTACGGGAAGTGATATGTGATGATGACACAGAAAACTTATGGGGGGAACCTTTCAAATCCAATCTCCAAAAGATAAAGATATCGGTGGTAAAAGAAGACTTCAACCTGAATTGGCTCCACAATCTATGAGAGGTCACTGTCCTTAATGAATGTAAGTTGGGGGCAATGTCTCTGTCAGTGAGTTGCGTTTCAATTCCTTTATTTTTCCTAATGTTCTTCTCTATTGCGTTGCTTGTTTTTCATTTTGCTTTTTTATGAGATATTGCATAATAAAAACAGTGTGAATGAGAGGATTTGGATTTACAAACAAACCACTTACTAAAGATTTATTAATGTACATGTGCGATTTCTTATGAGGAAAGGCAGAGGAGGGCAGGGGCTAACATATTACTTGGAGCCGAAGGCAAAGCTTTACTGAATCAATGGTGAAAGATAAATAATATCTTAGGCATGTGGTTTCAAATTGCAATCCCATCAAACAAGTCTAATAGGAAAGCATGGAAAAAAAATATCAAGTTCAGGTTCGAAAACCAGTCGAGAACAGATAGCCAATTATGAAAAAAAAACTTTAAACAATCAGAGATAATATTGCGCACCATATCCATATCATATGGAACGCGGTTTAGAAGTCTCTGTCCGATCCAACCATAAAAGCCAACTTGGAAAAGACCCATATTAATTCCAAGTCAATAAATATAATGTTATGGCTTGCTCTATCAAGTCATGTTGTTGTAGAGTCAATTGTCTCAATTTATTCAACTGTTCCAAGAATTTACAACTTCATTCATTGTTTAATTTAACTGTCATTAAGTTAGTAATTAAGTTTATGCTCGTAACGTTACTCTTCCTACAAATTGATGGGGGCTCCTATAATGAGGAGTTTAGATTTAGAGTGAGGAGCTTATTTGAGAAATTCAATCTCACCATCGAACATTTAAAATGTTGAAGTTCTTTGATTTTCTCCCATTTTTTTATGGTGAGATTGAACCCCTCAAATAAACTCCTTATTATGGTCTTTTCGCAAATGAATAACCAATGTGGTGTTGGAGCTTTGTTGGTTTTGGCCCAGCCCTGGTTCTGTTCACACCAATGCAAGCCAGCTGCCGTCCAAAGTATAAATACCCATCTTTATGCTGCTGGGTTACGTTTTTTGTTTTTAGGCCTCCTGAAGATGGTCCTTCTTAAAAGCCCATTGGGTCCCAAATAGAGCAGAGAGGCCCAAAATAAAAACTAAAAGGCGCGAAAGAGAAAACAACAAATGTCTAAATCGAGAAACAAATCCAATCAGACAAATGATGGAGAGGCCGCTTTACTTGACTCTACATTCAAACCTGTACATTAACTTATGTGATTTTAGATCAACTCCTGTACGTGGAGAGGAGAAATTATTACATGACATTCATTTATGGATGATTGCTCTCTGTTTTGCCGTGTGTATTCACTTCATTCTCTGCAAAAATGAAGCTTTGAATATGTTTAAGACTTATGAAGCTGACCTCAACAAGAAAATAAATATTATGATTAGATAAAGGAGGAGAGTATGAATCTGTTGACATTTCTGAAATTTTAACATTGCTTGATGTTTGTGGCATGTTGGGCGGTTGAAGTGGCCAAAAATTTGGTCTTTGCTGGTGGGTTTTTGGTGTTTTGAGTTAAGCTCTTCGAAGTTTCATAGTTGAGCTACAGCTCCAACCATGGGAGGTCTCGTCTCTCCCACCGCTCATCATCTATGGCGTCTCCTGCTCTCCTCCTCTCTGAGCAAGCGAAGGGAACCCAATTCGGCACCATATTGAAGAAGGTTCGTTAAAGTTCATATTAAAATCAAGTACAAGTTTTCAAATTTTGGGCGTTGGGTGCTTCTACTAATTATGGCACTAGAATTTATCGGCGGAACACTGTTTACGCTGCTCTACGATGGCGTTAAGCAAGCCATGAGCAAGGGCGGCACCTTTAAATCCCTTCTCGGAGATCTAAAATCCACCCTAGACTCTTTGGTAGCTAGAGACATCCAACAAATTGGAGAGCATAACGTCGAATTGGGTCTCCCAAATGAGGAAATCGAAGGTCTCAAAATGCTAATGGAGGAAGGTGTAAAGCTCGTTGAGAAGCTATCGAACTTTAGCATGTGGAACTACTGCTGCTTAAATGATTACAGTGAGCAGATTGTTGAATTGGATAGGGCTCTGAAAAGATTGTTGCAGAAATTGAAGATGCAAGAAGCAAGGGATGTGAAGGAGGTGTTGGTTTTGGCAAGGCAAAACCGAGACAAGCTCGATGAAGTGAATAGAAGACTGTTGGATATACAGAAATTGCTGCAGGAGAGAGCTGGGGATGTCACGGAGAGCTCGGTTTCAGGAGGCAATGCGGAGACGGTGCGGGAGCAAAGTCAAGGGAATGGTGAGCAACAAGGTGAATTTCTTGGAACAAGATTTATGTACTGTCCAATTGCTATTGTTTTTTCTTTCTTACATTGTCAACTTTTTATTTTCCTACATGTATACAGAGGTTTTATTGTAGCAAGAAGCATCATTGAATACTTCTGAAATTTAGATTAGAAGAATGGTAATTATGCACCAATATCTGATGTAGAAATTTAACTTTTTTCCTTTTTGAAAAAGAAAACAAAGATGAACACCAATGGCTAGCAAGAGCTTAATACCCCTTTGATCAGTAGACGTAGCTTGTTTATATTGTCTTTTCTGATTCAAGGATAGCATGTTATTCTTTCTGTTTGTATGATCACCAAACAAAGCAAGATAAAATTGAGTTTTCTGTTGCTTGGCTTTGAGTCTCTTGATTGTTGTCTTCTTGGGTTCCAAATGACCTTAGGTTGCATTTAAATGTATGGAGTTCAAATGAGGGATTTGATTCAACTACTTGGATTAAATTTCTGGTATCAAATGTTTAAAGGAATATACAGAAAGAGTTTTGATATTTTCTTTAAATGAATTGAGTGTTTACTGATTCTTTTTTTTCAGTTCTGTTCCTCTCTATCATCAGTTACTAGAGGCGAAGAGAACGGACTGGTAAACTCTATATTTAAATTATTTTCGATATTTGCTTCCTTGCTCAAATAATCAGATTTATATGTAGATCTTATTAACATAAAAGGTTAATATTTCTACAGTCCAACTAAGCAATTGACATTAAAAATTCAAATTTAAACCCTCATTTTATATCCATATTGGATTCTAAATTTAATAAAAAGTTGAGTACTTTTGTATTGCTTGGTTTTGCTTGATTCTGTTCTTGGGTTCCTAATGAAATTAATTTATTGGATTTAGGTGGTGTCTCTCACTTTTTTTTTTCTTCACATGTTGAGACAATTATGAGTTATCTGATTTTGGTGGTGTTGTAATTATGCAGTGACGTCGTTCGATGGAGGGACTTCTCTACAAGCAGTTTTTGTTGTGTTGTTTGATGTGGTTATAGAAGTGAAGGACAAGACTACGGTGTTTAAACCCCTCCTTGGAGATCTCAAATCCACACTAGACTCCTTAAAACCATTGATTGAAGAGATTGCAAAACATAACAAAGTATTAGATCGCCCAAAGGAGGAACTAGAAAATTTTAGAAATCAAATGGAAATGGGTGTAGAGCTCATCCGCAAGTGCTCCAAGGTTCGTTTGTGGTCCAGCTGCAAACAGTATAAATACAGGGACAAACTTTTGGGATTGGATGAATCTCTTCAAAAGCTGTTAAATATACTAAAAGTGCAGGTAGCAAGAGATGTGAAGGAGATGTTGGTTTCAGTAAAAAATATAGAGGCAGTGATCCAGAAAATTGAAGGAAGTGGTCTGGTGCAAGATCAAATTCAAACTAAAGGTTGGGGTGCATTACCTGAACCTTTATCGCCCAGAGTTGGATTGGATTTAGTGAACGTGCAGGGAACAAGGGATGTGAAAGAGACATTGGTTTCAGCTAGGAATACAAAGGCGGTTGTTGATAAAATTGTAGGGAGTGGCGTGGTACAAAATCAAAGTGAGTGTGCAGTACTTGAACTTCCATTACTTACAGTTGGATTTTGAATATAGGAATTGAAGATGAAACTTTTTTTTTGGTCAATTAAGATGAAACTTTTTAGGTTATGTTTTGTTTGAAGGAATGGAATGTACTCATTCCTATAAAATGACCATTCCAATTTTTCTGTTCACAAATAAGAATGGGAATAAATTTTTTTGCTCAAGCTTGGTTTCAAATTGTAAACCAAACAATGGATTGGATTCAATCATTACTTGATTCCATTCCATTACCATTCCTATTCTCATTCTAATTATATTCTATTTCTTTCATATATGATTTGTGCATATTCTTTGACATTCTTTAGGGGCAGCCGAAAATCATAGCAGGAATATAGATTCAAATGCTAGCAGGAGCAGAGGGAGTGAATTTTCGGAGGCAGTAACCCGACAAATGGACAAGTCACAGAGTGATGGGAAAATTTTGGAGACATCCAACTTAAGAATTTTCAGTTTTTCAGAGTTGAGGGCTGCTACTAGGAATTTCAGCCGAGACACAATGGTTGGTGAGGGAGAATATGGGCGGGTTTTCAAAGGTTGGGTGTATGAGAAGACAATTGCACCTTCTAAGGCTGGTAGTTGGAATTTCGGGCCGGTCAGAATGGGTGGTGAGGGAGAACCTCTGCCTGTTTTCGGTGGTTGGATAGATGAGCTTGCACCTTCTAAGGTTGGCATAGGATCACCTGTTGCTATCAAGAAATTGAACCCAGGAAGTGCAAAAGGTTTTCAAGATTGGCAGGTACTATTTTAAACTCTAATAACATTATTGAGCATTTTCCGTTATCAGCATTTACATGTAAAGACAACATCTATAATAACAAGATGATGTCATGAGTTGGCAAGTCTATTGCCTCCGCTTTATTACCGTTATCATTTTATCATGAAAGAATGGTTCATTCATGAAAGATTTGAGCCATGCATTGATTAGTTAGCATTTAGGAGATCATGTGTCAATCAGCACAAGGCTGTGTTGGGACTTCAAATTCATTTTCATCTTAAAACACCATTTTGTGTTGAGACCATTCAGCACTAGTATTAAAATGGTAATATGACGTATAAAAGTAATTCGTTGGAGGTTACATCATTCTTATTCTTATTTAATGCCATTCTGATTTCTATCCTAGTTATACAATTTGGTGCATGGGTTATGCTTAACCATTCTCTTCCTACATATTTTCAGTGTTACGCTTTCTTTTGAAGCTAACGAGTTTCTTGTATATTTGGTAATGCAGTCAGTGGTGAACTTCTTAGGGAAGCTTTCTCATCCCAGCCTTGTCAAGCTATTAGGATACTGTTGGGAGGAAAATGATCTACTCCTTGTTTATGAGTTCATGCCAAGAGGAAGCTTGGAGAATTACATTTTCAGAAGTACGAAATCAATGATGAAAACAGGGAACTGAAAGTAACATATTTTTTCTTGTTCACCATCACAAATTTATTTTGTTGACTCCAGAATTTTCATTTCGAGTAGGGAGATCTAGCACTGAACCACTATCTTGGGACAGCAGACTCAAAATAGCTATTGGAGCAGCTCGAGGCTTAGCTTTCTTACACACTTCAGAAGTACAAATCATGTACAGAGATTTCAAAACCTCAAACATATTGCTTGATGAGGTTTGTTCCTTTTTAACCCAACCTTTCTATCTCTCATTGTGCATTATGTGAGTCTACTTGTGCATGACATTGATTATTCCTCTCTTTGGTTTTTACCCCTCTTCTGTATTTATCTTCTGCAGAATTATAACGCAAGAATCTCAGATTTTGGCATGGCAGAATTGGGGCCAATTTTTGTAGAGTCGCATGTGTCAACTAGGATTGTGGGCACATATGCTTATGCTGCTCCAGAGTATTTTGGAACAGGTAATGATGGAGGCTATTTAGAAATTTTATGCATTGTGGCCTTGTTCTGACAAATTCACTAATTTAGATTCTTCGTAACCCCCTTGCTCATTACTAACACCAGGCCTTGAGCCTTGAGAGTTTGGCTTCAACTACCAGAATATTTACCTTATATGTTTCTACTGGGGGAAATCAATGAATGGGACATCTTTTGTACACAGATCTTTCTAATTGGCATTCTGAAATAAACTAATATAAAAAGTGCATCTTTATCTTGAATCAGCTGCTATTTCTCACATGTGCACTATAATTAATTAACAGGTCATGTTACCACGAAGAGTAACGTGTATTGCTTCGGTGTTGTGCTGCTTGAAATTCTGACTGGGTTCCAGGCACTTGATAGGCGTCGCCCCATTGAACAGCAGAATCTGGTCGAATGGGCTAAACCACTTTTGTCTCATGAAACAAAGTTGAAAACCATCATGGATCCAGGGATTGAGGGACAATGTTCCTTAAAGGCAGCATTACAGACAGCACAGATTATTCTAAAATGCCTAAAACTAGATCCTAAAAGCCGACCTTCCATGAAAGAAGTTGTGGAAGCATTGGAACATGTTCAGGAAATTAAGGAATAACCCTAGCAATCCCTCCAAAGTGCTAAGACTGGATCTACAGATATTATGTATGTACAGACGTTGAACAGTCGTCTTCTTTTTAGTTCTTTTTTCCATGTTGAATTTTTATATTTTGGGCGGCAACTGTTGGAATTCGTAACAAATTATGTTCTTGTAGTCACCATTTGTGCTGAATTGGAGGATTGTTTCTTAAACCACACTATCATTTTTTTCTTTTTTCCTAACAATGGTTCAAGTTCAAGAAAGTTTTACATTTGGCATTGAACCATTGTGCCAAGTGGCATCCACAGAGCATCACGAACAATCATAGGCTATCTCAATCGGAACTTGTACGAAAGAATTTGTGGAGGCTTTGGAACAGGTTCAATCAGTCCAGGAAAAACACTAGCTATTTCCAGGATTATATGTCAATTACACATCTCAGATTTTATTTACAGACATTTAATTTAGAATAATTGACAGCCATCCTGTTTTTTGCCTTTATATGGCATTGTGAAACTTACGGGCAAGTTTAGGAAGTTGAAACCCCTTCTCGATAACATCCAGTCCACGCTTCACTCTTTGCAGCCAATGATTGAACCTCAGAACGAGGAATTGAAGCTCCTAGACAAGGAACTAGAAAATATTAGAAATGAACTGTTTAAGGGCTCTTGTGTTCCACAATACCTTGCCAGACAGGTGATTTATTAAATGCAATGCATGGCATATCCACATTCATATATTTGTATATGCTTGCATCCATTTTCTCTCTTTCATCAAACCATTCAGAACATTTAGAGAATCTAGAATTTGAGTCTCAATTCAAAAGTAATTGAATTCCATTGGGACAATTGAACTGCAGATAGTAGAACGCTGTAAGGGATTTCCACTTACCATTACAGCCATCGGAAGATCACTTTGCGGACAATCCATAGAGACTTGGACTAGAAGACTAAGGGTTTGGTATGAAGATTTTTCTCTTCTTGATCCCGAAACCGATTTCCTTGGTTGCTTCCAAAGCAACTTAGATGCGTTGGGTAAAAAACAACCCATCATCAGGGAATGTTTCATAGACCTTGGTTCATTTCCTGAAAATCAAAGTATCCATGTGGGTATATGGACAGAGTTATATGAGCTAGATGAAGACACTCTATCCATTGCAAACCTCCACGAACTCACCAGCCAGAGCTTGGCTAATTATATAATCACAATGTAGTAATGACCTCCATTTTCCACACCCAAAAAAAAAAAAAAAAAAAAAAAAAAAAAAAAAAATGCCGGACGGCTATACTATTTTTTATAAATAAAAAAAACCAGCGTGCAGGTTATACCATTAAAATATATATTTTTATTATAGCCGGGCGGCTATACTATTTTAAACGAACCCACCTAACGGTTACACGTGTGAAAACAAGTCCGGCCGAACGGCTATACCATTTTTCTTTAAAAAAATATAGTAACGCCGATCGGCTATACTATCTTTTGAAAAAATTATAAAAACAACCGCAGTATAGCCAGACGGCTCTAGTATTTTGAAAATTACAAGACAATATAGCCGTGCGGCTATACTGATTTTTCCAAAAAACAATTGCCGTAATACTGACGAGCGGCTATACTATTTAAATAAAAAATAAAAAACCCGAGTATAGCCGCACGGCTATATGAGTTTTTAATTATCCAACAAAAAGATTATCAAAAGGCCGAAATGGATCGCAAATAGAACAGAGGCCCACAAGAAAAACTAAACGGCGCGAAAGAGAGCACACACAGCAATATCCAAAGAGAAACGTTGAGAGAGAGACTTCCCAAATCCAATCCAAACAATCAAAAACAAATGATAGAGGCCAGTTTCCTTCAAACTGCTATTTCTTTATATTTACTTTATAACAAAAACCAGGTGCTAAGACTCAGATATTTTGTGCAGACACTGAATTTAGAATGGTGTTGAACAATCATCTTCTTTTTGCTTCTTTTTTATTTTTCATAATCATCTTCTTTTTGGTACGTAACAGAAACCCTTACACATACCTTATTATAATCAGCTTCGTCATTAAGACTTTGAAATCCAAACATATTTGGTTTGGTGTGCAATAATATTCAAACTAACTAGCTCTGCTCTCGGTAGCTTTTGGTGAGTTTCCTAGAAGAAACCTCTCGTGGCGTGCATTTGCAGGGTTGGCAAATTGAGTGGCCTCCTACTTGGAAATTTCGAGTAAGCTTTCCCAGTCCATGCTTATAAAAGTAGATGAATTCTGAAGCTAACGTCACAAACAACACAAACTTTCAATTTTCTCAGTGAAGACGAGTGTTTCTTTTGCAGTGAAGAAACAATTATGAAAGAGAAGGAAGAAAAAAACCTGTCAATAACCAACCCAACACAAAAGAGTAAAAGACTACAACCAAGAAAACAAACGTAAAAACAAAAATAAACCAAAATTGGAACCATGAATACGCCAAGGAGGAGCACAATAAACACTACGAACCGTGAGAACTTACCTGCGCAGCCTAGTAATAAATCCAGAAAAAGTAATGTCAAAAAGTATGTAGGAGACGGATCAGCGATCTACTACCACTAGCACCGATATTGTCCTCTACTTAATCTCTTACAAAGCACCTACTGATTAAGTGGTTATACTACTAAATATTGGAATTCATAAAATGTGTTATTGTAGTTGCGGTTTTTGCTGAATTGGAGGATTGTTTCTTAAACCAGAGTGCCATCTTTTTCCCTCTTCATATTTTTTTTTCCTATTTTCCTACCTAGCAATGGTTGGAGTTCAAGAAACTTTTCAGTTGGCATGGTGCTGACTTGAACCATTGTGTCAAGTGGCATCCACAGCATCACGAACGATCATAAGCCATCTCAAACTTATTAATGTAATCATATTCAAACTTAGTGGGTGAAAACTTAATGCGTACGGATTGCAAACTTATTGGCTGAAAAACTATAGCTTTACCTTTTTTAATGTGATCAGGTAGGTTATTTTCCTTGAACATTATCTTAGCTCTCCTTTTGGTTGCTTTTGGTAAGTTTCCTTCCTAGAACCTGGTGCATTAATCTGCCGGGTTGGTAAATTGAGTGGCATCCAACTGTGACAAGTAAGTTAATGCTTATAAAAATAGATGAATTCTGAGGCTAACCTCACAAATTTTCTTCGCGTTTCTCAGTGAAGAAGAGTGTTTTGTTTGGCAGTATTGTATCGGTAGGTTTTTGAGTCTCTTGATTTGTTTGTTTTCTTGATCAGTCACTTTGTTTCTAAGTTCTTTTTACTGATGTTTTGGTGTTGTGTTAGGGTTTTGTTACAGGTGATTAAAGATCATCATCAAGAATGGTTAATCCAACGGTGGAATTTTTTGGAGGGATCGGCCTTGGAGCACTGGTAGGACCGGGGGGTAATTTACTCTGGGGAACGGTAGGGAAGGGTTTCATTGAAACCTGGCGCACAAACCTCGACTCCATGATAAATTCTTTACTGCCATTGATCAAAGAGATGGAAGACCAGAATAAGACGTTGGTTATTGGAGATGAAGAAATAGAAGATCTCAAGCAAAAACTGACAGAGGGTGAAGATCTCGTTGAGGAGTTAAAGAAGGTCAGTTCATGGAGCTTGATGACGCCTCTTCACACGAACCGGCTTGCTGAACTGGACAAGTCTATTAAAAGACTGTTAGAGATACTGAAGGTGCAGGGAATAAGGGATGTCAAGGGGATTTCCCTGTTGGCAAAGGATCACACCAAACAACTTAAGGCCTGCAAAACGGATGTGGAGGGAACCTTGGTTTTGGCGAAGGATCACACTGAACAACTTAAGGCCTGCAAAAGGGATGTCGAGGAGACTTTGGTTTTGGCAAGGGATCACTCTGATCAACTTACCGACTGCAAAAGCCATGTCGAGGATACTTTGGGTTTGGCGAGGAAGATAGACGCCAAGCTTGACAAATTTGAACGGATTGGTCTGGTACAAGGCGACGAAGGTACATAGTTTTTTTAGTTTTTAGTTTTTAAATGCAAGCGATAGTCTAAATTACAAGAAGAGGAAGGTTTTTCATGGGAATTTGAACCTACTAGCCTGCAAGTCAAGGCTGTTAGATTCCATTTTTTTTTTCGTATAGAGAGAACGAAACATGTTATTGGATAGAGAGTGGCTCACTTCTCCTTTTGTGTCGTTCTTGTGATTTTGGTGGTGACTGTGACAGTGGCGAGTTTGGTGGAACGGAACGCTCTAAGAAAAGCAGTTAAAGAGTTGACCCCTGCTGTTGACAAAACTTTGATGAACACTCGCTCCTTTTCTTATGAATATTGGGAAAGGATTCGTCCCTATCTACGCTCCCTCCGGCATTGGTTTGACGGAGAGCAGCGGGCAGCGGAAGAAAAAGGATGGGATCGTATCTCATTTGAGGAACTAAAAAAGTTAACAATACAAATAGAGCAGGGTGTAAAGCTAGCTCGCAAGTGCTCCGATGTCGATGTTAGTGAATGGAGCCCCGGCAAAAAGAGTAGATACGCCGCCACAATTCTTGATTTGGAGAAATCTCTTCAAGCACTTGTGCTCCGTTTTAAAATTCTACCAAATGTTCCTGTCCAAACGGACCATCCACATCCGCAAGGCACGTGATGTAACCTAGTCTTCATTTTGTATCAAAAAAAAATCTTTCATTATGGGCGATAAGGTTTTTTCCTGGACAACTACTTCATACGTACATTTCTATCTCTACTCTACATACCATATAGTAAGACATAATGTATATGCACAATTTCTGATTTTTCTTCTTTTACTTAAAAAGAACGAAGACGGGACCAAAGACGAAGAGAAGAATAATCCAAATTTGTATAAAAATTGTCATGTACCATACTACCATACATAGTAAGTATAAATACCCTTCTTATGCTGGAGAAAGAACATACACTAAACAAGAAACAGGACCGATGAGGTCCACCCTACTTACCACTTATTCAGATTTAGACCCTTCCACTATAATTTATTTACATGTAATAAATTACTTAATATACAAAGTACCATTCGTAATAGGTACATACCTAAGGTTGTAGTAGCTAGCTAGTAGGTATGTATACTAATTCACAAAAACAGCCTAGAAATTGTATGTGTACAATGATTTATTAATTTTATTATGGTGATGTGTGCAAAAACAAAATTTACTAAATAATTTATGAATTTCATTCATAATTTGATATATATATATATATATATAAATTCTTCTATGCGGACGTTCGGATGTTATTATCATGCGGATACCATGTAATGTCTATTACATAATTTATTAATTTTCTTTATAATAAAAAAAAAATGATATAGGGCAAATCAAAAATTAGGTACAAATTGAAGGGGTAAATCACTAGTATACCCTTATTTCTTATAATAATATTACATATAGTAGCCTATACAAGCCCAAGGCACCGCCCCTGCCTTCGTCTTTTCCCCCTTAAAACTAACCCAAGTTAAAGAAAACCAACGAAAAAACTTGAGTTAAAGGAGTTAAGAGAATAAAAGATAAAAGATAAAATAAAAGAAACACTTGTTGTTTTGTAGAGAAGCCACGTTAGCCGTGAGGAGGAATGGCTCCTGACATATCAGGAGCCAAGCTTTGTTCTTTAGGGACATAATAAGCCTCGCGCAAACTAACCAATCATCAATCATAAAGTGGTGCGGTTACTTTATGCCTAAACTCAAAATTTTCTTTTTTAGTAAACATGTTCACTGCAGGCCTTGGCATAGTAAATGCGTTCCGATTGAGGAAGTTTCGATCAGGATTTCCATTTAAAAAAACATCATATGGGATGGGAAGACTATTACGAAATATTCTTGTATTGGGAAAGATTACTGTAATATATTTACTTTCCTGTATTATCCTATATCAAATCCCACCTAAAGTGAGTCACGGCTTCTAAGCCTGGGAAATAGGAGTTGTGCATGTATATATATCTTGGTCTGTAAACCTTTGTCAATACAAGGAGAATATTCAAACAAATCTCTTATTCATAACACCCAACCGATTCCAAATCCCAGTGCTTGGAGAATCCAGAGTGGTACAAAATGCCTAAATACCACGACCAACTTCTTGAACTTGATAGGTCTCTCAAAAGGCAGTTAGATTTGATACCGGTGCAGGCACTGAGGGATGGGAGGACGTCGTTGCTTATGCAAACAGAACAAGCCGGCAAACTTGATGAGTTGATAGGTTATGAGAAGGAGAACTTGGAGTTGACCAGGCGAATAGAAAGGATTTTGCCTAAGCCGGAAACAGAGACGAGTAAAGCTGCACGCCTTCCGGTTGGATTGGGTGTGCCTTTGAAGGAATTGAAGAAGCTTCTTGAGGATGGGGTGTCAAGGCTTGTACTGACCGGTCCTCAAGGATATGGCAAAACCACATTGGCGAAACAGTTTTGTCAAGATGAGGATGTCAAAGGTATAATCAAGTTCTTTTATTTTTCTTCCAATTGGTTGATTTAAATGTCATTTACTTTCATTGTGGTATGTTAAAGAGATAGTTGCTTAAGTTGAAGCAATTCTTTTCATGAGATTTTACAGTTAAAAAGACATGAACATCTGTTAGTATTTTACAGTTAGATAGTTTCTTCCAATTGCTTAATAGTCAACCCACAAACATCTGTTAGTATTGTTGCAACTTCATCATTGGGATAACTTTTTATTGAGAAAATTGCTTCAGTCTCACAGTATTTGCATATGCTAGGACTGGAATTGTAGACAGATTATAGTGGCCTCCCAGTAACAGCTTTTTTATGTTGTATTTGGACAGATATATTCAAGAACAATATCTTCTTTGTCCTTGTTTCCAAAAAGCCCACCTTGGAGCATATTGTACAACAACTATATCGACACAAGGAATACCAGGTACCTAATGACCTCCATCTTGAAGAAATTGCGGTTCTCAGGCTGCAAAATTTTTTGAAGGAACAAGGACAAAATCCTGTACTGTTGGTCCTAGATGATGTTTGGTCAGAATCCGTTCTTGACAAGTTTGATCAATTCAAAATGTCAAATTACAAGATTTTGGTGACATCAATATCTGAGTTTCCAAGATTTGGTTATGCATATCGTTTAAAACCGTTGAATGATGAAGATGCAATGACCCTATTTCATCGTTCTGCTTCACTCAGAGATGAGAGCTCTTATGTTCCACAACCCCTTGCCAGACAGGTGATTTATTAAATGCAATGCATGGCATATCCTCATTCGTATATTTGTATATGCTTGCATCCATTTTCTCTCTTTCATCAAACCATTCAGAACATTTAGAGAATCTAGAATTTGAGTCTCAATTCAAAAGTAATTGAGTTCCATTGGGACAATTGAACTGCAGATAGTAGAACGCTGTAAGGGATTTCCACTTGCCATTACAGCCATCGGAAGAAAACTTTGCGGACAATCCTTTGAGACTTGGACTAGAAGACTAAGGGTTTGGTGTGAAGATTCTTCTCTTCTTGATTCCGAAACCGATTTCCTTGGTTGCTTCCAAAGAAACTTAGATGCGTTGGATAAAAAACGACCCAGCATCAGGGAATGTTTCATAGACCTTGGTTCATTTCCTGAAAATCAAAGAATCCATGTGGCTGACCTCATTGATATATGGACAGAGTTATATGAGCTAGATGAAGATACTCTACCCATTGCGAACCTCCACGAACTCACCAGTCTGAGTTTGGCTAATTATATAGTCACAAGGTAGTGGGGCTTCAATGTTTTTCTTGTCACTCAGCCTTTTCCTTTTATAGTCACGACTAGTTTCTGCTCATAACTGCTATTATAATAAATATTCCAAAGAAATCTCTTGTAAGCAAAGAGTTTGGATTGTAACCAGGGAGGAGAAGATGAAGGTAGACGGCTACTACAGCGAACACTTTCTCACCCAGCACTATATGCTTAGACAGCTGGCTATCTATCGTGCGAGTCGGGATGCAATAGTACATCGAGAAAGGCTAATTCTGGACATATGTGGAAACAATCTTCCCAGTTGGTTGAAAGAACAGAAAGCTCAACCTGTCAAGGCTCGCCTATTATCTATATCAACAGGTTGCCCCATCTCTGCCCTCTCTCTTTCCTACATGCACAGGCACACACATATGTCTCTCTACGCTCACCTCAAATAGCATCTTGTTTGTAGATGGAATGTTCTCAACAAAATGGCCCAACATGCAACTGCCAGAAGTTGAAGTTCTAGTTTTGACATTTCAGACAAAGAGCTATGCCTTGCCTGAATTTGTGGAGAAACTCGAAAAATTGAAGGCTCTGGTAGTGACATATTATGGTTCGTATCCTGCTGAGTTAAGAAAGTTTTGGCTACTTGGTTCGCTACCAAATCTGAAGAGAATCAGATTAGTGCGCATTTCAATACCTTCCATAAGAAAGAGCCCCATAGTCTTGAAGAGTCTGCAAAAGATATCTTTTTTCAGGTGTAACATCGGTGAAGATTTCGTCCACTGTTCCATCAAACTTTCAGATGCATTGCCGAATCTAGCTGAAATGAACATTGATTTTTGTAATGATCTGATGGAATTGCCGGACAAGCTATGTGGTCTTTTTCACCTGAAGAAACTCAGTATTACTAACTGTTGTAGGCTATCTACATTGCCCGTGGGGATTGGACAGCTGGCCAATTTAGAGGTGTTAAGGCTAAGGTCTTGCACAGACTTGTTGAAGTTGCCAGGGTCGATTAGGAAACTTAAAAGGTTAAACTTTCTTGACATATCTGATTGCTCCAGCATTATGGAGTTGCCTGAATACATTGGTGAAATGTGCAGTTTAAGAAAGCTCAACATTAGGCACTGCTCAAAACTGAAAGAGCTCCCTCAATCAGTTTCAAAGCTTGAGCAGCTAAAGGATGTGATATGTGATGAAGCGACGGAAAAGTTATGGCAACCGTTCTTACCCAGTTTCAGAAACATATGCATAAAGGTGGCAATGTAGTTAATAAACATGCGCTTTTGGGTTTTGTTAATAGCATTACACCGTCTTTACCCTAGACATTTTACAGCATTACACTTACAAGTGAATGTAGGCTGAAATATTGAAGGACGAAACACATTTCCTTTTGTGATTGCTATGATTATTTTACCTGGAAAATTTTGCATGCATTATTTGTCACTCCCATAAATCCATAAACAATCATATGATACCAATCTGAGAAGCAGTAGAATAGTTCTGTAGAGTATATTTGTTCAACAAGCAAGTAATAGATTACGTACAATTTTTCCTTTCAGTTTTGTTTGGAATTCTGTAGAATAGTATAGTTCAAGTAATTCTTATCTCCATCCGTACCCCAATGCATCACCTACCTACACCCCTTCCTTCACTCCACTTCCATCTCCCCATGTCTCCAACAAAATCATTTGCCAAGAGAATGTCCTCCAACTTCTTTTTTTGCTTTCTTTTGCATATAATGAATAAAGGCAGGACCAAAGAGAACAATTATTAAAGTCCCGTGCCATACAAAGTATAAAGTATAAAGTATAAATACCCTTCGTATGCCGGAAAACAAAAAACATACATCATTAGAGAAACAGGGACAGATGAGGTTCAACAAAAAGGGAGGGTGTGGATTATCATGCGTCCACCACCACCACTTACAACCCTTAGATAGCATTAAAAATCAAATTCCCCCACGGTAAAATAAAACAATATACAACTGTGTGTTATAAATATATGACAACTCCAAGGAGCATATGATGATAGCATAATGCCTTCCCCTTATCTCATTATCTATGCTAATCTATCACATACTCTATTGCACATTCTCTTTTCTAGTTTTTCACCAACAGTAAAAATTCTTTCTCACCTGACTACATCACATACTGGAACTAAATTGCATACACTATTTCCCCACTGCTATCGACATCAAGTTCAGACTCTGAATCCAAGTCATCCATATCATCGTCCATATCTAGGCTGTCCGTCATGTAAGAGCTAAGACCAAGGGTTCCAGCTGCTGGTATAGTGGCCTCCGCAATTATTTGCATGATTGCATCTAGGCTTTGCATGGGTTGATCAGGCTCTTCAAAATGGCTGCCGATTGTCATCTCGTCCATCAAATCTGCTGGGAGATTCTTCAAGAACCACGGGTGGTTCTTTATCTCAGGAATGGTAATCCTCTGTTAGATGTGCATTCATAAACATGGGTAGAGTCAACAACACAAAAAGGAAAAGAAAGAAGCTTAGATTCTCAAGTTCTCTACAAATGGAATTCCCCAAAAGCAACAACTTTCAAGATAATTCTCTCTTAAGTATTTAAGTTTCTAATTCTCTGTTGTATTACTAAGATGTAACAAGTCCATTTATTCCTCCAGTTCTGGCACTATGTGCTCAACAATGGGAAACTGGAGAACTGCTGAAAGCTGCCATGAAAAACACACGGCCTCAGATATACCCTTGCACAAAAGCGGGAAGTAATAAAAAATTCAGGGAGTTATACAAGCATGCCTTTGGTAGGCTTTCCATGGAGTATGAAAAGTAGTCAGATTACCTTTCCTTTCGGAATAAAATGTCAAGGGAAAGTAATTTAATTTGGTCTTCACTCCCACAATCACACTTCAACGTCTTATGCATTATTATATTGTAAGATTCTAAGCGCAAAGAACCTTGATCGGCTCTTTTAAGGAGGTTATGGCCAGTTTCCTCTTTCTGTGAATCTTATTTCAAATAGTTTTACTGTCCTTGACCATAAAAAGTATTTCAAACTCTAATAATAAAGTTCATGAAATTTGAACAACTTTAATTTCCCTGGTGGGCTTATCAAACAGGCACTAAAAGTAAAGAAAGGGCTATTCCCCAATAACAAACACTCCAAATATTTGCACGCAAATGCAGTGAAGAAACTTATTCAAAAGAGATAAAGGTACATAGTGCTATAACAGAAACAGAGGTCAGAAGAAAAAATAATAATAATAAAAAACAGCATCATAAACTGAGAAAATTTGAAAGAAAAAACCACCACCCAATTTTTTTTTTTTTTTTGTTTTGGGGATTAGAAAAAAAAACAAGTTTAATAGAAGGAACGCAGAACAAACAAGGAGAGAGAAAATAAACTAACCGCAGCAGGATCTGGGACAAAGATTCTCGATATCAGTTCTAGACATTCGCGAGATATTTGAACAGAATCTGGAATGGAATACTGGACGCTGAGTATTCTCTGCATGGAGATGATAAATAACACATCTCAAATCAAGCAATTTACATTAAGAAACTTTATTTCATGCTAAGGCTAAATGACATACTTGTATAGTCTTCCGGAAATCCTTTGGTTCATCAGGATCCTCAAAAGGATAGGATCCCACCAGCATCACATATAAGGTTACCCCACATGACCATACATCTGCAATCTGATGTTGTAACACAAGATCAACATAGAAACTTCTTGATTCAATAACAAGGATTCACATTATTTGAAACTTATAAAACTTAAAACTTCATAGATATGAAAAGGAAAGGACAAAAAATGGTTTAAAGAATAAGATATGCAAGACAAAGTGTTTGTATGTCCTGTTTAAGCTCCGAATTCACACATGAGAAGTAAGCCAATACACATAAAATTAGCTGATGCATACAGGCAGGCCTAAAATGAAATCAGTAACTATTACATGCTTTATCCCAATAGCATAAAAGCACAACATGAAAATTAAGGAACAATTATCTAACATGAAGAGATGATGAATGCCAACTCATGTCTATTTCTTATCATAAAAAAGGAGGGCACTTTAACATCCACATCTGAATAATTAAGGGGCATTATCCGGTGCAATGGTAAAAGTCTGGCTGTCAAGTGCAATCACGCATTTTGACTCTTGAGAACTGCCACTTCATGGGAAAGGAATACAGTAAGGAACTTAGGATTATATCTAGATATCCCGTGCCACAGGATCCCATGTTAATACAACCAAAAACTAGGTAATTGCTCTTTTGTTTTCTTTTACTGTTGTACACCCATTTATTTGAAGTTGAAAATTGTATGAGCCAGCAAAAATAAATCATGTTTTAAATGAACCAATCACAGGGCTAGATGTTTATTTGAATTGGAAAGTAAAGCTTGAATGGTGAGAGAGGACATATTGGACAGAGAAACATGAGCATTTATTCAAATTACAGTCCAACAAAGTTAAAACATATTTAAATGGGAAATCAAGGAATAAATTAATCAAGCATTTGTCAAAACTCAGCGTATGGTCTACTCCAGAACAGAATGCTATCTATTTATTAAACAAGACTTCTTGGTTCAAACAATCGGGGAAATACAAATTCAGTAAAGTGAAAACAAGAGACATCATAACCTGATAAATGATTAATAAAATTAACAAATTCTTATACCTTTCCGTCATATTCTTGCCTCAGTAATACTTCTGGAGCAATGTATGCAGGAGTTCCAACAGTAGATTTTGGTTGTGAATGAAGCACTGAAGACTGACAAAATACCCACAATCAAATACATGAAAATGAATACCAACTAGGCTAACTATACTAGAAACCACGTCATTGATTACCTTGAGAGCTCAAACCCCTCTGAAATTAATGTCTAAATAAAGTCTCTAACAAGATGACCAGGGGTCTTGGATCAAACTAACCTAAGATCAATTCAAAATACAAGGCAACTCATACGCAAGAATCTTGTGACTTCTAGATGAGAAGTTCATTTCAAGTTAGTGTTGGGTTCCCTTTATTTCAATTAACGATATGAACACAAAGCATATGTCGAATGAGCAAGAAAACGAAAAAACGACTAGTACCTTTGAGTAGCCAAAATCACATATTTTCAAGCGAGGAGCTGGACTGCCATCCAACAAAGTGTTTTCCAACTTCAAGTCTCGGTGACATACTTGCTTCAAAAGGGAAAGTAATAATTTAAATAAATTGTCTAGTCAGCATCCAACAGAAAAATAGATAAAGTCTTACAATCATCTGAAATGAAAGATTTAAATACCATTGCATGGCAATAACTGACTCCAGATATAAGTTGTTGAAAAAAGAAGCGAGCCTGAACCAACAAAGAAACCACACATCTTCAACATATAAAGTAAAAAAGTAAAAGAAAGACATTGAGAAATTATAGATATTGAAATAAGGACCTCATCCTCACTGAAGCGCCCAGCATTGCATATTCGTTCAAACATCTCTCCTCCAGAAGCATATTCCATCACAATGGCCAGATGGGTGGGCGTAAGAATGACCTATATGAAGCAGTCAATTAGCTTAACATCACTAGAAAGACGTAATCAAAATCGGATCATGAAAAAGCAGCTAACTAACCTCTTTAAATCTAATGATGTTGGGGTGCCTCAGCGACCTATGATTAATTATTTCTCTTTGAACATTTTCATCAATCTGCAAAACACAGCACCACAATGAGAAACAAATACTCCAAAATCTCCACATTACATCAACACCAACAGCAATTGTTTCCACTTGCAAGTGATGCATTGCATACACATTAAGCATATCTAAATAACTGACCATATAAAAACTTTTCAATATCTATTTTCACCCAAGCTTTAACTTACGTTAATCAAAATGTTGTTTAGTTTCTCGGACATAAAATTAGCTTCGTTAACATTCTAACATTTAATCATCATGCCTTTATTAATAGGAAATAAGCGCGCATACCAAAAATTAGTTCTAAAATCGATCAGATACCAAAATTAGAAACTAAAAAGATAAGCATAATAACATCCACGACTGAAAAAGGCTAACCCAAATCTGGCAAAAAAAACTACACAAAAAGCTCCCAAATTTTCCATAAATGGATGTTACAAAAATCAATTAAAACGCCGATAGAAAATGAAATTCCAAAACTGACCTTGTTACCGCGCTCGATATACTTTACTGCAACGAGTTCCCTGGTCTGCCTGTCTCTCATCAACCTGGCTACCCCGAAGTTTCCGGACCCGATATCTCGGACGAAATCGTACCGGTCGCTGTCGTGCATGATCGGCATGTCCATGGCCGGCCCGACAGTCATCGCCGCCCGATCCATTTTGATAAAAGTACGACTTTGCCCCTACCAAAGCTGGTTACATTAGAGAGCGAAGAATCAGAAAGAGTATACGACGTCGTCTGAAGTAAGCTTCTGGTTAATCGCAATCAATATGGAGAGAGAGCAAGACTCGGCGAGCAGATCGGTGAACACGGTCCGATTAGATCCGCTGCGAGTCGGAAGACTCTGTTGCGAACTCGGTTGAGGCGTTGTGAAGCGATTTTTTTCCGATCGGCGATGGATTGATATCTGAAAAACAGTTAAGGGGGATGACTTGGGACAGAGGGAAATGATGTTACCAATGGAGATATCTAACTTGGATGAGACAACAGAAGCGGCGTCGTTTTTGTGTGTTTCAGTGGTAGGCTTAGAGAAAGACGACGCCGTTTGGTGGAGGTTGCTTTCGTTGCTTTCTTAGCAGAATGGGTTCCCTCCCTTTCCTGGCGGCTGGTTGGTTGGTTTGCTTGTCTGGTTTTGTCGATTATGATTGGCTCCGCCTTCTCCTTGTAAATGACTGAAAGGCCCTTAATTCGGATAATTCTGCCAAGAGGAAAGGTCCACTGTGACGCGCCACAGGCTACGATAATTTGGGGAAAGGATCCAACGGTGGGTGTTAATAATTCTAGAGTGAAACGTTAATCAAGTGAATGGTGAGTAATCGTGTAAAAGCACGGTGAGCATATTGAAACAGCAGAAGGATATTCAGTGGAATCTATTAGCCCCCAGTTTGGCAAGGCAGGTTCTGATGATGTCGTCAAGGATACCAACTCACAAAACGATCAAACATAACCAAGATAAGAGGTGGTTCTCCTTAAGTAACCCTCTCCTCACTAAGGTCATACATTAATCTTTTCTAGGGTTCCGCCTTTCTAACTTCAATCCTGAAAAACTGGCCTTTCTAACTTCAATCCTGAAAAACTGACCACTCGTTTGCAAGTCAATGTCATTTTCTATTGAGCTAACCACTCGTTTGCTTTCATTTTTCATTGAGCTAGACCTCATTAGCTCTGATTTGATGTAGTCTCTTTTTCTTTTTTGAAATTAGTTAGAAAATTGAACTAATTCGGCTCAATCGGTTCAGTCCTCAATTTGAAAAGTCAAAACCATGATATATGTCCTCATCATACTTATTTATAACGTTTCATTAAATTTAAGCGGATGCACTTATAATTTATTTTCACGCACATGATTATATATGTAACTGAATAGTGAAAATTTATTAAAAGATAGTTTACTATGTAAACTTGGCGGTATAAACAAAAATTAGAATCCCCAAGTCAACAAGGGTGGTTCTCTTGCAAAACAAATGTTTTGTCGCTAGACTATAAATTTGAACCTCACATTTAAGCAATTTTCAAGCAAACAATTCATATTGTGATCGTTGGTCTATATTTAGAGTGTAGCAATGTAAGCATTTGTCAAGCAATACAAGTATAGGAAGAGAATACATTACTCAAAACACATGGAACCTGCCTCTTAAAAAATTGTAGGATGAGTCGAGAAGTTAGTGTGAGGTTTTTAATTACAAATTGTGCTTTCTGGAATGATTCGAGATTGAAGGTACCTTTATTCTGATTCAGGTTCTTTATCTTTCACTTTCAATAGCCTTTGTCTGTTCCTCCTCCCCTTTGGACGGTTGGCCAAGATATAGCATAAAAGTTGAATAAACCCATAAGCAAAGGGATAATGGTTTGTGGCCAATTGTGCATTGAGTGGGACGTTGATTTCAGGTCTTTTAATAACTTTTTTCCTAAAGGTATTGATCTGATGAAAAGGATCCATATGATAGATGCATGTACATTAAAAAGTACGTCTATGCCAAATTGGCTATTTCCTACCCTTAATTATATCAGTTATGAAAAAATGTAGTTTTCCTTTTCCGTAAAGCCAAATACAAAAACATTTTTATTATAAATAAATTATAAACAAATTGGAAAGCCTTTAAGGTACAATGAAATTTAAGAAAACAAAATAATAGGTAAGTAAAAGCAAAATAAATAATAAGTAAGAAGGTGAGTTTGGTAAGGTTAAGCATGTCAAAGACACTGTCATAAAGCCTTTGTAGCCTCCCTACGTGCAGATACTAACGGTTTACAGGACTCCAAGATACGACCCCTTGTACACAAACTCAAGATCCGCTATGAGCACGTTCATAGATGGATATAGGTATCAAAGTCACATAACCATTGCCCAAAACTAATAATATAAGTAGAGAAAATATAAAAGGTAGAAGAGGAGTGAATCAGATTGTGGTATGTGTTGTGTTTTTTACAATGTGAAGGAGGAGTGGCATTTTATAGGCAACCAAGAACATATAACATTCACCAACCAGAAAATTAAGGCATTCAATATATAAATAAAATCTTAATATTAAATATTTATAACCCCACAATAAATAAAATAAAACAGCCAAAATAATTAAATAAATCAAAACGGTTAAATTTTTAAAACCTTTTTAAAATTCCAACAAGGATTTCTTCTTATATTTTTCCAATGAAGATTATGCCCTAAATAGTGATGGACAAAGATAAAAATCAAGAGAGTATGTAACATTAAAGGATTGGAATTGTAGATTTTTTTATTTTTTTATTTTCAAGCAAGTTTAATCTTACATGACATATATTTGAATATTTCAGTTGCACCAAGACTTTTTGAGATATAAATTTCACTCACATGGTATGATTTGAAGTTGTGCATATCTTGTTCATACTTATGATTTAGTAGAAGTCAAATGTCTCGAGTGTGGGAAATGTTAAGATATGTAACAGAAAATGATAAATTTTATATATTTCAATGAGGTGTAAAGCACTAAATTTAAATAGACAAGATATATTAGAAAATGAAACAACATATATAGTATGATGGAGGTTGATGAAGGTTGGCGGAGCTGATTGAGGCTTGATTGAGTTGACTGCACTATGGAGTGAAATTAGGCATGATTAGTTTTTCTAGTTAAATCTTGCCATTGAACAAAAAGTGTCACATACATACCATAGTCTAAAACTTTGTGGTTTAAATGATAAAATATATCATGTCTCCATAAATTATTCATTTAGAATTATAATAAATAGAAGAATACTCTTTTCACATGTGGTGTGGGACAGGAGGAGATGACAACTTTGAAAATATAAGGATTGCTTCAAGTGAAGACAGAGTGAAGGATACGATTCCCTTTCTATAACTGAGAAGTATTATAATTTCAAAGATGCTTCCCTTTTTTTAAATTCAAAGAAATATGAAGCGTGCAGAAGGCTTGTGGAAGATGATGAACTTAAATGCTTGCTAGCTAGTGATTATCATTTGGCTCTAAGTTCATAGGTTGAAGTGGGTAGTTTGAGGTTCAATGGGTTAAACTCCGATCCGGTCCCTTTTTTAGGTTTAGATCGCTCTTGATTTGGGTAGGATTTGAGTTTAAGATTTAAAACTATCGGCTGACTCACGGTCTACCCTATCAAAACTTGCTCGGTTCAACTCGTCTAAGCTCAATCTAACTTGAAAATTCGAAAAAACTCATGTGGCCCAGCCCGAACTCAACAATTTAGGTTCGAGCCTGCCCAATGACGAACCTTATTGCTAGCTATGATGTTTCCCCTTTCTCAGTTGACTTATGGTGTCCTTGGGAGCATTTACCACATTATGGTTTGCTTTTACTGTTCTTCTGTGATATGGGTTTTAGCATATGATGATAATTTACAGTTTACTGTTCTTCTGTGATCTACTGACAATATTTTGTGGCTCGGACCAAGGGAGTCATTCTATAGTGAGGGTCTTATATATGACATTTAAGTCCTATCTTTTAACTGTTGAATCAGACTAACCAATTTGATCCAACGGCTAATCAATTTGATCCAACAATTAAGAGATAGGACCTCACCTCTTTCGCCCAACCAAAAAAAATAAAAATAAATAAATAATAAGACCTCACCTAATGACCATACATAAGGCCCTCATTGTAGAATTCTTGCATATGAAAGGCAACATGAACTATTCAATCAGTCTAGAATATGTTGCTTCTCCTTTTCAGAAACCAAAGTCAGGTGTTGATTCTTTGAGGACTGGATTATGAATAGGCCTGCCTACTAGAAATCTAGGCCCAACAAATATATGTCAACTGACAAGTCACTTCACTTCTAGTGTCGAAGAGAACCGTTGCTTCATATAAATTTGAAAGAACTTGCTTAACTAGCAAGCAAGCCGTCTTAGCTCAGCTGGTAGAGCGCGTGGCTTTTAACCACGTGGTCGTGGGTTCGATTCCCACAGACGGCGATATGCAGTTTTTGCATTTTCCTTTTGACCCTTTCCTTTTTGCCTTTGTGCCGAAAACAAGTACGACGAGAGTACGACTATGTAACAGTTGAATAGTGGAAAACAAACGGTAGTGGGAAACACGTAGATCAACCATTAAAAAGCAACATCACAAGATAAAAAGAGAGAGTAATTGCTTTTGAGATGGGACGGGACAGGTGTAAGTACCTCTTCGCCTATGCGGCGTACCGCTTCCTCTGATAGGCGCGTCATTCTCCATCCCAATACCCCTTTTCTTAAGGAGGAGAAAAATTCCCTTTTACCTCTACACGTAACAATTAGCAATCATCCAAACCCTCGCCTAAATTTATACGCTTTTTCCTTATTCCTACATCCGAAGTCTTGTGTTTAAATCTTTCTATACGAGATTATATTCTTAATTAATGTCCTTTTTATTTATTTATTCTCTTTTTTATTTAATTAATTAACCCTATTATATCAACGGAGTCTAGTTTAAGTCTAATGAAAAATAACATTAACTTACACAGACTAAAAGTCTGAAGTTCAAATTTTTACGACATCTTAATTGTGTGTATGTGAGAAACCCCACTGTTTACGCCATAAAACCCAATTATTGTCACTCTTCGCACCGCTCACCCAATAGTGATGTCTCTAACCTTCATTATTGGCTCCATTTCGATAAGCGTGACATATAGCGTTCAAACATAGTTCCAAATCGAACAAGCATGTATACTTAAATGGACCAGCACTTGCTCAATATACATTTGCATACAGCTAGCAAGCAGCAATACAAAAACCAGAAAATGATCGTGGGCCGCACAAAATATATATATATATATATATTGTTCCAAAACATCATTATCAAAGTAATTAAATTACTCCAAACCAAGATAATTAAGCAAAAGCAGAAGCTGCCCCATTGCCTCAAAGCCTCAAAAGACTTGAACCATCTATATTTGGACAGACAGAATAATTAGCATAATTAAGCTAGGGGACCTACTTGCTATTACGGCAAATATTCTTTTCCAGTTGCAGGGCATGAACAAGAAAGAATTAATGGACGTAACTCATTTGGATAGGTAAACCATTTCTGATACTAACTAGAACCATATTTTTAATTCAACTAATTATAAAAGAAGAATAATGGGATCGTTTGTGTTTTCTTTAACTGGGTACCTCATGAAATAATTTGACGAATAATTAAAATAAATGCGTATTTATTATTATCCGATCCAAAATTCTCCAACCAAATCTAAACATAGATACTGTTTTAAATGTAGACAAAACTAGAATTGCATTTCTTCAACAGAACCATATTCCTTGAACGTGCAACATTTACGTGGATTCTAAAGAGAATTCATGCAAATCACTGGTATATATTCGTATTCTCTTCAAAATATTACAAGTGTAGGGCCTCCATAATGACATGAATATAAGAAACCAACGTAGGACAACTTGTGATCAAACGAATTGGGTCTCGCAAAAGAAATTAGTTCATCCAACCCCCGTTAACTCCTTAAATGAAAAATAAAATTACGGCGCACTTTTATAAAAATTCATAGTTCTGCTATTGATTAAACTCCAAATCGACTTTCTTAATTAGAATTTGAAGTAAGTACTTTTAACAAGCTTTGTTTATTTATAATAAGGATCCAAGGGAAAAGCAAGTCAAGGATTCTTTAAAACGATGGAATTATATAAATAGATTATATAGAATTAAAACGCAATGGATGGCTGCAAATAGTTGTCATATTGAATGAGAGAGCATCTTTTGGCAATTTGTCCTGAGAGAAAATAAACAAAAACCCATCATCATCCATCCCCAAAAGAATCCTTATCCCTAACAAAGCTAAATTACAAGAAACACCCTATTTTCAGCTGCCATGGACACGTGTCGGTTGCATGGTGAGGAATCTTACGACAGGCACAAAATCGATCGAAAATGAACCATGAAATTCCGGACAAAACCCACGATTATGTCATTCTTCTATTAATGGACGAGACCGCACCGCAGAGGAACCTCACCGCTCCGGATTTAAGGATCGCGCACCACGTGTCGGTATCTGGTTAGCGGTGACACAGCTCCTGCTCTGTCGTGTGTGATTAGCGTTGCCCTGGGACCCGAAACGAATGAACCATAAACGGTCTAGGAAAAGTTGCTTTACTTAAAGGGAATAAAAATCTTTCACATGGCAAACGTTTTGTACTTTTTTTTTCCCTTTTTTGCTATTTTATTTATTTATATATTTTTTTTAATGTTGAACCTAATGCTATCAATTTGGCCCATTTAATTGGGTTCTAATTACCCAATTAGGGATAATTATTTCCATGTCATATTAAAGCAAGCATAGTTGGTATGCACTTTTTTTTTGCATCAACTAATATAATTAGTCATTAATTAAAATTTTTATTATGAAATTATGCGATTAGCTAATATAATCAGAAAGAGCCACAATTTTCTAGATGCCCTTGGAGGTGTTGTTGGTTGGGGGGTGCATAATTGACACACCAACAAACAAGTATTAATAAGTGCACGGTAAAATTCTCATCAAAAGAAAATTACTTTTTTTTTTTAATCTTTATGGCCATGCTATCGGCAAGGGCATAGTTGGTAATCGATAATGTTATTTTCAGTATAAGAAGTCTACGGACGCGGTGATCCGTCCTAAAATGTCAAATACGACTAGACAGCTAACTCTAATAAATTGCTCCAATCCTATGTCAATTTTATCCGGTTCATGATAAATATAGTTTAAGATCTAATTATTTCACACTACATAAAATTCTTTACTTTTTTTTGTCTAACATAAATTTCTTTACTTACATGGCATTAGTCATTTTTCTTGGTGGTGGTGGACAAAATGCTACCATGCGCAGTTTGTTATCATAGTTTGTTATCGCAACTTGTTATTATAGTTATGTCAATAGACACATGTCAAGTAGTAAAAATATACCTTAAGTTAAAGTGGTGAGTAAAAAATATTTCCATCGATATTAGAGTTTCTTTTCTCTAAAAATCATTAAATTTAATTGAAACACACAAAAATTCTCATTTCAATAACTCTCGCCCTACATCGACATTCCCTAACAATTAGTTTGTTCACTAGCTCGAGGTCGTTCCCTAACAATTACATACTACAAAGTCTAGTTTTGTTGGTGCATATGCCAAAAATCATGATGTTACTATTTTTCGAACTAACTATTCAACTAATCTCTCTATTATTCTTGCAACTAACTATATTTTTGTTAATTCAGTTATTTATCATAATGATACCATTGTCATTCTCAGTTTTTGTTTTTTTTTAAAAAATAAACAAGGGTTCAATAATCTTCAATTTTTAAACGTAAAACAGAAAAGTTATTGTTTGGATAGTTGTTGTCGTACGTCAACATCCTTTAACAGTTATCTGTTGATTGGCTTGAGGATTGGACAAGAATGGGTTTATCGCTTGGGAACTATAAATTCTAACTTTACTTGCAGATTTGGTTGCATCTTAATGATCGAGTATTTTTTATCACTTTTTTTTTCGGGAATGGCCCCAATGGACTTTCATTCATTGGCAATTGCCTGGTGGATATAGATTCAAAGTTGTTATAGATACGATTTGTGTTGTTGTGCAACTGTCTTGGCGTATACAAAAGATTGTGTAAGATACATGCCCTATTTATCGCCTTAGATGTGAGACTTTATTTACTGTAATCTTATATATCTTTCGAACATAATAATAAACAAAGGTTCAATAATCTTCCATTTTTAAACGCAAAAGAGAAAAGTTCTCGTTTGGATAGTGTTTTCGTACGTCAACATTCTTTAACAGTTATTTATTGAGTGGCTTGAGGCCATTGGACGAGAATGGGTTTATCGCTGGGCAACTATAAACTCTAACTTTACTTACAGATTTGGCAATATCGTAATGGTCGAGTATTTACTATAGATTTTTTCTTTTCGGGAATGCCCTAATGGGCTTTCATTTATAGGCAATTGCTGACTATTGGTGGATATATATTCAAAGCTTTTATAGATACTATTACATATTGTTGTGCAACTGTCTTAGCGTATATGGAAGATTGTGTAAGATAAATGCCCTGTTTCTCGCCTTAGATGTGAGAATTTATTTACCATAATCCTATCTATCTTTCTACCCAAAAAAAAAAAAAAAAAAAAAATCCCCTATTCTATTTCTTTCCTCCAAGATATTTACATAGCGTGATTGGAGGCATTGATTTATTTCTCTCACAATGCAATGTTGTTGAGGCCAAGAATTTGTTTAATTTTTGTTTTTCATGTTAAAGTGTTAAAAACAAGTTATTTATTTATTTATTTATATATAGTTGTATTAAAGAGTGAAAACAAGTTATAATTTAAAAAAGAAAAGCAAGTTTAAGTGGGAAAATTAGAGGATCTAAAAAATAAAAGTTTACCCTTGATGACCAAAGTGCCCTCAATCTTCTCGCATTAATACGGCAAGGTCAACGATTCCTTTTAACCCACCTAATAAAGAATCTTGAACAGGGCACCCCACAAAATACCAACCGAAAGTAAAAATATAAAATAAAAATAACAATCAATTATCACATTTTCGCGGCGTGAGTACGGATTCCAAAGATTCCACCGTCAAAACTCGGACCCGAGTCAATGAACTGAGTTTCCGAGTTAACCCAGAGACGCGACGACCCGTGTGCGAAGCACTGAATCTTTGTGTGTCCTGAATCTGAAATTCTCTTACACATATAATGGGCCTCTCTGTTCCTTATCAGGTTTTATCTGGGCAAATGCTAGAGACCGAGACACGGAGAGAGAAAGAGAGAGAGAAACAACAGAGTGAGTGAAAAATGGAGCTGAGCTTGGACACCAGTCTGGTGTTTATCCCAAAAACAATCTCTGACTTTCTCGCGCAGCTCTCAACCATGGAAGATAGCTCTCAGAGGTCGTCAGAGCTTGATGCTTATGTGAAAAGGCTCGAAGATGAAATGAGAAAGATTGAAGTTTTCAAGCGCGAGCTTCCTCTTTGCATGCTGCTCTTAAAGGATGGTGGGTTCTCTGATTATCATATTTTTTCCTTCAAGATTATTAATATTTTTTAGGTGGGTTTTTTTTTTTATGATTGATTTGTTTGATTTGATGCGTATGCAGCAATTGAGAGGTTGAAGGAGAAAGTAATGCAGTGTAAGAAAATGGAAGATCGGCCTGTGATAGAAGAATTCATACCATTGAAGGGTAATCTGGATGAGAATGGAGGGGGAGTTTTGGGAAAGGAAAACAGTGACAAGAAGAACTGGATGAGCTCTGCTCAGCTTTGGAGCACAAGCCTCAATATTTTTGAGTACAGCAAACACGACTCTGCATTAGGACTCAGAAGGGTTAAATTCTAAATTTCCTTTTCTTTTTTTTTTTCCTGAAAATAATCTTATTAAAGGCTGGAACTTTATTGGGATTTTGCAGAATTTTCATAATCTTCTTGATTTTTTGTGTGTACATATCACAGAGGAACGATGAAGATGATCGGTCGGTGCCTGAGAACTCAATTGAGCCAAGTAATAACAGAGCCATGGAAAGGACATTTGTGCCATTCAAGGAACAATATGAGTCTGGTTTTACAGGAACTTGTCTTAAGGATGACAAGGAGGTCTCACAGGTCCCAAGCCTTTCTCTTATGACTCCATTGATGTCTGAAGCACTGGATGCTTCTACCAATACAAACATTAAGAGCAACAACAACTGCAAAGGTGGTTCAGGTTCTGGTTTGGCAGGCCAACTCAAATTACAGAACAAACCTCAACAGCAATCACAGCAGCAACAACCCTTTAGGAAGCAAAGGCGATGCTGGTCACCTGAGCTTCACCGCCGCTTTGTTGAATCTCTTCAACAGCTTGGAGGAACACAAGGTTGGAGCTTGAGACTGGAAAATAATATAATTAAGCTGATTGATATTGCTTTCTTGAAAAATAGGATGGGAAAAATATGTAGGGGGAAGAAGTTGAACTTGGACTGGAAATTGGATTTGGAAAATCTGCTTGGTCTTTGGTCCTTTACTCCTCTCCAAATCAGAATTTTTCTTAAGAAATTGAATTTAGTGGGTGGAATCTTGCACTTCCACTTGTGAAGTTGTTAAGACTTATTGTTGGTTTTCAGGACTTTCAACAGCATGACAATTCTAGAAAATACTTTATCTTTATGCTTCTATGCCAAACCACTTGAATTTAGTCCTTTTTCAAATTATTTGAATCAAATTCTCCTTTATTTTTTATTTTATGCGCTTGTTCCTAATCTGTGTGTTCTTTTTTTGTAGTGGCAACTCCTAAGCAGATAAGAGAGCTTATGCAGGTGGATGGTCTCACCAATGATGAAGTGAAAAGCCATTTGCAGGTTGGTTACTTAATTTTGTTTCTCTCATCTATAATTATAATTTTCCCTTCCTGTCTGAGTGGTTGCTCATGTGTTTGTCTGATTTGTCTGTGCAGAAATACAGGCTTCATGTCCGAAAGCTACCGGCTTCTTCTGCTGCCAAAGGCAATGGCATATGGATGCCCCTAGATCACAGTGCAGACCATTCTAAGGCAAACAACTCACAGTCTGGTTCTCCACAAGGTCCTCTCCTTCCAGGTGAGTTTGCCAAAGGTCGATCTACAACTGGAGGGGAGTCAGATAACAGCAGAGAAGCAGAAGAAGATGAGAAATCAGATGGCCAGAGTTGGAAAGGTGGGCTTCTTCACAACAACCAAGGAGGAGATGTATAGACATACAATCATCCCCCATGAATTTTGCAGATACAAATATACATGGGGAATCATAGTCTCTGAATTATGAGTAATAGTAATAAGGTACCTTTAGCAAAAAGAGAAGGGATATGCAGCTGAAGTTTTTTTTAAAAAAATCTTTTGAGGCAGTGCTTTAGAAAGAGGAGATGTGAATTTGCCATTGTTAGAGCAAGTTTCTTCGTCTGGTTCTTTTATACAGTAGGAAGTAAGATGAAAATGTTCCCAACATAATATTCACTTTATTTTATTTGTATGGTTTAACTTCTTTTATATTAGTTATGCCCTAGTATCTCAACTTAAGAGGTTCAAATTGAAATCTCTGTCCATCAGATTTCTGCTACATGTTGTTTGCCTTCAGAAGTTCTCGAACCTTTTTGGCATCGGGTCCGAACCCGAAAGTTTATCAAATCCTTTTGATCTTTTTCTAGTACATTGGATGATGAGATTGAACCCATGACTTATCCTAATCCTTTTCGTACTTCTCCCTTGGTACCTAGGCTAAGCCTCAGCGGTTTCAAAATCCTTAACTGTCATTGTGGAAATTTAACATGAAAATCTAACTCCATTCTGAGAATACAAGTGTATCTGTAACCGATTGTCTTCTTTCCATGCCAAAATTAGAGGGTTTGCCTTGCTGCTTGTCATCAAGCAAAGATCAAATATTTGTTCAACTGAATCCTAAACATCTGATCATCAGCTTGCAAAATAAAGGGGAAAGGCCTGCAATTTTACCCCAAACTTGGTCCTTGGACTTGTTCATTTGTTCATAAACCTTTGCACTTGCATTGTCCTTGATTTCTTAGTAGCATGCCATCTTATTCTCTATCTCTCTCTTCACTCTCTCGTGTGCACATCACTTCTCAACTACCAACTTTTGTTTTCTGTAGCAAAAACAATTGCATGCTTTTTACTATTACAAATCTTTGTGCTAGTTTGCTTTATTATATATATAAACCTATGTTGTATAAAATCTCTCTCCAAATAAAATGTCATGGCATCTGCAAGCCTCAATTCTGTCATGTCCATGGTGGTGGTGGTGGTTGATAGGTACATGGCATATTGAAAACTCAGAGTCACTGTCAAATGAAACTGGGACCTAATCAACATTTTTTATGATATCCGTTTCTACATTGAATAAGCTCACCAGTTTTCTTGGTAAATAGAATAATCTCACCTTACAGCGAGGCTCATGCAAAGACAATTATGGTTCCACGACAAAGCAGTCACCCTCAAGATAAAGCAACATGAATCTCAAACAGTTGATATGGTGAGCCCCAAGAATCTTTTGGGTAGAAAACTCAATGATTCAAAAGATGGCCCTTTACTTGTGCCCTGTTATGTTCATTAACCACCAAACATTTTCATTTTTTATTCGCTTCAATGTCAACCATTTCATATTTCTCTGTTTGGATTGTCGGATTTTTTGAACATATCTTATTGTCTTTAGATTGTTCGTGAGCACAATCAGTGGTGGTGATGAAAACGTGTGCCAGTCACCTGAAATAAAAATTGATCCCTGAAGAAATGAGTCGATCATCCAATAAGATTGTGGTTTTTTCCCCCAGTGTTTATAATACTCCATTATGTCATCCATTCTACAAATCCACTACTTTGACAAGTTGTCAACAAATTTGTGGAGTATACAATTGGTGTAGAAAAAACGTTCTATGATATTCACCTGTGTACGTATGGTCATCTATTGTATGCAATTAACAAAAAAAAATATACAAAATGATATTTGAGGAGGAGGGAAGCGAATCTAGGACCTTGGATGAAGGGCTTGTTAGTCAAAAACTATTCTCAAGAAGCACTTGGACAATCAAACTCTTTTGTAGTAAGTACTTCTATTGATAAGCGTTTTTGTGTTTTTAATAAATAAAAAAAGGTTCTACCAAAGGCTACATGTATAGTTTTTAACTGTTTCGGAAGCAATTCCAACATCGCAACAGGCTTAAAATAAGGGAGCTTCTATAACCCTCATTCTAGCCCCTCTGTTAAGGGAATCCCAAGCAGGCTTAGAGCACTTCCACACATTCGCCGTGGCAAAGGGCAAGGGCTATTACTATTCATGTGAATAGTGGCAGTCATTGCAAAAGGCTTGTGGTGTTTTCACTCATTGCCATGACAACTACTATTCATATGAGATATGATGAAAGGAATTTGTATAGAGTTTTGTTGTGGGAAGTGAAAAATATGACTAAGTATTTATTTAAAAAAGATTCTGAAATTTTTAGCATTTGTTTAGATTTTTTTATAAAAATTTTGGGTTGCTGACGTCATCACTGACGTCAGCAAATCCAAGCTAGAGCAAGGACTGGTTTTGCCTGAGGGCCAGCCCAGTCTTGCGGAGCCCACAGCCAGCCCGGGCTAAAAGACCCGCTGGAAAGCCTTTTTCTTCTTGGGCCCCTCCTTGCCCCAGCCCTGACGCACCGCTGGAATCGCTCTTAACGACAACCCAGAACAACATGCAACTGTGTGCACCAGGGCCAGGCTGGTACACTTCTTCCTATTCTGGGTAGATGGACTTGGATTTGTTTTATAGGCCCAACTAAATGCTTATCCTTTTGGCAAACCGCTAAAACGCACCGTCCTGCGTCTCAGTCTTCCTTGTCTCTCAAAACCCCTTTGGCTCCAAATTCATTCCCTCCCTCCGATCCCTTGGCAGCTCTGCTGGTTCCCAAACCATGAGAGAACTCGTCACCCTCCAAGTTGGAAGCTTTGCAAACTTTGTGGGCTCACATTTCTGGAACTTCCAGGTACATACACAAACACAAGCTTTACTCACACACCCATTAACTCACTCTGCCATTCAACTTCCTTCGTTGATTAACATATTCATTCATATATTCTTGAAGGATGAGCTAAATGGGTTGGCGGAAGACCCTTATGCTGACCCAGTATTCAAGAATCAGTCTTTGAACATGGACGTGCTCTACCGCTCTGGTGAGACGCACCAGGTGTGACGATTTTTTGTTTTTATTTGTTTTACTTTGATTCAAATGTTTTGCTTCACCTTCTTCTACTTAGAGACTTGCACACATGATATCAACAGGGTACTTTGACTTACACTCCCCGCCTGGTTTCTGTTGATCTTCAAGGTACTTGAAAACTGCAATTGGGTTTGTGTATCTAAGGCCTTGAAATGTATGGAAGTAGCAAACCTTCAATTTTTGACTTTTGCAGGGTCCCTTGGGTCTATGAGCTCACGTGGTACATTGTATGATGAGGGTTCATCTGCGTCATCAAATATTTTGACATGGTAAAACATTTTTATAAAAGGTTTTAAAAAATTATGCATTTTGTTTGCGTTCTTCTTTATATGTTGTTTTAGATGATTTTACTGTCTCTAAACCAATGTGCAGGGGTGGTAATGTTTCTACTCATGCTGCTGAGCCTCATAAAAAGAATTTGTTCTTGCAAAGTTTGTACGGGGAAGAGCAGGAAAATTCTTTGACTTTTGAAAATGGTGTCACTGGTGGAGAGAATCCTCGAACAGAAATTCATGACAGGGATAAAGTGGAGAGTTTAGAAAATGGTGTCCAATACTGGACTGACTTTTCAAAAGTTGAGTATCATCCCCAAAGTTTATATGAATTAAGTGGATTGTGGGTGGATCCTCAGAAATTTGACAATTACGGGATTGGAAGGGAATCCTTATCTGGGGGTTTACAGGGAGAAGAAATTAGTGAGAGGCTTCGCTTTTTTGTAGAAGAGTGTGACCATATTCAGGTATTTTACTAGTATAAATTGTTGTCCTATACTTTGACTTATTTACATCTTTTTCCTGGCTTTATTGATAGGGGATGTTGGGTGGGACGTTTGATCTAAACAAGCTGTCAATTAGTGCTAGTCGAGTTGATCATGTACTCTAGAAATACTGTCTACTGATTTTTGAGAAAGCTAGTGTCTGAGACTGTCCAATATGGTGTATAAACAGGGTCTTTGTAGTTATGGACCAGTGTGTCTTACTCTATTGATGAATTTGTTTTAAAACGACATGTATACTGCATGAACTATGTTTACATGGATTGTGAGCATCTTGAAGCTTTTGGGGACTGAAAGATTCATTGGCTAATATTAACTTCGACAAAAGTAGTATCTAGTATTTTCAGTTAATGAGTTTTTGGTGCTCCCTGCTTTGTATCAGCTTCTCAATGCTGGGATCTTCAATATGAATTTGTATTTTGACAGGGTTTTCAATTCATTGTTGATGACTCGGGGGGTTTTTTTCTCCTCTAGCTGTGGATGTTCTGGAGAGTATTGCAGATGAATATACAAATGCTCCAGTGTTGCTCTATGCTGTGCGTGGTCCTGGTTCTTCCGTGGATCCCAGAAGCCAGAAGCAGAGAGTCAGTAGGAAGCTTCACGATGCTGTTTCATTTTCAAGGCTATCGTCGTTATGTAAACTGATCGTTCCCGTGGGGTTACCCTCATTGAGTAGAAGTAAGAAATATTGCTCTTATTGAATGTATTATTCGCATGATTGATTCTCTAGCCTCTTCAGAGTCTGTCTACATACTGTTGCTGTAGCATTGTGATTCTGCAGCCTTTTTTTCTCTCTCTTAGTTATCTGATTTAATCTTATTAATCAGGATAAAATGAGTACCAATTCTGTGCTTAAGCTGTTAAATTTCCCCCTGAATGAATATTGGCATACTTAATATAGAGCCTAGGTTTTAAAGCTTTGTTTGAACCAATAGTTTGTTCTTCAGTTTCTATGATCAGTGTTGATACTCTCTTAGTTTCTCTGTTCTAAAGAAGTTACACTTTCTTGTGGACTAATCTTCTGTCCACTTGATTTGAAAGGCAAAGCTTCAACATTTCTCTGCATCAATGATGAAAAGCAGTATCACTGCAGTGCAGCTTATGCTTCTACCCTACATTCTCTTAGTCTCCCTTTTCGAATGGAACCACTTGGGCCTACTGCAGACTCATCTTATGCTTCTGGTGCTGCGACTGTTAATGAGGTTGTGCAAATCCTATCAGGGCAAACTAGGCAGAATATGGTTGCCATTCTGGATGCTGCAATGCCAGCCCCTTCTTTAACTGGTAATTACTTCAGTCGGTTTTCACATTAAGCCCTCTGTTATTAGCAATCATTTTGGTTAATTATTTGGCATTATAAACAGGGAATCAGGTCGAGCAAACTTTGCTACGTCATTTGCAGCCATTGACACCAGAGATAGCAAAGGATATTGAGGACTTACAATCAGTAGAATCCATCTCAGTCCACGGGGCCCTAGGACCAGGTACTGTTTTGGAGTGAACATCAGTTCTTTTCATTAGACTCCTGAGAATGTTAAACATGCTCACTTAAGATAGTTCATATTTTGTGCTTCTAGAAGCATAAGGATACATCCCTTTTTTTCTTTGGTTCACAACATTTTATACACTAGTAAGAACATCTGCTGCCATATCTTAACTGGAACTTCGGAGACTTAAAAGCATATATCAGAGGTTACAAGATAAGCATAGCCGATGCATTGCACCACAAAAAATTGTTCTATTGCCTGAATCTGTATTATTTAGCAAGAACATCTCCAAAAATGTCACTCTTGTGACAATACTGCACTGGTTTTCTTTTTTTATTTCTTTCATTGCAATCATTGTCATTTTGATTACATTCTGAATCATCTCTGCATTTTATGGATGTAAATTGTATAACTAGTTAACTTGTTATTTAGAGGCAGTATGAATTTATAGATGCTGGTGAAATTACAAGTCATTGGTGAAACTGGAAATTCCACTCTTGTTACAGAGTACCTAGAACAAATTAGTCAGGGACTTCATGAAGGTGTGAGTTTGGGAAAAATATTATGAAATGTACTATTGGGATTATGGAGACTGGATGCGTATTATATTCTAATTGATCGTTTCTGTTCAGCAGGAGGTCAGCGGGCATCAGTTTCTGAAGTAAAAGATATGGTTCATGCTGCTTATGAGCATGCAACGACAAGGCCAATGTTCTGCCATCTGTCTGTGGCTCAATGTCCACTTCCAATACCTTTGCCTTTTCCTTCAATATTTGGGAACCGTGTTGGCCAACATGGTGAGCTTTTGAGCACCCCAATTATTGATTCTTCATCAAGGGGATCACTTGATGTCCATTCCATCCCTATGGCAGCTAGACTACGGTCTAGCAGTGCCGTTTTACCATTCTTGGAGAATAGATTGGGAAGTCTTCGTAGCTTTGGGATTGCCAGAGGAGCTCCTGGGGCTGAGTTAGTTAGAAGTTGGGGATTTGCAGAGGATGAATTAGAAGACATGGGTGAGGTGCTGTCTAAAATGATCACGACATTGGATCCTCGTTCTCAAATGTCCTCTGATTCAGATTAACTTTCTGGTTAGTGTTAAATTTACTCTCTCTTTTTCATTTGCTGATGTAGATGTCAACGAAATGAAATCTGTGATTTTTTTTTCTTGCCTGAATCTGAGGTCTAATCTTAATTTGACTAATATTCGTTTAGTTTCTATCAACCAAAATAAAAAAAACCATATCTATAAGAATTGACCAAGTTAAAAGGATGCATGAACATATGTGGTTCCAACTTATTATGAGGTAATAATAAGTTTTCTTTTGTATGGGGAAAATAACATGTGGCTTTGAGCAGGTGGAGATGCATGGGAGTGAGGAAAGAGCTTTGACATGGCCACCTGGAAGGGAGAGTTAAAGCTGTAAATTTGTGGTGAAAGTCAAAGATATTTGGAACTCGGAATACAAGCCAAAGGATGAGAGACAAAGATCAATGGATTTTTATGGTGCTGCTGGGATTTTGAAGTTAAAGCTTGTATTGTCTTGTTTTCTGCTCCCTTGTATTTGGGAAGTTTTCTGGGCCCATCTAAAATTTATGTTGTAGTTTTTACGTTTGGTGTTAATAGGCTGGAAATATATAGTGGAAACCGTCCAGTCTTGGGCCACTGTCCCAAATGATCAGATGGTAGTTTGGCAGCCAATGTTAACTTGTCTAATTTATGAGTTGAGAGAGGCTGGTACCTTGGCGCAGATGAATTAAGTGCGATACTCTAGTTTCTCTCGTTTGCCGGGTGGGTTAGAATTGGACTGGGACTAGGCCCGACACTGTGGATGGATAATCTAAAGTAATTAATACAATTTTATTTCATAAAAAAATAAGTCTTTATTTTCCTCTGTCTCACGTTGTGTGACCAATTAAAAATACGAAATGTCATGCTCTACGGTGTGAACGTGCATTTTTCAATGCAAGGCAAATGATAATAATAGTTTAAAACAAAGGTGAAAATTTATCATTGTCCCCTAAATTTATGACATTCTTCCGATTTTCCTCTTCGACTTTAAAAGTCGATATGAACTATCCTAATTTTTTTTAAATGTATCAATTTATACCTAATTGTCAAGGCTAGCACATTTCAAAAGATGATTGGAGATGCCCACCTATTTTAGCATTCCAAAGTTGTTGAAGATTTGTTATACTAGACTGTACTTGTTTTTAGTCTAATCTTCTCTGTGCTTGCGGTACTTTGTTTATGCATTTGTCCTTTTCGGCCATTGTATTCTCTGTTTGTTTCTTTTCCACTTTTAGAGTTCTAATGAACATTGATTGATCAATAATAATAAAAATTATTGAAGAGGCCATTGAAGATGCTCATCCCAAAACCAAATTGGTAGTGAAATAGACAAAGAAGGTACTAAGTTCATGGGGGAGAAAGCCACGTGTCCTCAAATAAATTCCATTAAATCTATGAACTGGACCACAATCAGGTGCGACGACTCTGATAAACATATGAATTCATGTAAAACCACATAACATCATGCCAAGCCACGTTTCAATCACTCAACTTTACTTGATTCTTAATATAATCATTGTCCATTAAAAACACAAATGCATGGAATTATAAACTGATCCTTCCTTAGTATACTTTTTCAATTGAATCATTATTTTTGTCCTAATTCCTTTTTTATCAGTTAGCCGACTAAATAGAATGAAATGAATTAAAGTAAATGAGTGTTACATCACTGTCCTTTTTAGAGGAAGACAAATTGGTTTCTCCTAAACGATTCATACACACATTTAAGTCATTATAAACAACAAACACATGATCTTTGTAGTTTAGATTCAAACATTGCTGCTTTATCTAATCCTAAGATGATAAAAATAAGATAATCTGTTTAATAACTAAATGCAGGGAGTGCAGACATATAGATCTACAATTGCACAATCACAAACTACAAGCTTTCAACAAAACCAAGAGACAACTAGACTATATAAAAGCAGAGATCAAGTAATGAACATATTAAATTAGAAAAATGACAAGTCATTAATAAAATCATAGCAAATTGCGTAAGAAAAAATTTCCAAAATTTAACACCCAAACTCTAAATGATAAAAGGCTGACAATAAAGATTGCAATTGGAAATTAAACAAAAACTAAGAGAGAAACATACGAATATTAAAAAACCCATTGGATATAGGTTGATACAATTTTAAAGAGAAGGAGACCTACTACTTCTAAACTCTTAAGTTCAAATATAAAGTTATAGCTTACATAGGTGGGTAATAGAAAAACATGATGTTTGATGTGTGATTATCTTATACGTATTTGCATTGAGTACGGAATCGTATTATAGAAAAATGTATTAAAGTAATGTCAAATTGGCACATGGATGAAGTTGAATATCCATCCTTTTGTGAAAAACGATGGAAATCTTATAAATCTGGCAGAGATATAGGCAGCTGCTGCCTGTGAGCCTGTGAGCCTGTGAGAGGGTGTGAGGCTGTCCTGTCCAAAATGCATGGCATGCACTTCCATGCAGCAAATTATTTTAAGGTCAAGGTCTTCGTCTTTTAATGTGATTATTAAAAGACAGATAATTGAGCTCTACAGTTTGAACAATAAAGAAACAAGGTCAATAAAGCGGTGAAAGCATTGTGATCCATTCCATCAACACAGCTTGCTTCTTCAAGGAGGTGATTACAGGGGGCCACCGCAGAGCTAATATTTTCATTTCTTTTTCTTTTTTCCAATTTTGTACTGTCTTGTTATTTTTAAATAAGATGTGAGTGATGGACGTGTTAATTCTTCAAAAGGTGGCACCAATCCCGGTATCATACATCTCTTTGGTTGACCCTATCACCCTAACTTTTCCCCTTTTTCCTTCATCCTTCATTCATATATATATATATATATATATATATAGAGAGAGAGAGAGAGAGAGGAGAGAGAGAGAGAGAGAAACTATACGGCTGTATGACTAGAAGAAAAATATAGGTACAACTCCCATTTAGGTTAAAATAGTGCTTTCAAAATTCCTCATTTTATTATAGTTAAAGATTTTCAAATAAAGTTAGATTCAGATGCTAAACAAACTTTATATCACGTTCACATGTGCACGTGTAACACCAATCTTAGTCATGCTATAATTATCAACACACGATCAACCAAATAATAGTGTTATAGTGATGGAGTCAAACCAATAATTCGTAATCGTGAAGTTATCACCAAAAATAATAGTAATAATACTCTAGGGAGTACTGTATAGTGTACTATACGCACATGTACAAGTGAACATTTTCTCCCTCATGTTCTTATTGTATAATAATATGATTCTTTTTTTATTTCATAAACGGCACATGAGATATGAACTTGTGACACATTTTGACAATGAAAATAAAAACATTATTAGACTTAGATCTCGGGTAAGGATAATGACTATAATAAAAATACTAACAATAAGACAAGTAATAACAATGACATATTGTTATTGTTAGCACCACCATTACTATCATAATAATATAAATAATAATAATAACAATAAGGGATATGCTAATATTAGAAGAGATGGAAAAAGGCCTTAGATAATTCCAGAAGTTCAGATTTACATGTTTGCAAAAAAGAAGCGTGGATTATATCACGACTAATCCAGAAGATCGAGATCAATGCAGATCCTACACTTGGAAATATCTCTCCAATCAAACTTCTCTTTAAAACTAAAAAATGATTTAGATTTTGGACCTCAGATTTGAACCTTTCCAAATCTCATTTCCTACTCTCTTTATATATATATATATATATATATATCTCTCTCTCTAGATCTCCAATTATATGCGGAAGATATGAACTGCTGCAACCAAAAGAAAACAAGAAAAAAAGGAAAATATAGGTTAGGAGACGTACGAAAAGTGCAATAGAATCGTAATGTTCTACATGAAATGAGAAAGAAGAAAAAAACAAGTAGTAAAATCAAAGTCTACCACAAACACAACAAAAGTTTCATAGATGCCAAATTTGAAACTTGTTTAGGTAGGTAAAGGGAGAAGGGTAGTGTGGTCATTTCACAATGGGGGAAGAACAATCTGAAGCCGATAGTGAAGATCATAAAAAGTGTTGTCAGCGAAATTTGCCTTGAAAAACACTCCCTTTTTCTAGCTACCTTTTTTTTTTGTCCAATGCGTAGTATGAATTATGAGTCAAAAGAAGAGGACATGTTTTTCCTTTCACAAATTGGACCATCAAACACCATGCAATCAATGCGCACCAAATTAGCTCAAACAAGCATCAACATCACTGCGAGGATATATTTATTAATTTTTCTGACAAAACCATAATGGCCAAAAAAATAAAAATAAAAATATATTCATCAAGAGGGGAAAGGGATGTCACAAAGTGGTCAAGTGAAAACCTAAGGCTGCTACCTCAGATGTTATTGATGATGAGGAGGGAGACATCCCTCGCTGGGAAAAGACAATAATTCTCTTAACCAACCCCTCTACTCAGCCTACTCTTATGCAATAAAAAGTAATTTTGGCTATCCATGATATTTGCCCCTTTCATGAAAAAACCACCCAATGTGCACCTCCTCAAAGCATCACAACATCCATAAATGCAAAACCCCCCATTTAGCAAACATCAAAACAATTTATGTGGTGGTTAACATTACTTATGTCTACATACCCCAAGTCTTATATTTGAATTCCCACTTTTTAGATATCGTTTATATCAAAATAAAGCCTCGTGTGCAAGACCATAAACCCAACTAAATAAAGAAATAACAAGAAATTAAAATGCATGGATTTCAAAATAGAGAGTAATTAAGCAAAGGAAGGAGAGGATACCTAGGATGAAAATTAGTTGAATGAAAAAGCGGGGAAGGCAGGAGGAGCTGAAAAAATTGCCATCAACAGGAGGGACCCACACTCCTACCGCCCTCCTCGCCAGGATCGGACTTTTGCTGCAGCTGCGTCTGCTGTGATTGCTGGTTCTGATGCTGCCCTTGAGGCTGTTGGGTTTGGAGCAAGAGCTGAGCCTGAAGCTGAAGCTGATGATGATGATGTGATTGTTGCGGCTGAATCTGATGATGATAAGAATTGCTATCAAACCCCAGAGCCAAAGAAGGTGAAACAGCATTGCACACTGCTCCAGCCATCTGAGTGAACCCGCTCACGGTCACTGAGCCGGGGGACAAGTCAAACCCACTGTTAAATCTCACATGCTCTTGACCTTGCTGCATTGACTGTTTACTTTGATCGAAACTCCTGAACATCTCCTGCTGCTCTCTCGCCGCCACAGCCGCCGCCAACTGCTGAGCCTCAAACATCTGCTGTTGTTGTTGTTGCTGCTGCGGCTCTCGAATCATCAACTGCCCGGAAGTAGGGCCGGTCGAAATGCCCATCATTGGAGACATGGTGTACGGCGAAACAGCCGAAGAAGAAGCGTTTCCTTGCAGCTGTTGGGGCATGTAAGTTGGTGGTGGCTGAAGAATGGAAAGCATGGCTTGAGGACCCATGTAAGTGGCGAGTTCCTTCTTGGCGTTGTAGAGGTCAGCCTGGACTTGCTTGAGCCGTTGCTGGAGGATGGAGATGAGGCCCACACATCCGTAGACCGGGTCACGGAGGCGTGCCTCCGCTTCGTAGGCCAGCGAGTTCACGGCGTCTTCCCGCTGCGTAGCGTTGAGCTCGTTGAGGATCTTGGCGACATTGCTGGCTCCGAATACCTTGTGGACGTTGGCGAACTTCTGGGGCTGGTCCGGTGGGAAATAAGGCGCGAACACGCACTCCTGCGTGCATTTTCGCCTGAGAAACTTACAGGCTGCGCACGGTGAGTTTGACGACGACATTATTTTAATTCAATCAACTGCAACGGGAACAACCATAACAAAAATAAATTAAATTAATAAAAATTGATCCAGAAGTCAATATTTGATTATTTGATAATCTGATACAATGCAAGAAAGACAAATAGTCTTTACACCAAGGACAAAAACTAGAGAGAGAGAGAGAGATAGAGAGAGAGAGAAGAGAGATTTATTTATAATCTTTTTGTTTAATAAGGGCATTGAAATGTGGGAAAATCAGAGAGGGAGATGCATAGGGGATTCAGGGAAGCTTCATGGATTTACTGGTTTTAGAAAAAAGAGCTGGTTTTGGAACGTATTAAAAGAAAACTGACATGATACCTTATAATCAAACAGTATCTTCGAACCAAAGCAAGCAATAATATAAAGAAATGATTTTCAGAAAGAAAAAAATTAAACGAAGAAGAAAAAACAAAACGAAACGAATCGTTTCAAGGACCTGATGATCGATTTTTGCAAATTGCAGATACTGTCAAAAAAAGCTTAAACAACAATGGCTTCCTTTACACTGCGTTCCGAGAGAGAGAGAGAGAGAGAGAGAGAGAGAGAGAGAGAGAGAGCGACAGTGGAACAGAAAACAATGAAACGAGAACTAATTTGCTGTCAATTTACCAGAAATGTAAAACAATACAACAACGGCGTGAAGAAGAAGCTCTCTGCGAGAGACTACTATGTTTGTTTGTTATGTGTTTGTGTTTATGCCTGACTCTCTCTCTCTCTCTCTCTCTCTCTCTCTCTCTCTCTCTCTCTCTCTCTCTCTCTCTTAACTTCACGCTCAAGAAAATGCAATAAAATCTCAGATCCGCGTAAGCGAAAACAATCTTTCCAAGAATCAGCAAAAATCCACAACAGGTCCTCGCAATTCACCGTGTGAACAAAAAGAAACGGCGAGATCTTTCGAAAGACTCAAAAACTCGAGGAAATGAAGATGACGATTGAAGAAAATGAAGGAGGATGATCAACCTCACCTGGGGCCTTTTACCTTCAATTTTACTTGAATCGCAGCTTGCTCGGTTCACAGTCGACGGCTCTGCCCTCTCTCTCTCTCCAAGCCTCCAAAGTCCATGTAACACCTGCAAGGACACGAAACCAAAAAGAAACTGCAACTTTCAGAAAACGGAGACGAAACGTCGGCGTTTCGCGAGAGCGAAGAAATGGTGGCGATGAAGAAAAAGAAGAAGAATACGAAGACGAAGACCTGTGAGAGAGAGCTCGGTGGTTTCGGGTTCGAGAGCGAGAGAGCGCTCGATCCGATCTTCGAGTTCTTCCAGGATCCCAACAGAAGCAGAGAGAATGGAAAATTTTATTATTTCGAAGCCAAGAAAATAAAATAAAAATATATAATAAAAATGAAAACAAAGAAATGATGAGGGAGGAAAAGGGGGTGAGAGAGAGAGGAGAGAGAGAAGGAGGGCGTTAGTACCATATGGCGTCGACGTCAAATATTTTTATATGCGGTTTGCGTTGGGAACCGTTGAGATTTGGAGGGAGACGTAGTGACCGTCGGATCAAGTTTTGGTTTTTATTATATTTGTTATACCATTACTGACCTCCATAAGGATGGACATCTTATTCTGAGCAACCATTAAGTGCCTTCTGAGTTTCCTCTTTGTCCCTGTACTGTCTGCGTCTAATTCCGATAATGCCCCTGTTTGGACGCTTTGATTGCCTTGGATGTCAATGCAAGCCACTTAATTACCCAAATACCCCTCTCTTTTATTATTATTATTATTTTTTGTCATTTTCCGGTTGCTTCATTTACACTTGGATAATGTAAACTTTCAGTAAAAATAAAAAATGCATGTTTAAAAAAGAAAAAGAAAAAGCAATAGTATATTATTAATGAACAAATAAAAGTAAATATGTGCGGAATATTAACTTGGAAGAATTGAGGCATGATTGGATTACATATTATTATGAAAACAGAATCTTAGTGAATCATAATTAGGAGGTACAGGCTAATTAATTTTGTGCCATAAATGACATAATCAATTATGTAATCATTCTTTCTCAAATACATTTGGTTTTGAATAATTACCATGTTCTCACTAATCCCAATTAATTAAATTGCACATTGCATGGTTGCTAAACTAACTTGCAACCTATACTTGTAATTAATCAGTAAATTAGTTTGTTTTTTCTTTTTCTTTTTTTGAATTTGAGAAAATAGTTTAAATTTGAACTAAGGAAAATAACAAGTATCCTCTTTCTCGATTCGCTATGTTATCATCCCTATCTCTTTTTATTTTTAGGTATGCAAAATTTGAATTTCAAATAACCATATATTCTTTATAAATCAATCAGTATTTCATAATTAGTAAATGAAATGCAAATGAGCATCATCATGCTTGATAGTGATAAAATTATCAATCAAATCTAATATTCCATAATTTGAATAAAATGGAAAAATGAGCACAAAGGTAATTTCGCACAGGACCTTGCTGGTTCGTGGCACAATTATCCATTTCCCAGTAGCAGCACGTCCGGATACCATGCGCGTTAACCCTACAGTCTGTTTTTACCAAATTACCACTCTTCACTGTCTCCTCCCTCCACCCTTTAACTCCACTGCACCTTCGTGCAATTGACAGTTGTCTCTTTCAAGGCCCTCGAGAGACTGGCTCGGGAGGGCAAAATAGTAAAACCGACCCTACCCCCCGCCCCAGCACATCGTTTCTCGATTCGCTCATTAATACTCCTTCTTCAACCTTCCTTGCATCAGCAAGCGCGCACGAGTTACGAGACAGAGACAAAAGGGATGTGAGTTAACCTGTTATTGCCGGTCACCCTCAGCCCTCCCTCCGTACGGTTGCTTTGCTGCTGCACAGTCGTTTTGATTGACCGGTTTGGCCTTTTTCATTCATTTCGACGTGACCAAACCTTAAGCTTCCCCCAAAGGACTGATGGGTGGGTGGTGCGTCCTCCTCAGCCGTCAGGGGCCTGTCACCGCTACCGGCTAATCACGTCGCTCCTTTGACCGCCCAACCGGTCAACTAATTCATTTTTTATAATTTTAATATTAATTAGGGGCTAATTCTTTTGGTTAATTTCGAGGCATAAGGTAAAACTTCGAGTGTATGCGAGTCCATGCAAGTCAGCATGTGACCGACCCGAATACTATAACCTGGTGTCCTTATTTGCGCCAAAACATGGCGCCACGTGTGCGTGGGTTTTGATACGGTGTGGTGTGGTGGCAGTGGTAGGTCTTGAAGTAGCTGTTTGTGATTCTAGGCATTCGCCTCTCAAGGTGTAGATAATCTACATTTAATGAGGGCGAGGGGAAGGACTATTTTGTATTTAATTATTCTTCAGAATCATAGATGGATCAACATGTGACAATTTAAGATGAGTTTACCTAACACACATCCCATTTACACTTTACAAAAATTCTTATAAGAAAATATAGTTGTTATTGGCATTTTTTTAGTACAAGCGGTAATCTAAATTATAAATATGAGGGTTTTTTCTCACACACAACTAAGATGTTATGAGAATTCGAGCGCGAGACCTTTTGTGGGCAGGTTAAGACCCATTCCACTGACATATCTTTTTCCAACTTAAAAAAGAGAAACAATTCTTTTTATATAAAAAGACTTTGTAAAAGGGTAACAAAATCCTTTGAAAATTTGGTATAGTTTTTGTTGGGTCAGAAATGTAAATTTGGTATAGTTGTGTGTGAAAAGAATCAATCACCAATCCAATAATTACAAACCAAAACATCTTTAGATGTTTTTGCCTAAATTGATTCAAAATTATCAAGTGCGCTTTTATTTTTTATTTCCGAAAAGGGATTTTGTAGGTTTCAGTTTCAGTTTAATTTGATGGGATGGAAATTTAAAGGGTAAGCCTTATCAGAGAATTAAACAATAACCAACCATAATTTTCTAATATTTATTAAAAAAAATAATGTTATAATATAATATTTGACGTACTTAATCACGTTAAAAAAGAATGCATTCATTTTAGACATTTTGCGAGTCCACACAAGCAAAATATGTGAGATTTATTTTTGTACAATGAACCATTGGATTGTATGTAGTAATGTATGTGACCGATTTATGCTTAAAAATTGGTGATTTTATTGATCAAAATTATTAATGAGTGCTCATCAACATGCTAACTCATAACCAAGATACATCAACAAATCGTGCCCCCATTGAATTAAATTTAACAGAGAATGGAATACACCCAGGTGAAATTGCCTTCTCTCGCTGGTCTTTATAGTTTTTCCTCTAACAAGAAGACTAGAGAGAGAGAGAGAGAGGTAATGTGCACGTGGCGTCGTGAGATGGTGAGGTGAAGAAATGAAGGTGGGGGCCACCGAGGAGGAGACAAAAGGGAGGGAAGAGGGAAGGGTGGTGGTGGTGCGACCAGTACCACTGAGGCACTGAAACTGACTGTGCCTGTGTGTGCCCAGAGGAAGAAGAGAGGCAGAGCAGAGGCCCTCTCTCTCTCTCTCTCTCTCTCTCTCTCTCTCTCTCATTGGTGGGTGTGATGGTAGAGTTTCTCTCTCTCGTCTTGTTGGACAATTGCGTGCACATCGTTCCTTCCCATTTAATGTAGAGTGCCTCTCCTCAGACCTCTCTCCTTCGTATAAAGATGTGATCGGATCTTCTCTCTTTTTGTCTTACTTTATTCGTCTTTTTTCACTCCCAAAAATTATATATTATTTCTTTTAATTTGCATTTTGGAAGTTTGCTTTGACCAACTTCTTCCAAATCTATTTCGTGTGGAATGAAAGCATAATCAAAACTATATATTAATTTATAATAAATTAGTAAAAGTCATGGGGTCTAAAATTTAGCTGGTTTGTAGAGTATAGAGCGTACACACTTTCATTACAAGCGACGATGATCGGTTCATGACATCATATGGGGGATCCTTAATCATTTTTATTTTCCTACAATCAAATATAATATTTATATTCATGGAGTATAGTTTTCAATTGCACATGTCATGGATTGTAATCACATCAACCAATCTAAATGAAAATGATGCCATTCCTCCAATATCCTAAGTTATACTATCATTCATACCCAATCGAGGAAAAAAAAAAGATTGACATGATCCTAACTACTAAAATGATGCCACGTCATGAATAAGATTACATTTACGATATGTTTACTTATTTGGGTATGAGTATTACTCTGATTTCCTTAGTATTTGTCAACACATGAGTTTTTCATGATTGTTGAAATTCAGGACTTCTATAATCTTTACCAACAACACATTAGAATTCGTAATCAAACACTTAAAAGAAATTAAGAGGAGTAGTTAATTTCATACTCATTTATTCTCTGATTGTTCTCGATGATAATAGTGAATTATGCATATTTATAATATGACAACATAATAACAAACAGGTTATCAACCTATAATGCATAAGAGAAAATGAAGAAAACCCACACACACACCTTTTGTTGGGTCCATGGCCTGATTTTGCAATGTGGGAATATAAATAAAAAAAATGACTTGAGCATGCAACATCTACATGATTTGAAAAGACAGAGAAAAATCCAAAAATGCCAAAAAGGCACGTACGTACGTGTGGATGGCGGATGGGGAGGATGGCCCTTCAAAATTTTCCTCAACACGTTTGGACGTCTCATCTCTCAAGAATCAAAGATCTCACACCCGAATATAGTAATAGTAGGGAGAGATGAGTTTGTTTGTTTTGAATTGCCAGATCATCATTGCATCCATATCAACCCTTTTGTCTCATCCTTCCTCCTTTTTCTTTATTCTTCTTCTTCTTCTTCTTCTCTCCTCCTCTGCAGATTACACAATTTACAATTGCTTGCTTCTTGCTTCTCTTTCTCTCTCTCTCTCTGTCTCTTTTCATGCACCCTTTTTGCTGTTGACTTTTTAGGGTTTTATGGCCCAGTGGCCCATGGGGACAAAGTGAGACGAGAGCTTTGTCACGTGCATGGATTTGACATGGAAAGCCAATCACTTTTTCTTTATGCAACAACACTTGACTGACCTGTGATATATTGTGAATATTCTGATGCAGTGATGCCATCATTCACCAAAGCCAACGGCAGGCCTGCCTACTTTTTTTTTTCCTTCCTCTATTCGTTTAATGACTTTCCAAGTTTCTATTCCTTTTCCCATGTAGTCCAAATCCAGAGGTGTATTGAACAATGCTAAAATAAGAAAAAAGTTGTAGTTTATTACTTCTTGTTTACATTTCTACATGAAAAGGTTGAGCACTTTAATAAGTGTTCCTTCGGCAATAGTGTGAAAAGCAATCTTATTATTATTATTATTATTATCGTGAACAAGTTGGATAAGAACTTTCATGCAATAGAAATGTCACTACGACAATATTTTAATTCAATCACACATTATCATATAATTAAGAAAGTTAAAAATACACGACAACTTAACGTGATTAGTTTGAAATACCCCTCAATAGTATTCCTGATCGATATAGGTAAATCCATTGTAGACAAGTTCTTTTCCCGACCTAATCTATGTATTTTGTCAAAGTAAATCTTCATCTATTATGTACGAGTATTGTTAATTGGACCACATTTACTGAACTATATATGCAACTAACCACTTCTTCAACAAATGCGAAACTTTTCTCTACATAGAGCTGTCTTTATTAGAGATGTGATTAAATATTGTCCAAATAGGTTTATTCTTCATTATAAACGGATTAATGTTTAATGATGATTTATGGCGGAAGAGATTATACTTTTGAACTTTGGGCATGAACAAGAACAATTTGGGAATTTAAGGTCATCTCTAGTCATAGGGCTAAATAAATACACGACAACTTAACGTGATTAGTTTGGAATACCCCTCAATAGTATTCCTGATCGATGTAGGTAAACCCATTGTAGACAAGTTCTTTTCCCGACCTAATCTATGTATTTTGTCAAAGTAAATCTTCATCTATTATGTACGAGTATTGTTAATTGGACCACATTTACTGAACTATATATGCAACTAACCACTTCTTCAACAAAAGCGGAACTTATCTCTATATGGAGCTATCTTGATTAGATATGTGATTAAATATTGTCCAAATAGTTTTATTCTTCATTATAAACGGATTAATGTTTAATGATGATTTATGGCGGAAGAGATTATACTTTTGAACTTTGGGCATGAACAAGAACAATTTTGGAATTTAAGGCCATCTCCAATCATAGGGCTAAATGTAGTCCAAGGCTAAAAATTTAGCCTTCCAAAATATTAATTTTTTAAAGAATAGTGCATGGCTAAAGTTTTCAATCTCTAATCATGTTAGAGTCTTTCATATTTTATTATTTTGAGAAAAACTATGGTACAACACTTATACATTCCACAACTATATATTGTTTAATTTAATTAAACTACTATTTAGAGACAATATTCTATATATGTGACCACATTTAAAAAAGAAAAGAAAAAGAAAATGGTTTCAATAGTCTAATCTCCAACGGTCATGACCAAAATTTTTTTTATAATTTTTTCTAAACAACACTTGAAAACATTTAAAAGGTGACTACATTTATAAATTTAAAAAAAAAGAAAAAAAAAGAGAGGATAAGTTTCAATGGTCTGACTTCCAATGGTCATGACCAATAATTTGTTCTACTTTTTTCTTAAACAACACGAATTGAAACATTTAAAAAGGTTTTTAAAAATATATGTTTTAATGTTGGTTATTGAAAAGCAAATGCATGGGGCCCACAAAAAATTTGGCATAGGCTACAGCTAGGCTACATTTGGTGCGATTGGAGGGTTAAATTTGGCAAAAATTTTGTTTAGCCCATGGCTGGAGATGGCCTAAAAGACAGAGAGTGGTAGATAAAAAAGCCCACATCCCCCAAATGAGGCCCAAGATTTCACAACCATTGCAGGCCGAATTGAATATCCAACGAGCCCGCAGTCTAATAAGGCAAAGAAGTCACCTCTCTCCGAAGGCCCAGACCCTTAAACCCCGAAAGCAAATGCAAAACCCTCACTAGAAGAAACCAGACACCAAAACAACAACCGAAAAGGAAAAATATGGCCAATCGGTGGCGCTCAGCCGGCGGCAACCTCCGCGCGGTTCTGCAAAACCCTAGCCCGCGACAACAAGCTCCATTTCAATCCTTTTCGGCTCTGTATCACACGATCCAAGCCATCCCGAGGGAGTGCACAGGGAACAGAGTCTCCGTCAAAGACCGAGCTCAGGGTCGAATTCCAGCCGTCGTGTTCTCGCAGGAGCTAAACCCTAGCACCACCACCGTTCGATCGGTCTCCAAAAAGCACTTGTTGACCACCGAGAGGAAGCAGATTCAGGCCATTCTCAAGTCAGTTGAGCTCCCCTTTTTCTGCTCCACTAGGTTCCCGCTCCAGATCCGAGCTGGGTCCGGGTCATCGGATCTTCTTGAATCCGGAAACGTCCTACCCATCAAGGCAATTACTCATTTCTTCATCCATGCCTTTCTTGTTTAAAAAAAATATATATAAAAGCTTCAAATTTATAACTTGTTTTGGATTTTTGGGATTGTGATTGTGTGCAGATTCACAGGGACGAAGAGAGTGGGAAGATACTGAATTTGGTGTTTGTTTGGGCGGATGAGGGCTCGCAGCTGAAAGTGGATGTCCCTGTTGTTTTCAAGGGTGAAGATGTATGCCCTGGTCTCAAAAAAGGTAATTTCTTTGCTTTTTAAAACACCAATTTTTACATTAACAAAAACGTTTCAATTTTGTCATATCATGTACACGCTGATCAATCCTTCCAAGCTTTTGTTCTGAATTCTATCCTAAAACCTAAAACCATACATAATGAAGTTGGATGCTTATTTGGCCATGGCTTTGGTACATTGCTTCAGCTCATGCTGTTCCTTTTATAATCTGTGTATCTTAACTGTTACTTGTTGAAAACCAACAAAATGTAGCTACTGCAGCTACCGTTGTTGCCGTTGTTCTTGTTTAAAGTACACATGTGTAAAGGCTTATCATTACTGGAGTTCCTGTTTTACACATTGTGTCGTCACTGTCTTTATTGCGTGTATGATTTCCATATGCACCAGTTATTCTGAGTACAACATTCACATTGTGAGAGTATGACTGCCATGTTCATAATTTTTCAAGCATATGACAGAAGTTCATTCAAGATTGATTATTGTTGGGCATGATTGACTATGTAGTCTGTACACTGATTATGACTTGTTCTGCCGAAACAGGTGGCCATCTGAACAAAATTAGAGCTACTCTAAAGTACCTTTGCCCAGCTGAACACATTCCTCCCAAAATTGAGGTGGATGTCAGCAAGTTAGATATAGGTGATAGGGTGTTCATCCCTGATGTTGAGGTTCATCCATCCATGAAGCTTCTAAGTAAGAACGAAACCATGCCCATATGTAAGATAGTCGCAACAAAGTTGGAGAACCCAGAATCTGCAGGAGTATAGGCACTGATGCACAATTTTACGACTTTCCTGCATTTGGTAGCTTGAATCACGAGGAGAAGAAAGAAGTTCAATAAGTCTTGATTTTTCCCAAGGCTACTGATTGAGCTGGTGGTATGTGCTGTGTGATTCCCAAGTTGGAAAAAAATTGTCGTTGTTGTTTAGATCATAATCAGACAAGCTGAATTTTCTTGTAGCACTCTGAATAGAATCAGTGTTTGTTATATCATGTGCTGTTATCATCTCAGAATTTTCATGCATGTAGCTTAGCTTCAGTGAAGTGGTTAACAGAAGTTTTACAGCATAAACTAGCTATATTTGTTATTTTATTTCATCTTTCTCCCTCTTATAATCTCACAGTAAAAGTAAATAAGATTTATTCTGTTATTTTGTGCTTACAAGTTACATTACATTCTCTAGAATTTGGATTGTTCCTTCCTGTTCATTTTTCCAGCTTGATTGCTGGTGTGAATAGTTTGTGTTCGTAGCTTTTTATGTGGCCTTTTCATGTTAGTATTTTGTTGGGCCTCTGGCTCCCATGTGACCCAAGAAATAAACAAAATACGGGATGAACACTTTGAAGTAGGAAAGTTAGGCTTGTAGGATTTTTGTTTTGTCTGTTTATTTGGGCCTCTCCTTATGTGAGGATCCTCAGCCCTGAATTGAGCAACTGCCGGTTGCCGACTTAGTTGGGTCTATAGAGATAACTTTTGTTTCCTCATATTTTTCATGGGCGCTCATCAAAATATAATTTCCTATGTTCATATGCATGGAATTTTTAGTGACGACTCGAGTAAACTTACGTGCAATTGAGTTTTGCCCCTTTGTGTCTATCGTTGTCCATTTTTCTCGCCACGTGACATTTGAGGAGTGAGACAGACTAAATCGTATACACTCGGCCACGTGACACCTGAGGAGAGAGACAAACGCAAATGATATACAACCCAGTTACATGCGTTCCTCCGGAGTAATATAAGAGAGCCGTATAGAGATTTCACATGTGTAGAACTTGTATACGTGTTGTTCACATAGGATGATGGGGTGACACAGATCATGACATGGAATTGAACAATTATATAACAATTCTATGGATGTGATGGTAGTGAATTTTACCAACCCACCATACCATTCTAAGTCAACACGTTCCCTCCTTTTCCTGTCACTCTACTTCTTGATCTTTATGAAAACTACTATATCTTGACCACATTAACATTAATAAAGTTTCAATTGAATGTAGGTGGATGTTGAAAATCGACGTCCACTGTTGGATGGATTGCGATGGTCAATGGCTCAAAAGCTTCTCGACGCTACACTAACAATCATATGGCATCTATGTATCACTTTTTCCATATTCTTCAAACTTTTTTTTTCATGCCAAGTTTTCTTATTATGTTATTTATGCATATTAAATTTATTTACGTCAATTTGTTTATATTCTCCAACCCAATTATCGTATTCCTTTTTAATGTTAAAAAAAAAAAAAAAAAACAAAACACAACAAAAAAAAAAAAAAAAAACTACTGGCAACTGATGTAATGCATTATAGTTAGGGTGTTGCTATTTGGATGACATTGCTGACCACCTTTCTAATATAAGTGAGTCCCATATACACTACTATGATCTAATTCTATTTGAAAGATGGTCAGTTAATAAATGTAGTACAAATAGTAATAATGTGTTTTCAGTTGGTAAATTTAACTAAACCCCATAGTTATCCACATCATCCGCGAAAACAGAAATAGATAATGGCGCGGATTCTATATTTATATATTTTCGCTTGAAAATTATCCAGTTTATTGATTTCGTGTCATTAATTAATGAATTAATTTAAAATTGTAATATAAACAAAAATAACGGCCACAACAAAAGCGAGAACGTTGAAACATGGTTAGAGAGAAAAGAGAGGCATAAGAATATTGACCTCTCAATTCTCTCAAATATGGAGACAGCTTTATACGTTTGTTGTAGTAGTAATTGCAAACCGCGTTATTGTGAAAAACGAAAAAGGAAAACGAATTAACGAACGCCACCGTCTCAGGCAGAGGCACTAGTTCTTCTCTCATGGCCTGGTCTCTCGAGCAAGATCCCTCATGGATCTTCTCCTGGACCTCCTAGGCCGCCTCCTTCCCGCCAATTTCCTCGTCTCACCTCCTGCGTCATAATTCATCAAAATCCAATTCGTTAGGGTTCGTGATTGTGATCATGAGTGATTTCGACCATGGGTTGGTTGTCTAACATTTCCTTCTCTTCTTCCTCCTCGTCGTCCCCTTCTTCGTTTTCGTCTGTGTTCAGATCATCGTCTGCCGAGTCGCCAAAACAGAAGGCGAGCGATGACGGAGGATGGATGTTCCGATCGAGGAGGAAGCTCACGCGACAGAGGAAGCAGCTTTTGATCAGCGGCGGCGGCGGCGGAGGAGACCAAGACGGTGGAGGTGGAGCCATGAACAAATGTCTGAATTCTCCGTTGCCTGAAATTGCATCGTCGCTGGCTACTCCGCAGCCGCTTCCTTTGCCGGAATTGGCGAAAGAGAGGTGCCGGAAAGAGAGGGGCTCGGGTTGCAATTCCGGTGATTTTGGAGACAGTCGATTGCCGTCTCCCAAGGCCTGTGACGGTGCCGCCTTGAACACTCCGATTCAGAGGTACAATTTTTGTGATTTGATTTTCATATTTTGTGCTGTGGTTTGATTCATTTTATTTTGTTGTCTTTCGAAATGGTCGCATAAGGTCTTATTTCAATTCCTATTGCTAGTTCTTAGAGAAAAACATTCAAACATTTAATGGATTAATGACATGCATGAATTATTTAGGAGGAGAAAAAAAGAATGAGGATTTGTGATTTTGAATGCACTAACATATCCATGTCTGTCAGATATTCCTTGTTGCAGATTTGGCCTTTGAATTTCCTTTTATTTATACATACATATGCTAATACTTAAAGTATGACTTCTGTGTTGACATATAATTTTTGCATTTTCAGTGTGATTGCTTCCCGAGACACAAGAAAGAATCATGACCATGCATTCGAGACAAGATCAAGGTCTAGGTGGAAGAATCGAGATATGAATGGTTTAGAGATCTATCAAAAAGACTTCAGGCTTGATGTTCCTATTTGGAGTGCTCCTGCTAGTCCTTTCTCAAGTCCTACATTCAGCCCACACAGACCCAGTGCTGGTGATCTGCTCCCTCACATTAATCCTATGGGAAATCAAGTCTGGTCTGCCCCTGAGATGCCCACTTCCGATATGAATCCCGGGCTCCCTCCCCCTGCCTTCTCAGATTACTCTATAGTTAGCAATGATAATTCCCCTATACACAGTCCTTCAAATAGAAGTCCCTGCCGAAACCCCAGAAGCCCACCAGGCTCAACATCACCATTGCATACCAAATTATCAATTGAAGCCTCCACAGCCCGGCGCGAGGGTAATGGTTATGTTGAATTCCATCCATTGCCTCTGCCTCCTGGAGCAAACCTTAGCCTACCTTCGCCACAAGCTCTACTCACACCCAAACCAGAGTCCCAGCCAGTCAAAGGACAATGGAAAAAGGGAAAGCTTATTGGGCGTGGCACGTTTGGAAGTGTTTATGTTGCTACCAATAGGTATATACAGTTCCTTACACTGTTAATGATAGTTTCTCTTTGTCTTTCTAAATGCTGATCGGGGTTTTTACGTTGTAACAGAGAAACTGGAGCCTTATGTGCAATGAAGGAAGTTGAATTATTTCCTGATGACCCAAAATCTGCAGAATGTATAAAGCAGCTACAGCAGGTTATTATTGATATGTATAGATAAGCTTTTTACTTCCTCCCACCCCTCTTGTAGATTTGGTGGTTCTGCGAATGTATTGAGTTCATGAGTAATATATTATGTCAGGTTATCAATGTGCTTCCTACTCATTTATTCTTATTTCAGGAAATCAAAGTTCTCAGCCAGCTGGAGCATCCTAATATTGTGCAGTACTATGGAAGTGAAATAGTGAGTAATGTTGCACTTGCATGTTTAGGCATCCAGGCACAGTTTTATCCATTGGAGTATTCCTTAAAAAAGCACAATATGCGTTCTTTTGTATGCAGGTTGATGATCGATTTTATATATATCTGGAGTACGTCCATCCTGGTTCTATTAACAAATATGTCCATGAACATTGTGGAGCCATAACGGAAGCTGTTGTTCGCAGTTTCACTCGCCATATACTCTCTGGGTTGGCTTACTTGCACAGCACAAAGACAATACACAGGTACAATCACATGCTTAATTTGATATCAAAAATGGAATGTGAGACTAGATCCAATGTAGCAAATAAAAATTAGTATTTCATGCACCTAAGCCAAAAAATTTGTCATTGTCAGATGTGAACGAATTTTTTTCAGTGAAAAGGCCTATACAATTGTACTTGGGGTCAACTAGGTTTCATAGATTTTTTTTCTCTGTTGATAGGGACATCAAAGGGGCTAATTTGCTTGTCGATTCATGTGGGGTTGTCAAGCTAGCTGACTTTGGAATGGCAAAACATGTAAGTTCTGGTTCTTTCTTCATTCCTTTCTTTAGATTATCATTCTTCTCACTCCTTTGTTCCTTGAATTTGTGGAAATTCTGTTTGATTTATAAAACATCTAGTCATCTGGTAGTTGTCAAGCTAGCTGATTTTGGAATCTAGTCATCTAGCGGTTCTACACATTGATACATGCGAGTCACCATTCTTCATGTGGCTATGTATAATTACTGTCATCATAAGCAATGTTATAGTTTCTACTGTTGTTGCCACCATATCACTTTCTGTGATTCATTGTTTACTATCTGATTTTGGGTTTACATAGTTGAATTTATTTGTTGCATAGCTTTCGGGACACGTGGGGAATCTTTCTCTGAAGGGAAGTCCATACTGGATGGCTCCAGAGGTATCTTTTGCTGATCAGTCTGTGGTGGCTTAGAGGGGCTATGCCTTCTGATACTGATACAATTTTCTTCCTGCAGCTCATGCAAGCTGTGATGCATAAAGATAACAACTCTGATCTAGCTCTTGCTGTTGATATATGGAGTTTGGGTTGCACTATTATTGAGATGTTCACCGGAAAACCTCCTTGGAGTGAGTATGAAGGGGTAAGTACATAATGTAGTTTTTTTATTCAACCATGAAACCTGTTTCATCTTGTGCTTTGAAGATGTCTACTCCATTTGGTCTAATTTGAGGTCAATATGTTGAAACTTGTAAGATACAAAATGGGATCCAGTGCATGCTTTTACCTGGTCATGTACAGTTTGATAAAATCATAAACTTCCTTTAGCTTCTTCATTTAAGTGTATCTTTGCTCATCTCCCTCTCCACTTGGCATTGTGAATGTATATTCTAGTTCAAGTTCATTTATAATTTTCTGCACTGCATTAAAACCCCTCCCTCTGTTTGCTAAACATTTGTCTATTAATGCAGGCTGCAGCCATGTTTAAAGTTATGAAAGATCTTCCACCAATTCCCGAAACATTGTCATCTGAGGGTAAGGATTTCCTGAGATGCTGCTTTCGAAGAAATCCTGCAGAGAGGCCAACTGCTGCCGTGTTATTAGAACATCGATTCTTAAAAAATTCTCAGCCGCATGATGTCCAGTCTGTCACCCCGTCTGTCACCCAGGCATCTAATGCGATGAATTACATGGTAAATATAAATGCCAGGCCGCTTGTTTTTATTGAAGTCTAGTTATTAATATTACAATTTGTGTTATGGCTACAGGGTAAACCCCGTCCAGTCGAACTTGAAAGAAAATACGATCAGTCACTGATGATTCCAGGCATACTTGGACCCCAGACCAGTGCATTCCCAATTCGGTGATTGCCAAGTCTTGGATGCTGACAGATCCAGCTTCTTGCAAAATTCTTTTTCTCCAGTAAACTGGCCAACAATGTCCTTATGAAACTTCAAATTTAACAGTGGCCTCATGTTAACCTTGAGGGCCTTCCCGGATCATCTTCTCCAGATCAGTTTGCAATTCAAATACCCCATCCCCCCTGCCGAAAGCTATATTGTTTTCAGATGACTTGCGGAGAGGGGATGACAGCTGCCTTTCTGTTCATATTTCTGCAGAGAAAGCGGCTTCTGAATTGTAGGCGTAGCGGATGATGCTCTGGTAGGTGATTCGCGGGCATAGGGTGTTACTACCCTTGTAGGTTCTTTCCCTCATCCTTTTTGATGGCGTGGAAGTTTATCTTGCACTGGGACCTTTTTTTGGTCGAAAGCACTGGGACCTTAGAAGCAGTTTTTGTATACCTCTAACTTATTTTAGAGCTTCAGCAGAAGAAGTCTTTCGACAAGGCCTTCTGAAGGTAATGCTCCCAGCTCTATATACAATTGATGGACCCAAAAGAAAGAAAAAGTGAATGTTGTTTTTACTCTAAAATAAATGATTTTGCAAATTTTATTTCACACTGATATTTGTCAAGTTGATGCAGTTCAAATCAAACTCAACTACATTTTTTTATACAAACGGTAGTCTAAATTAGAGAGGAGTGGTTTCTCATACACACAACTGATGCTATGCGGTTTTCTCTAATCAAACTCAACTGCTAGATCTGATTCTGTGCAGCACATTTATCTGATGCTAAATAAAAATTTCGACAAAACCAAAAAAATAAAAAGGGTTACATTTATACCAGAACAGGAATTGTATTGCAACCCCCGTGCATATAAGACAAAAATGTGTTAGAAAACATTCGTTTTCAAATTCCCAAAAATATAAATAAAAAATTTTAAGACAACTTTTCTAGTAGAAGTTTGTCTTTTAACAATTCTAATTTTCGAGCCTGTTTGGCAGGATTTTTGAAGGGTTGAAAATGTTTTCCAGATGGTCAAAAGTGATTTTAGTGACATAGAAGCACTTTTTATTAAGCTCATTTTCGGAAACATTTGATTTTTAATAACAAATTTATTATGCATCTAATAAAAATGCTTTCAACTAAAGCATTTCTAAGAATAATGATTCTGAAGGAGAGCAAAGCTTATGACTTCGAATACATAAATAAATACTCTTAATTACTTGAATTACGATAATAAAAATAATAATTCATAGAATCACTCTTAAGTGGAAAGTCTCCAAAAGGAATTTTCAATGGTAAATATATCAATTAGCAACCCTTAATTTCACAGATAAAAAGTCCCTATCAACTCAATTTGACATTTTCCAGTAGTGGTCCACTCCAAGTCTACAACAACCATTATTTTTCTCCTTCCTTTTACCATTTTCTATCTAGTGGTGCCCTTTGAAATTTGGATGACTCTCTCTCTCTCTCTCTCTCTCTCGCTCTCTCTCTCCCCCCTATTCATTTGGTCAAAATCAAAATAAAGAAAGAAATATTTATTGCCAAAATCCCTGAAAAAGACGAATCCTTTTTGGCACCATCGTATATATCATATTTATTTTTTAAAGCAACCATGACAAGGTGCTCTGACGGGGTTGAAACTTGAACCCATTTGAACATTTATATCCTCTTCTCCTCCGTAGCTCTCCAGAGAGTGCTCAGAGAGACATAGATGGAACCTCCGCCAGCACAAGCCATAGACACTTCCAGCAACAATCTTCAGGCAGGAGAAGATGAGCAGGACAAAGTCATCAATGAATGGTAATAATTCAATTAATTAATTTCTTCTGTAAATTTGTAATTGGATTTACTGTTTTATGTTTTAATTTTTTTTGGTGGGTGCAGTTGTTCCTGCTTTTATGACTGCACAGAGACCTGCTTGGATTACTTATTCTGTAATCTCTGTTAGATGAGATGGGATTAGATTAAGCGTATAAGTTTATGTTGGTACTAGTTTTATCCTCCTTTTTTTTTTGGTGTGGTTTTCTTTGACTAGCTTGCCTGTTGATTACATTGGATTTAACATGAATATGATTTTTTAGTACCCCTTTTGATTTAATTTTGTTTCTTGGCCAAATTCTTGTGTTTTGGGGGATGATGAGTATCTCATATGATCAGCAGCAGTCCAAATCTAATTGGGGGCTACCTGTAACTTGCAAGAATCCCATTCCTTACAATATATCTCTAAAAAGCTAAGCAGGAATGTACTGTATTTAGTTTTTATTTTTTTATTTTTTTATTTTTTTTATTTTTTTATTTTTATATAATAATAATTTAATTTATTTTTTAAAGACTCTTTAGTTTTCTAGTTTGAAAAGAAGAAGTAGTGTGATGTTGGCTACTCTTTTATTACTAAGAAAATGGTCTACAATTTAGGGACTTGGTTGCTATGTGTCTTGCTGAAAATTTGTCCAACTCGAGAGAAAGATTTACATAAAACGGAGATAACACTATTTTGCTATTCTCGGTCAATAATACTATGACACGTGAGATAATATTTGCACTTGGCATGTCATTATTGGCACTAAGTTTTTCTGTACTAAGAGAGTAATTTTTCGATGTCACTGTAACACACGTCACTTGGTGCAATATGGGATCCCTAGATTAATTCTCGAAGCATCCAAGTTTTTGATCTGAAAAATGAATCGGCCAAATCCTAAAAAATAAAATATTCAGTGAACAAAATCAAGCAAGATTAGCTCAATCTCAGCATATCATGTGTCCCCAAATATAGCACGCCTTCATATTTTCTCCCAAATTTGACGAGAAAATAAAAGTAAACCTAATCCAAACAAATCCATTGTAATTGATCACGAACAATTTCATTGTAATCCCTTGATCTCTGTTCACAAAAATTTCTTGTTATTTTTGTAACGTACAATTGAGTATTAGCTAGTTACTCTGAATTTCGTCTTGCACTGGTCTTGCGTGATTTGTGCTTTCCTTCTACAACAAAACCAACCATTCAAGCTTTCTTCACCTTCACTGATTTTTGCTAAGGCTTTAGATGTTCTCCAAGCAAAGCCAACATATTCTACATTGGACTTCAAAAAAAAAAAAAAAAATACATATGGTACTCATACATAGCTACTTGCTGAACCATGTGGAGATTGGCAACTCCCCTGTCCACAAAATACGATCAAACTATAGGGGATTTGAAAATTTTCTAAAGAATTCTTGCGTAAAAAAAATCATGTAGAATATAGTTCAACATTCGAAGAACTTCATCCAACGTTTATTCATTCATTTTGTTGAGAGTATATCCCACATTATAAAATTAAAGTATTACCAAAAAAAAATCTCGTCTTAAAAGAAGAGATCCTAAATTCAAATTTCTGTAATTGTACCCTCAATTCAAGTATTTCAACACACAAACACATGCATTGAATTGTCTCAACTTATAAATCTCCTCTGCATTTCCCACTTGCATATTTAGTGATACTTGCTCCTCAAGGTGACAAAGTCTAACCCCATTTGCTGGCTTGACTTCATGATCTCAAATAAAGCTTTGATAGATCCATTTTACTAGCTCCCATTATACTGTGCATGCTTATGCTTCTTTCCACTAGTTGATAGAAACATCTATCCATGCATGGCACTTTCGCAAATAAATTTGATTTCCTTCAAGTTAAAATGCGCTCCAACTCCTACCCTATCCTAAGACTTTAGTCAACTTGAGAGTAATCTAGCTAGTGTCCCTTTTCCAGGAACTAAAATACATCATCCTAATCACTTGTTAAAAATAAATAATTAATTTAATCCATGGAGAGTGGCTGCTCCATACTTGTTAATAATCCAATAATAACCCAAATGCAGTTGGACCAAACTCAATTGAATAAGACAACTTCAGTTAGTGCCTCTGCCACTCTCCCAGAGAACATAATTAGCTGCATCTGCACAACTTCATGCACTTTCCTTTGAGTCTTTGACTGTCTCCCTCTCTGTATAAATATGGTGCTGCTTCTACTTTGCTACTCTGCAAGAAATGGAGCATAAATTCTGTGTTGTTACCTTGTTTTGCCTCTTGTTCCTCAGCCCTCTTGTGTCCTGTCAGCTTGATTATAGATTCTATGATGCCACTTGTCCCAACCTGACCAGGATTGTTCAATCTGGCGTTTGGTCAGCTATTGCAAATGATTCTAGAATTGCAGCCTCACTTTTGAGGCTTCACTTCCATGATTGCTTTGTTAATGTAATCAACTTGTCTTCACTCATTTCTTATATATTTACTACATCTAAATACTTGTGTTTGTCTAACTATAATCATTAACAAAATATCCGAACCCTATTTCTTGTAATACAATTTTATAAAAGTTAAAGCTATTATAATCCGAGGACCTTGTATTTAATTTCTGACTGTTTATTGAAGATGTTCAGTTGGTCAAGGCAATGTGCATGCCGCTTGCAGCCGAATTTGAATCTTCCTCCACAAAATTTACATTAGTTTAGAATACCGCTTTTGTTAAAAAGAACGAGACTGTTTGCTAATTTGATCAGCTCTGGTTTATTGACGACTTGGTTTGATTTTGTGGGGAGGCAGGGATGTGATGCATCTTTGTTGCTTGATGATACCGGCAGTCTTGTTGGGGAGAAAAATGCACCGGGCAACAAAAATTCAGTCAGAGGTTTTGAGGTGATTGACAAAATCAAGTCAACTGTGGAGGAAGCTTGCCCATCCACTGTTTCTTGTACTGACATAGTCACTCTTGTGTCAAGAGCAGCTGTTTATTTTGTAAGAAGTTAGCTCCTTAATTTACTATGCAGAGATTTATGAAATGAATCATTTAATTAATCTCTTAAATAACCCCAAATAATTTAAATTTCTACATCATTTATCTTGTTTTTTTGGTCAGAGTGGAGGGCCATATTGGCCTGTACCCTTGGGTCGTCGAGATAGCACAACAGCAAGTGAAAATGCAGTTAGGGAGCAGTTGCCATCACCCTTTGAGCCCTTGGAGAACATCACTGCAAAATTTACAGCAAAAGGCCTTGACATAAAGGATTTGGTTGTGCTCTCAGGTTTGCTTCCTATCTCATATCAACTTCTCACGTTTGAAAACTTGTCACACCTTTATTTGTAACAGATTAGAAATTTAACGGGTTCACGATGACACATTTAAAACGAGAATTCTTATCCAATGATAGTACTTTTTCATATTTTCCTAAAAGGGTTTTCAGATTTGTTATGAATCCAATCCATCACACTAAACAAAATAAAATTTTGGCTGATTATTACTAAAAGCTCTGATAATTACGAAGGTTAATGAGCCAGCCATATATATGTGGACTTTATGTCTTTATGCAGGTGCACATACCATCGGCTTTGCTCAATGCTTCACGTTCAAGACAAGACTCTTCAACTTTCGTGAGTCTGGCAAGCCTGACCCAACACTAGACGCATCACTTTTACAAAATCTGCAAAGTTTGTGCCCAAATCAAGCAGACTCTGACACTCAATTGGCTCCTCTAGATCCTGTCACTTCAACCAAGTTTGACAATATATACTTCAAGAACCTTGTGAACAATTCTGGACTTCTACAGTCAGATCAAGTGCTTATGGGGAACAATAGAACTGCTTCAATGGTTTTTGGCTACAGCAAATTCCCTTTTCTGTTTTACAGGGACTTTGGGGCATCAATGGTGAATATGGCCAATATTGGTGTGCTCACAGGAAGCAATGGAGAAATCAGGAAAAACTGCAGGGCGGTGAATAAAAAAACTACTGCCTAGTTGTTAGTGTGTGTGTTTTTTTGTGTTAAATACTTAAAATATATGCTCTTGAAATCACACATTTTAGGGCTAGTTTGGGATTGTTGTCACTTTTTAAAAAAGTTATTTTTACTGTACTTTAAAATAATTAGATGTAAAGTAAAATAGTTCCATGTTTAATATAAAACTGTTGTAATTGTGAATAATGGCTAAAATAGACATGATGTTGAAAGTGTTATGTGTTAATCATGTGGTGGTAGTGGTGGTGGTGGTGGTGGTGGAGGTGGTGGTGAAAGAGATGGAGGTGAAGGTGGTGGTGGAGGTGAGGAGGAGGAGGAGGTGATGGTGGCAATGGCTGTGTGGTCGTGGTGGCAGTAGTGCAGGTGGTGGTGGAGGAAGAGGTGTAGGAAGAGGTGGTGGTTGTGGTGGTGGTGGTGACGGAGGAGGATGAGGAGGAGGTGGTGGCAGTGGCTGCGTGGTCGTGGAGGTGGAGGTGGAGGTAGTGGAGGTTGAGGAGGAGGAGGAGGTGATGGTGGCAATGGCTGTGTGGTCGTGGTGGCAGTAGTGCAGGTGGTGGTGGAGGAAGAGGTGTAGGAAGATGTGGTGGTGGTGAAGGAGGATGAGGAGGATGTGATGGTAGTGGTGGGGGTGGAGGTGGTGGAGTTGGATGTGGAGGTCGAGGTGGTGTCATTTTAAAAAATTAATGATGGTATTTTGAGAATTAAAAAAATTCATTAAATGATAATCTTTGCTGATTTGAAAGCAGCTTTAAAAAGCAACCTAGAGTTTGCTTTTAAAAAGCAAAGCTCTTGTCAAAAGCCCAATGCTTTTAAAATAATCGGGATATTTTATTTTCACCAAACACCTTAAACTGTTTCACTTTAAGTGAAGTAGATTTTGGCCAAAAAAAAATAAATCCCAAACAGGGGCTTAGTTAGATTGCATTAATCAAGTGTTGGTTATATCAAGGTCACATTGGATACAATTAGAAAGTAATCAATCTCCACTGTAATAGGCAAGAAGCCACCCTCCACATCAAATTATAATATCCCACCTAAATACTAATAAAGATTCCATTCATGGATAATTTGGGGGACACCCTTATAGGGCCTATTATGGATTGCATTTCACTAATCCAAACAATCTATTTGTAAATATTCATTCAAAGTTCATCTATACAAAAAATCACTTGAATCCAATATCATTCGACCACTCAATTAAATTATTGAAATTTAAGTATTTTCTTAAAATACCGTGTTAATTGATTTTGTATGACACAATTAGATGTTAAAATGGTTTTCGATTTGTCTATTTTTTAGCAAGAATGATCTATGAATGAAGACCTAAAAAATAAATGGTTTGGATCGTTGAAAATAAATTCATATGCTATCCTAAAGAATGTCCATCAAATAAAATTATTTGAAAAATCCCTCAATAAAAGATGACTAATGATGACATATAGTTATTATTGGTGAGTACATGAATGATGTATATATGTTGATTTCACAACATCTCAGATTAAAATGATATGAATCTCGCTAACAATGACCATGTGTCAATTATTATTTTGCTGTATCAAAGTAACATGTTAGCGATGTAAAAACTAGGGCCAGGCAACCCAAACCAAAAAAAAAAAAAAAAAAAAAAAAAAAAAAAAAAAAAAAACATAACTGCTAATTTTCCATTGATGATCCAAACTACAAACAGGAACCGATTTGGTTTGGTTTTTGACCAAAATTAAAGTCAAACAATTCTAAACCGAATCAAATCGTTCTAGTTTGCAATTTTCTTATTTTTTTAATTATAAATCTCACTGGCGTGGACACTCCGATGAAAAAACCAACAACGTGAAGACGCTGAAGTGACGCTAATCGACTTGGTTTGGTTCGTTTGTAGCTATCATTTTGGGCTATGAATGTGACTTAGGAGGAGGTTAGGTGAATGTTTGCCCATTACGTGATTAGTCATGGTGATATGAAAACTCATAATTATATACAATCCGGTACACTCAAATTTTCTCCTGGTCCACTCCACCCAGTCCCTTCCCTTCCGTCAAATCTCGCTACTTTCCAAGAATACCCTTCTAAAGTTGTACTCTGACCTCTCTTTCTTCTGCAAACCAAAATTTACCCCGCCCCTGTGGGAGTCAGTGTCCCTCCATATCTTAACACCCCGTACACCTTCGCAACACTCTACCAAAACCCCCAACATATAGAGACTAACCTAAGCGCACACCACGTACACGCGCACTTTAGCACTAGCCGCTAATGATTCAACGAGATAGAGACATTACGGCATAGCTACTGTAGAGTAGAGCCCAGCCAGAAAGTTGGGTAGACTGTGACTGGACTGTCAAGGAGGCCTGGTCAGTGTTCTTACTGAGTTGCTGAGTCAGCGAGTAGCGGCGAGCTCGGACCAGTTCAAAATTTATAAAGCGGGATTAGGGTTTTCTTTTTCTCTTTTCCAATTTTTTATTTTTCTTCTGAGTCGTACACTACTCATACACAAATGGTGAGGCCAAGGTGCTACTTGGACATAACCATAGGAGGAGAGCTTGAAGGAAGAATAGTAGTGGAGCTCTACAATGACATTGTGCCCAGAACAGCTGAGAATTTCAGAGCTCTTTGTACTGGTGAGATGGGTATTGGCCCCAACACCAATGTTCCTCTTCACTACAAGGTCCTCTCTCGCTCTCTCTCTCTCTCTCTCTGGTTAAAGTTTCAATCTTTTTTGTTTATGGGTCGTGGGTTTTTCATTTGATTTCTTTGTGCATGTACTAGAATTTGTGATTTTACATTACATTGGGTTACAGGGTGGTTGTTTCCACCGCATTATCAAAGGTTTTATGATACAAGGTGGGGACATTTCGGCTGGAAATGGCAAAGGAGGAGAGTCCATTTACGGTTTGAAGTTTGAAGATGAAAACTTTGATATAAAGCATGAGAGAAAAGGAATGTTGTCCATGGCCAATTTAGGCCCTGACACCAATGGCTCTCAGTTTTTTATCACAACCACTCGGACTTGTCATCTTGATGGTAAGCATGTTGTGTTTGGGAGGGTGATCAAAGGCATGGGTGTGGTTCGTTCCATTGAGCATGTGACCACTAAAGACGATCACTTTCCTACCCAACAAGTTGTTATTGCGGATTGTGGGCAACTTCCTGAGGGTGCAGATGATGGGCTGTGTAACATCTTCAAAGATGGTGATGTCTATCCTGATTGGCCTGCTGACCTTGATGCAAAACCAGAGGCAATTTCTTGGTGGGTCATGGCCGTGGACTCTATTAAGGCCCTTGGAAATGAGCAGTTCAAGGTAATGAGGTATCTCATTTCATTTCACAACTATGGTAAAACATGTCTTTTCCTAAGTAAATACTTACAAACTAAATATGCTCTACTTTTCATTTACTACTATTGTATGACCTTTGTTCTTGTTCTTGCTATTTGTTTACTTTTATATACAGAAACAAGACTTTAAGATGGCCCTCAGAAAGTATCGCAAGGCTTTGCGCTACTTGGATGTATGCTGGGAGCTGGAAGATATCGATGAAGGTGAACCATTTGCTTTGCACGATAGGGTGTCACTACTTGCTTTCATCATTTGATGACTTTATGTTTCGTGATTTTACAGAGACAAGCTCCTCTTTGCGGAAGACAAAGTCTCAGATATTTACTAATAGCTCAGTAAGAATTTTCATTTATCTAATGATAAAATCACTGGATGTTAGATGAAATCTCTAGGAAACCTTCTTGAAATGAAAACAAAAGTGATATCTTTTGATAAGTAAACCAAGATCTTTAGTTAAGGGCTGTAATGCCAATTTGCTGAACTATCTTTATTGCAGAAATTGCTCACTTATGAATGATAATTATTGACATGGAACTTGTGTAACAGTAAGTTAATCATATATTCAGTAGCCTGCTGGACCAAAAACTAATGCTTCTGAGTTTCCCTCCCCTCCTTGACCTTGTTGTTTATGTATATCTTCACATTGAACAATCATATATTTTTTTGGTTGTGATTATTGAGCATCCATATTTCTTATTCCTGCATCATTTTCAAGAAAATCAATTTAAATTTACCGATACATTCTATTTATATCTTCAGTACTGCTACTGCTACTAGTCTTGCAACTTCCAGCTATGCCACTATGCATCTGTCAATGTTGGAATCATTGATTCTCTCCTTTTTTAGTGTCATTTAGCTTCTCTACAGTTGGTAAGAAGTCTTTGGGATGTGCATGGTGTGCAGTCATTCTGAGTGAGTCTCTCATTTACTCTTCTAACTAGGAAGTCTATAGCTGTTGGGTCCTATGAAGGACCCAAGCTGGATGTTGTGTGTTTCCATCAACTATGACTCTCAATTTTGAAGAATTGGTTACGATTTAGGTGTCTTTTGTCCAGTTATAGGACTGCATATTGATTACATGCAAAGCTGGCTGTGTAGGCCCCCCAATTCTTTTTTATTAGAATGGAGATTCTGCCTTGACGCAGTGTCATGTGAACTCCATACAAAATTTAGTGCTCAATTATCCAATTTATCCATATAGGGCTTGATTTCTGGTGATCCTAATGAAATGAAAGCCATAACTTAATGTGAGTACTTTATGGCTCGTGATTGATGAAACATGAAAAGCACTTGTGCTGGTTACATGTTCCCTAATGACGCTCGAATACATCAAGTGATGGAAAATAATGGCAATCTTTAAAGTTCACCCTTGTGTTAATGTGAAGAGTCTGTGTGATGATGAGTGATACTTAGAAGATAGCTTAACTATGAATATGATAGATAGGCTTGGTTTTCTTCAGTGTTAATACTTTTCTGAATGCTAACTTGATTGTGCTCAGAAGTATTGTGTATTCTTTCTTGTACTCTGTTTTTACTGGTATCAACTAAAAAGAAAGGCATTTCCTTTTATCTGATTGATTAAGAAGTTGGTTTTCTGTTCAGGCTTGTAGACTGAAATTAGGAGACCTAGATGGAGCATTGTTGGACTCAGACTTTGCATTGCGTGATTGGGAAGCCAATGTGAAGGCTTTGTTTCGCCAAGGCCAGGTATTAATCTTTAATTGGCAAGGATGCATAATGGTTGCTGGCTGCTGTTTCTCATCTTACTTCTATGCATCTTGCTGGCTGCAGGCCTATATGGCACTTAATGACATCGACTCTGGAGTTGAAAGCTTCAAGAAGGCCCTGGAATTGGAACCAAATGATGGTCAGTAGTGTTAGATAATTTACATAACTTAATATAGAAAAAGAGGATCATTTGTAAAATAGCTTTTTATTTCTTGGAATTGTAAAAGTTGGTATTTGTGAGAAATTGTAGACAGTGTCCAAGGGGATTTCTGAGATGAGAGAGCAGTTACAGGATTATTATGCCCATCCTTCAAATCCTTTATGTGTTTTTTGAGAATTTTTGTTTAGTATAAGTGACACATTTTTTTCCCAACAGCAAACCAGATTTAGTGGGATGTGATGTGGGAACCTCACATGGACATGACCTTGACAGTGTTTGGATTTTGAATATTAACTCGTATAAGTTATAACTAGGTTCTGTGAATAATTAAACCTCTATGTTTTGAGAGTTGATGACCAACTAGAGACTTCAGACTATCAAATGATAGATTCCTGACCTTTGATCATGTTTTCTATTTTTCAGGAGGAATTAAGAAGGAGCTTCTGGTTGCTAAAAGGAAGGTTAGTGAACTTTATGCGTATAAGATTTTCTCGCCAAACAGTGGATGCTTGTTTTATATCCTTTCAGAGATTTGAGAGTTAAACATTTTCACAGGTTGCTGATAGGTCTGAGCAAGAAAAGAAATCATATTCTAGAATGTTTCATTGATGAAGGCAGTCATGGTAAGTTTTTAAAAAATATCAATATTGCTTTGCTATTATCCATTTTTTGGACTGACTTTTTGTTCGTGCTATGTAGAGGCTGCACATGGTATGGATGATTTTGGATCCCTTTGGCACTTTCTAAGTTCCATAGCCAACTGGTTAAAGTGATTCTGTCTGCAGTCTTAATTGGCCTTAGGAAATATCAGGTATCAATCTTTTAACCCTTTGTCATACTGTAAATGGTCAGACTCTTGTATGCTACCCTTAATGTTTGTCAAATTCAAGATAGGATACCTTTTTCCTTCTGGAAGATTATTCACTTTCTTTGTGATTATATCTATCTGATCATTTGTTGATGTTTATAGTCCAGACACTCGGATCAGAACCAATTTTGAAATAGGTTGATAACTTTGCTTGGCTTTTAATCAAGTTTGTTCTTGTTTCAGGCTTTGTAGGAAGAGCAACACAACTAGCAGATACTTGAGGGAAACTCAGAATACTCTAGCTTCAATCAAATTTTGTTCCGAGTGCATTCACCTTTTGTTAGACTAGCATGTACCACTTTATTGCTGTTCAACACTGGATAGCTACTTTCTGAATTTGTATGAAATTATCCAAACAGCCTTTTTATCTTTCTTACAAAAAAATGTCTTATTTGTTGCAATATAGATGGTTTTCTTTTTGCTGACAACTTCTTACTGTTATTGCTTCTCGATCTCTTTTTCTGTGGTTTCCGCTGATTTGGCTTGGCTATTGCTTTGTTCTGAGCTTGGGGGAGCATATTCTGTCCGGTGTCCACTTGGTCTCCCGTCCTGATTCTGGGATCTCCATTGTGTCCATCTCCACTTATATTTTCTTCTTTAATTTCCCTTCCTCCTGATCTTTTCTGAGAGTAGAGTCTGTTCAATTTTGCCAAAGGTTTGTTTCGGCTTGTCTCAGTTGCAAGCTTCTGTTCTAATGCAACCGAAACACGCCACTCTGAAAGAGAATTTTCATCTTCTGCTCTTTTTGTCAAGGCATGGTAGTCTTCCAGAGTGAGGTGGATGGTGGTTTTCTCCATTTCTGAACAGTTTATGTATTGAAGTGCTTCTGCTGCCGATGCACCAAGAGCTTCTTTTTCTATTTGTGCAGCTCGAAGTCCAAGTTGCAGTGTCTGCAGAGTCTGTCTCCTCAGATGCAAGGCTTGTTTCAATCGAGGTTTTGCTTGTCGTTCTTCATCTGTATCTCTCTTAAACTTTTCAATCTCTTGGCGCATTTGATCGGAAGCCTGATTTATTTCATTGATCATCTTTGTGGCCTTGTGTTCTTCTTCCCTTTTGGATCTGATGCTTATGCTGGTCGTCTCAAGCTGTGATTCAAGGTCTGAGATGATATTGGGTGTAGTACATCGGTTTTCAGCACTTGCAAGGCCAGACTTCAACATTTCGAGCTCGTCAATGAGAGGCCTGGAGTTTATCCATGCCTGCATGGTCCTCTCTTTAGCTTTTTTGAGTTCTTCCTGGGTTTTACGCAGTTCCGCCATCTTAGACCCCAATGCTTTGTGACGGCTTTCATCCCACTCTTGTGATTTGTACGAGTAGCTTTGCGCTTGTTGCTCATTGTGTAACTCCATTTGCACTTTGCACTCGACAAGTTTTGGGAAATTCTGCCTAATTTGCTCCATTTGCCTTCATTGTCTACTTATAGAGCAGCAATTTCCATGTTTTGTACTTTGTTAGGTTGTTTCTTCTGCTTTATTTAAGCTGTGAATGTTTATGTTTGGCGGAAATTCCAATCAATCCTTGTTTTAATATTGCAGATACCTTAAGTGTGGAAGATTCAAGGTATGCTTTGTTGTTAACGGGTCTTTAGGTGAAGTAATGTCCTACATATTAGTCTTGCATGGAAAGTGTGCGGCACTATGTTCTTAAAATGAATCCCTTGTCGTCTGTTATATATCAAAAATCCCTTTTCGCTTAGAATTGTTCTCATGTTTTTATATCATTAACCAAATAGGAGATACAGCGCCAACTAGGAAGGAATGGTGGGGATTGTAGCTTAAGCAGTTAGCATTTCTTCCTTCATCGAGGTACTGAGTTCGAATTAATCCTCTTCAAAAAATCGTTTGATAAAAAAAAATCATAATAATCCAAGCCAGAAATGAAACACATCTGGGTGCAGTGAATCTTTATTTTTGAATTGAGGATCATGACAGAGAAAATAACAAAATTAATGAATACATTGCATGCAATCTATTGTTTTATTTTATCTGAGCTTCCTTCCCTCTGAGATCGTTTTAGCAAACTTGATCAGAGCATCTTCATAGGTGCCCTCTCCTTCACATACCTCATACTTTCCAGTATCCAATTGCACCCGTGACACTGGCTTCTTCAACAGTGCATTTCCAATCTCCACAAGCCTCCTTAGATTCTTCTCTGTTGCAATATCAAGCGATGCTTCGTCGCCGGTCAACGAGTCATCCTGCAATTTTAACATCATTAGAAAACTATTTAGCATCATGCGTCAACAAAATGTTGTTATTTGTACCATATTACTAATTATGTAGTTGTGCTCGATATAGAATTGTACCTGAATACGTAGATAGTTGTCCTTGGCCTGGAGGCATTGGAAGAGGGTGGACACATGAAAGTCAACCATATCAGAACTTGCATCGGCAAAAAGTCTACCAAAGGTGTGCTCCCATTGTGAAACAGCCAATTGATCAAACCCCATTTGGAGGCTATGGCTGCACTGTACTTCTCTTCAAGCTTGGCTGCACCTGTGCCCAATGATAGCACCTGCAACCTCGTCGCATCCATCGGATCTGAGTTGTGCTTCAACATCTCTCTGTTTATGTGGCTTATGGCCATCATTGTCTGTACATGGTTGTAGATTAAATTAATTAATTCCTTAGTACATTTTATGGGACATAAAAGACATTTTACACCCTTTTATCAGACAATTTGGTATGTTATGTTCCTATATCGGTATGCTGAATAAACATAACATGTTAGATATTATCTGGTAAGTGAACATTACCAAACTACTTACAGGATTGTTAGCGGCAACCCCACCATCAACAAGATTAAAAGTGCGAGTCCTTCCCACGTCATCCTTGACCTCGAAGTAGTGTGCCGGGAGAAAAGTGGGAGCTGCAGAGGTACTGACGCAAACATCCGAAAGCTTGGCATTCTGCAAACTACTTTCTTTTGCCTGTAACATAAATTTAACTCAATTACCAAAAATTCCCAAAATATTTGAAGATTAAAAAAAAGCTATGGCTTGTTGTCTTACATCAATGGTTGAGAAGACCACAGGCTGAAGGTATTTGATATCAAAAGCTGGTATAACCACATTGGTTAGAGTCTGTTTGAGAGTGAGGTCACCAAGCAGCCCATGAGTCAATGTGCGCAGGTACTTCCCATCATATTTTGGCCCCTTTACCGCGTCAACCATACTTTTTATTGATCTCAATAAGTTATTTTGACTGCAAATTCCAAGTCAACTTAATCTTTAGAACTTGTAAACTCATTTAAGCATACCGGTTAACTAATCTACAGTATCTAATACATTGTCGATATGGTACACTGAGAATTGATTCTCGGTACACACCAACCAATTTTTTTCCCTTGATTTGATTAGTTGTTGTTATAGAGAACTGACCTGCTCTGAGGAAAAATCTTTGGACTCTGGTCTAGATAGAATTTATTGATGTCCTTGGCTTCATACATGGGTCGGTTGTCCTTGTTGGGAGCTGTAAGCATGGTGGTGACAAGACCACCGGTGCTTGTTCCGGCAATTATGTCGAAATAATCTGCAATTCTTGCATCGGGGCCATCCAATTGCTATACCATGTACAAATCATACCACTAAATTATCATTCAAGCAAATATAAATGATGGAAGTGAAGGCTATACATATATATTAACTGATTAGCGCTTGAGCGTTATTATATAAATATTTATATGAAAAAATTTATGTAATGTAGTACGTACCTGAAGCTTGGATTCAAGAAAGGCCAGGATGGTGCTGGGAATTATGCCTCTAATGCCACCTCCATCAATGCTCAACACTGTCACCATCTTTCTCTTCACCAAGTCCGTCGACATTTTTCGGACTCAAATTAAAGACAACCTTGTTTAAGTCGAAATCTCTCTTTTATAAAATCAGTATCTGTGAAGATCAATTATGTTCTTCATAGCAAAGAGCCCAGGAAATGGTTCAACTGATATATAGCCAGGCGGCTAAGCCTTCTAATATAATTATATAATGCTCTTCATTTAGCTGCATGGCACTTTAGATATTAATTATTCAATGATATGCAACTTCATGGTACATTAGCTTCCTTGAAACCTACTCTCTCACATAATATTGCCTGTCTCTGTCTGTATATATGATTATATTTTTGAACCACTACTACAAGTTGATGGTAAAGTCTTTGTTTTTTTGTTAATTTATTATTTATTAAAAGTATTTTCCACGCAAGTTGAAGCTTTTCGGACATCATAAGTCATATACTTTAATACCATTTGTTGAAAGATATTGGAAAACCATCGATCTCTTCTCGGAATGTTGCCTAATCCATTACAATTGAAGCATAAAGTTAGTTTCTTAATGAATAATTGAAGACCATTGCCTCATAATGATGGGGTAACCTATATGCTTAACATGGTCATATTCCTATGTTTATAATTAGTCACTCCTCCTCGTGCCTCACAAATTTATAATTCAAATGAAGTTTTTCCACTCATGAATTATAATTGAATTCTCGATGACATTCAACTTGTAATCTTTGTACTCAATAATGCGAGAAACGTTAATGTTTATTTAAATTACAAGAAATAAAGGTCAAAACAAGTTTGGATGACAACTATACTTATTGTCATTTGATAGTCACTAAGAGAGTGATCTAAAACCACATTATTGCGTAGTCAAAGCTGACGGGCTGACCCATTGCCATTGGCTCATTGGATGGTCATGGTTGGTAAGGGAGAACCATAAAAAACGATAAAAATAGAAAATATGTTCTAGAGCATCCACGGTCATGCTTTCTATTTTTTTAGTTAAATTTTAGCTTAAAACATATAAAAGTTATTTTAGAAGCTCTTTATAAAGTTTAAACTCCAATCATGCTCTCTAATTTAGGGATTTATAAATGCTATAACTCTTTTTTAATTGGTCAATTTCTATTAAAAAATAATATAAAAAATAATAAATATTAATTAAAAGTTTGAATTACTCATTAAATAAAGCAGCATTAAATTATAGAGAGCCACTAAAAGTTATTTCTCTCTCTTCATATTTAGGAGCTCCTAGTGGTCTTTTTATTTTAGGAGGTGGATAGGGAGCATGATTGGAAATGTATTTTTCCAAATCCTCCATAAAATTTGTCTAAGAAAGTGATTTAGGGAGCTCATTGTAAATGCTCTTAATAATGTATACGCAGCAGCCCATGTTTTGAGCACTTTTTTATAGGGCTTTTTTTGTTTTCTTTTTTCTTGGACTGGAGAATTTTATGAATTTACCTAATCATATCCGTGACGAACTGTTTTGCTCTTCCAAAAGAATGACATCCAATGGCTTGCTCGTTGGACTTTGACCTCATCCTCGTGCATGTTACTAGTCAGATCTGTATTATTATTTTCTGTGATGAGCTGCTTTTGTCAGTTCATAATCAATAAAAATCTTTTGAATCCTTCGTACACAGAGTGATGTGCATTGAGGCCATTACGGTCTAAATGCATGAGCTCCAACTGTTCATAATCAATAAAACTAGTAATTATTCTTTATTTTTCAATTCCGATTCACAACTAAATTGATGAACATGGCCGAAAAAATAAAATAAAAATTAAGATATTGCAATTTATTGTTCAATTGTGCTTCTTCGCTTCCGAGAGCCTTTTGGCAAAATCAATCAGTTCTTCTTCATAAGTAACCTCTCCCTCAGATTTCTCATACATTCCTGTATCCAAATGCACCCGTGACACCGGCTTCTTCAACAACGCCTTTTCAATCTCCAAAAGCCTCTTTAGATTCTTATCCGTTGTTATATCCACGGTTGCCTTCTCATTGCTCAATGAGTCATCCTATAATTTTTACAACATTAAGAAATACTATTATATCACTACATAATGTTGTTATTTAGACCCATTTACTTATATGTATTAAAAAATCTTGATCGACCGCATTAAATAATATACCTGAATACGTAGGTAGTTTTCCTTGGCATGAACAGATTGGAAGAGGGTGGACACATGAATTGTTCTCATATCTTTATACCATTAACCAAATAGGAGATACAAAGCCAACTAGGAATGGTAGGGCTTGTAGTTTAAGTAGTGAGCATTTCTTCCTTCATCAAGGTACCGAATTCAAATAAATCCTCTTCAAAAATCGTTTAAAATAAAAAAAAAAAAAAAAAAAAAAATAAAAAAAAACCAAGCAGGAGATGAAACACATCTGGGTGCAGTGAATCTTTAGTTTTGAATTGAGGATCATGACAGAGAAAATAACAAAATTAATGAAGACATTGCAAGCAATCTATTGTTTTATTTTATCTGAGCTTCCTTCCCTCGGAGATCGTTTTAGCAAACTCGATCAGAGCATCTTCATAGGTGCCCTCTCCTTCACATACCTCATACTTCCCAGTATCCAATTGCACCCGTGACACTGGCTTCTTCAACAGTGCATTTCCAATTTCCATAAGCCTCCTTAGATTCTTCTCTGTTGCAATATCAACCGATGCTTCGTCGCCGGTCAACGAGTCATCCTGCAATTTTCACATCATTAGAAAACTATTTAGCATCATGCGTCAACAAAATGTTGTTATTTGTATCATATTTACTGATTACTTATTTGTGCTCGGTCTAGTATCGTACCTGAATACGTAGATAGTTGTCCTTGGCCTGGACGGATTGGAAGAGGGTGGACACATGAAAGTCAACCATATCAGAACTTGCATCTGCAAAAATGTCTACCAAAGGTGCGCTCCCATTGTGAAACAGCCAATTGATCAAACCCCATTTGGAGGCTATGGCAGCACTGTACTTCTGTTCAAGCTTGGCTGCACCTGTGCCCAATGATAGCACCTGCAACCTCGTCACATCCATCGGATCTGAGTTGTGCTTCAACATCTCTCTGTTTATGTGGCTTATGGCCATCATTGTCTGCACATGTTGTAGATTAAATTAATTAATTCCTTAGTGCATTATATGGGACATAACATACATCTTACGCCTTTTCATCAAACAGTCTGGTATGTTATGTTCTTATATCGGTATGCTGACTAAACATAACATGTTAGATGTTATCTGGTAAGTGAACGTTACCAAACTACTTACAGGATTGTTAGCGGCAACCCCACCATCAACAAGATCAAAAGTGTGAGTCCTTCCCACGTCATCCTTGACCTCAAAGTAGTGTGCCGGGAGAAAAGTGGGAGCTGCAGAAGTACTGATGCAGACATCCGAAAGCTTGGCATTATTCCAACTAGTTTCTCTTGCCTGTAGCATAAGTTTAAGTTAAGTACCAAAAATTCCCAAAATATTCGAAGAGTAAAAAAAAACTATGACTTGTTGTCTTACATCAATGGTTGAGAAGACCACAGGCTGAAGGTACTTGATATCAAAAGCTGGTATAACGACATTGGTTAGAGTCTGTTTGAGAGTGAGGTCACCAAGCAGCCCCCGAGTCAATGTGCGCAGGTACTTTCCATCATATTTTGGCCCCTTTACCGCGTCAACCATACTTGTTATTGATCTCAAGAAGTTATTTCGACTGCAAATTCCAAGTCAACTTAACGTTTAGAACTTGTAAATTCATTTAAGCATACCAGTTGACTGATCCCGATAAATAATCTACAGTATCTAGTACAATGTCGATATGTACTTGGTATACTAGAAATTGATACTCGTACATACCAACCAATTTTTTTCCCTTGATTTGATTAGTTGTTATAGAGCACTGACCTGCTCTGAGGAAAAATCTTAGGACTGTTGTCTAGATAGAATTTGTTGATATCCTTGGCTTCATACATGGGTCGGTTGTCCTTGTTGGGAGCTGTAAGCATGGTGGTGACAAGACCACCGGTGCTTGTTCCGGCAATTATGTCGAAGTAATCTGCGATTCTTGCATCGGGGCCATCCAGTTGCTATACCATGCACAAATCATACCACCAAATTATCATTCAAACAAATATAAATGATGAAAGTGAAGGCTAGTAATATACATATACACATATATTAACTGAATAGCGCTTGAGCGTTATTATATAAATATTTATATGAAATTTTTTATGTAATGTAGTACGTACCTGAAGCTTGGATTCAAGAAAGGCCAGGACGGTGCTGGGAATTATGCCTCTAATGCCACCTCCATCAATGCTCAACACTGTCACCATCTTTCTCTTTACCAAGCCCGTCAACATTTTTTCGGATTCAAATTAAAGATACCCTTGTTTAAATCGAATCTCTCTTTTATAAAATCAGTATCTGTGAAGATCAATTATGTTCTTGATAGCAAAGAGCCCAAGAAACGGTTCAACTGATATATAGCAAGCCTAGACCAGGCGGCTAAGCTAGGACAACTTTCATGGTTTTTGGTCAAAGTCTTCTGGATATAATTTTATGATGCTCTCTATTTAGCTGCATGGCGATTTAGATCTTAATTATTTAATGATATGCAACTTCATGTACATTAATATTGCCTGTCTCTGTCTGTATATATGATTATATTGCTGAACGACTACTACGTACAAGTTGATGGTAAAGTCTTTGTTTATTTATTTATTTATTAAAAATATTTTCCATGCAAGTTGAAGATGTTGCGACATCATAAGTCATATAGTTTAATCACTTCAAGTCTACAAAATATTACAGGACTTGATGCGTATGTTTGGGATCCATCGATCTCTTTTCTTGGATAGCTGCCAAATCCAATACAATTGAATTCATAAAGTTAGTTTCTTAAAGATTAATGGAAGACCATAGACTCACTATGATTGGGCAACCTATATGCTTAACAATTTTTTGGTCAATTAATTAACATGGTCATCTTCCTATGTTTAATCACTCCTTATGCCTCACGAATATATATGATCGAAGTGGAGTTTTTCCACACGAGAAATGTTAATGTTTATTTAAATCACTCGGAATCTTATTTATTTCTAAAAATGAACATTTATCAAGCTATGTGATATCATAATATCAATTCATAACTAAAACTCAAAACAAGTTCGGATAACAACTATACTCTTATTAGTGATCTGAACCACATTATTAGCGTAGACTTAGTCAAGCTGACGGGGTTGTTGACCCATTGCCATTGGATAATTACATAGTCATGGTTGGTAAAGGAGAACCATAAAAAACGATAAGAATCGAAAACCTTTTTAACGTATATGAATTTTATGGGGCCTTTTTGTTTTCTTTTCTTGGCATAGTGAAAAAAAGAAGAAAAAAGAATGACATCCAATGGCTTGCTCGTTGGACTTTGACCTCATCCTCATGCATGTTACTAGTCTGTATTATTATTTTCTGTGATGAGCTGCTTTTGTGAGTTCATAATGAATAAAAATCTTTTAAATCCTTCGTGCACAGAGTGATGTGCATTGAGGCCATTACGGTCTAAATGCATGAGCTCCAACTGCTCATAATCAATAAAACTAGTAATTATTCTTTTATTTTTTCAATTACGATTCACAACTAAATTAATGAACAATAAAAATTAAGATATTGCAATTTATTGTTCAATTGTGCTTCTTCGCATCCGAGAGCTTTTGGCAAAATCAATCAGTGCTTCTTCATAAGTAACCTCTCCCTCAGATTTCTCATACCTGCCTGTATCCAAATGAACCCGTGACACTGGCTTCTTCAACAACGCCTTTCCAATCTCCCAAAAGTCTCTTTAGATTCTTATCCGTTGCTATATCCATAGTTGCCTCCTCACCGCTTAACGAATCATCCTACCATTTTTATAACATTAGAAATATCGCCTACATAATGTGTGTATTTAGACCACATTTACTAATATATCCCAAAAAAAAAAAAAAAAAAAAAAAAAAAAAAAAAAAAAAACCTTGATATCAATATAAAAAAATACCTGAATACGTAGGTAGTTGTCCTTGGCGTGGACGGATTGGAAGAGGGTGGACACATGAATGTCAACCATATCAGAACTTGCATCACCAAAAATGTCTACCAATGGCGTGCTCCCATTGTCAAAAACCCAATTGATCAAACCCCATTTGGATGCCGTGGTTGCATTGTACTTCTCTTCAAACTTGGCTGCACCTGTGCCCAACGACAGCACTAGCAACCTCGTCGCATCTATCGGCTCTGAATTGTACTTCAACGTCTCTCTGTATATGTGGCTTAAGGCCAGCATTGTCTGTAAATGGTTGTAGATTAAATTAATTACTTCCTAAGTGCTATGCCACGTTACATGTGTTGTTTTTGTCGAATAGTCTGACATGTAATGTTATATACCAATTATTAATAAAGCATGTTAGATATCTGGTAAGAGAACATCCCTAACCACTTACAGGATTGTTTGCAGCAACCCCACCATCGACAAGATCAAAAGTTCGGGTCTTTCCCTCGCTATCCTTGACCTCGAAGTAGTATGCAGGGAGATAAGTAGGAGCAGCAGAGGTACTTATGCAGATATCCGAGAGCTTAGCATTTTTCAGAGCACTTTCTTTGGCCTGTACCATAAATTCACAACCCTCTTAGAATACCTACACATTATAATTACCTAAATTGTATACGAAAGAGTAAAAAGAATTATTTCAAATAATGTCTTCCTCCACGTTTACTAACACATAAGCAATTGAAAAAAATATGTGAGTTTCACTATGAAATAAGTAATTTTATATTCTCAAAACCAGAATTTGGATCGACTAAGAAGGGATAGCTGATCCAATTATATTTCATTACTTTCCTATTCCGAGTAATTAAACATGTCATTAGTGTTATCTTACATCGGTGGTTGAGAAGATCACAGGCTGAAGGTACTTGATATCAAAAGTTGGAATAATCACAGTCGTGAGAGTCTGCTTGAGAGTGAGATCACTAAGCAGCCCATTTATCACTTTGCGCAAGTACTTCCCATCATATTTAGGCCCTATGACCGCACGAACCACACTTGTTATTGATGTCAATAAGTTATTTGCACTGCATGTTCCATAAAACTTAACATTAGATCTAATAAATTGACATATGTATAACCTGCATTAATGTTCTGTGAACCTTTTTTTCTCTCAATGTTATCG